CGCGGCCAACTCGAAGAGCAGCACCGCCCTCTGCCCAACACCCAGCTGCATACTCAGAGCTCCATGTCTTCCCTCACATCTCATATTCCAGCGACCTCCCCGTCGCCAGTTTCGCAGCGTGGTCAGAAGCTTGGTACCTTCACCCCCGTCCATGCCAAAGATTGCAACTAACCATCTGTCCTTTTTAGAGGTCGATCTCAATGATAGCATGACGCTTTCGTACTACTCCCAACTCCTGCTCTTCAAGGAAGATACCAGTCGTGACAGCGTGCTCTTCCCCGTCAACTTGACCCCGGTTCTTCGTCGCACAGTGCACACACTTGCTCATAACATGGGCCTAGGCCATGCTTCGCGTGGCTCTGGGGAGCAACGCCAGGTCCAGGTTTTCAAGGTCATGCCAGGATCGAATGTGAGCCCACCCTTGTCCTCTATCCCCACTGCCGTCCAGCCCTCCGAAACCGCCCGTCGGGGATTGAACCGCGCGGCAACGATCGACTTCAGCGAATCTCGTAACGACGGACCGCCCCCCTACGGTAGCCTTCGAAACCAGGCGTCGGGATTCCTGGGTGTGTTGGACTCGCCAGGGAACTATGGAAACGCACAGAATCTGCGCGCCGCCAAGTCCTTTGCAGACCTGCGCTCCTACACCCCGTCGCCCGTGCCTTCGTCGGCCAGCTTCCCCGCTGCCTTGCAAACCAACGGCGCGCGCCTTCCGCAGTACGACGGTGCCACCACTAGCGGTGCCTCCAACACCCCGACCCTTACCCCTGCACCCTCCGGTTCGTCTCTGGGTATGCAGCGGGACGACAGCCTGTTGGTCAACAGCTTGAGCAGCTTGTCCCTGGGTACTGGAATTGGTGCGACCAATTCCAGCCCCAGACGTTTGAGGGGTATGTTCTCTTGGGAGCAGCCAGAGTCCCAGCCTTCCAGTGCTGGCGCCATTGGTAGCAATCGGTCGGTCGGACTTGGATTTGACAGTCAGTCGCAGGAGCGCATGCCCATCCGGCAGCCTAGAGGCCCCACCCCTGAAAAGGGTCCCGGTTTTGGACGTCAGAACGGTCATCAGTCCCGGGCCAGCGACGAGTTGCGGACCAACTCCGGAGTGGAAATCATTGTCGAATAAACCGAAAGAAAAAAAAGCAACGCACGCATGCACGCCCTATACGTTTTTTGTTTTCTCTGTTTTTAATCGATTGTTTTCGACGTTCGAACCGATTAACGGGACTTGTCAGAATTGCTTCTTTTTTTCTTTCCGCCGCAAAACGACCCATTTGACGCTTTATATCATGAGGCCTGATCCTGTTTTGCGATTACTGGCTTACGATTCGATGAAGGGATGACGAGATGACAATCAAGAGAGCCGACCAAAAAGAAAGACCTTATTACTATTTATTTGTCCTCTGATCTAGCCAAGTTTTAGACGTGAATCTTTTCTTCATTTCTTTTCATATCCCTGGGGCAGCCCAGCAGACACGCTGTTTGGATTGACTCGTGTTTTTTTTTTTCTCTTTTTCTTTCTCTTTATTCATTGCGAAACCAAAACATCCCAGAAAACAACCAAAAAATTTCTAATTCAACAATCGCAGAAACGCTCTTCTTGCACTATGTTTTTTCTTCTGAGACGCAGGCGCCTTTGCATGCTGTAACGTCCCATTTACTGTCGATTACGTGGGGAACCAACTGCTGCTGCAAGGATATACGACAAAAAAGAAACGGCTGTTGGTCGCTTTCCCCTGATGTGCTTGTGACAATGGTCGAGATGACATACAGCATTTATTTTTTGCATATTTATCTTTCGTCTTTATCTTCTCTTTTCCTATGTATGGGGCAGATTTGCATTTCATTTGATTTCTTGTTTTGTCTGTGTCTCCATTTACCAACCTGTACTCTTAATTGCCTCATGGATTTCCCGGGTCTTTGCAGAATGCCTTCATTCCTGCAGATGATTGTTCGGGTAGATGTATCCAATGTCTTTCCATTTCGTGATTACTAGTCCAATGCAATAATAATGACTCTTCGATAAATCTCCGTAACGTTTGCTATAAACCTCCAAATCGGCCTGTACGACAATCAGTAACCATCTTATCTTTATTTCTTTTCATCTTCGTTCGCTTCTTCGCTTCTCTTCCGGAACTTATTTCGACAGCCTCCTGTTTGGAAAGGTATAGTATTATCTATGTTTAGAATTCAATCTAAGTTGGCGATAAACACGCGAGCACGCTTATTCGACTCTTGGCCCCGATAGACTTCGCTGTATGAACGACATGTCTTTGTTTTAGGGCATGTGGCCCCTTCGCCTCAATCCACATATAATGCCCAAACTGCACAAACACTGAGCAATCATTCATAGAAGTGCGTTGGTTTGACATTCTCTTTTTTTTCTCAAAACGATCATCATTCCAGGCCCAGAAGAGGTTCCGACATCGCTCAAGCTAGTCATAGTACCTGAACCGAAACAGTGGATGAGGAGGTGTCAGTAGTTGTACCAGGTACCACAGAGGAGACGATCTCAACACTGCTCCAGTGCGTGTCTGGGAGCTGATCTCACTAGCTTTCAAATGTTTGGCGGTGCAGTAGGATACATCGGCAGGGGAGTAATAATTCTTACTTATGACGCGAAGGCTTTCGTCTCCATCGCTTTTTTTGTAGCTTTGAGAGCAACAGATGGTATTTTGAGTTTTTTTTTCGATGTCACTGGGGAGACTTTCGAGCGCGAGATCTACGGCGAAGAGTGGATTGTAGAGTGGACGGTAGAGCAACGGGTTATGCACAGCGTACTGTTGAAATGGCTCTTAATGCCTTGAGAGGATGAGATTAGGAGAGCGTCTGGCTCTTCTGGTGTTATTGACCGCTGTATGAAATCTGCGCGTATTGATCAGGAAGCTTTTTAGAGCATTCGTCAGAGTTTTAAGAAAAGTGCTCAGCACTCGGGGACGCCTAGCGAGGACGTCGTCATTTTGTCCGTGTTTTTACCAGACGTTTTTCTTGTGATGGGGTTTCTGGATTGAATTCGTCGAGAGGAAACGGGTTCGTCGAAGCCTCTCCTTCTGAATTTCTTGTCTTTTTGATGAGATCTGACCACTTCAGGCTAAGTTCAATTAGTGCTTAGTTCTGGGTCTCCTGTGGCTCATGTTTGCACCGCGATACAAGAACGCTTCCTGCTTCCGGTTTATCTTTAAAGACATGTGGTTACCGATTAGATTTTTGGGTTGTCGTGCAATTCATACTTCCATTGCCATAAACCAGACAAGTCATGAGAATACCCGGTTGGATATTGTGCATCTTCCCTCGCGTTGTCGTATGTGATTTTAGCCACACCAATCTAGTTATCACAGTGCTGGCCTACATCTAGTCTTTATTAAGAGACGTAACTGACCACGCATTTAAACTTTGCCATCCAAACCTTCCTTTCAAGAAGGTGGGATTTCAGACATGCGCTGGGTGGGAAACGGGCAGGCATCTCGGCTCTGTTGATTCAATCAGAAAGTGATCACTCCAGAGGACCCGGTTGTATTGTATGAGAGGAAGCATGCCAATTCTGGGGTAAGTTGCTAATATAAGCCCAGCGTTGTTAGATAGGCTCAGATGTAGCCTCATGATATGGTGCACTTTATAGATAGTTTCGCGATTCACAATGCCAAAAGCAAATCAGTTTTGTCAAAAGCCGGCTGTTAAAGACGTCTGTCAATTTTGAACCATTTAGAATAGCTCGATGTCAGAAACACCTTTGAATAGGTCGAGTTCCTCACCTCGAGGGGAACTACCGAAAACAAGAATCGAAATTGCAGGGTGTCTGATGGGGGTTGGAATAGAATAACGTGTAGTAAAGAGAATAGGGCTGTTGGAGGACAAGGTCGCATTCACCAATATGGCCGATGGCCCTGTCAATTCACTCTACAGCCCCCTTCACCTTCCGAACAAGGAATCTGATCAGTTAGTTTGTAGTTATTTAATAAGAATATTATATCCAGTGAAAAGGTGCATGATCATGGAGAGATGGGTAGCTATGCACTACCCCAAGCATTAAGCGTATATAATTGCAACATGGCAAAGATAAGCATCCTGTTTCATCCATACCGAATAAAAAGAACATTAAGCAAAACATAAGACTTAGTTACGGTGGTTTTAATCCTCTTTCTCAGACTGATAGGCGCTTCTCCACCGCATACAACAGCCGCAATTATCCGTACAGTGTGTCTTCATATCAGGGAACGACTCCTGGACCTGACCATCAAAGCTTTTCCGGGGCCCTGTACAGCATCCACAATTGCGCGCGCAGCAGCCAAACCCGTTCTTACAGGACGTCTGACCCTGTTTCCATTCTGCCGAGGACGATTCCTCGGAGACCTCGAGGGTCCAGGAACCCGCAACCTATTGTGCGTCTATTTCAAGGTTTTTCTTTGCGATTTCATCAAAAGCTACACTGACCTCTTGAAGCCTTTGGTTACCTTTTTTCACCAAGGCCTCATCGTTTTTATTCAAGGTACCGCTGGCCTGCGCTTTTCTTATCCCCTTTATCGACTTGTTTTCCAAGAGCCAAAGTTCCCTCTGCGCCGTAACTTTGAATCTATGGACGTTCGCATTTCGAGACTTGATGAGATCCAGTTGTCGTTTCTTTTCTGCCGGGGGGGATTAGGTATCTCTGGAGAGTTCATACCACCGACAATCGGTAAGTGGAGTTGTCGGTATAGATAAAGCTCCATTGGAACAAGAATCATCTGCTGTGTTTGCTTTTGGAAAATGGTAAAGGTCACCCCCTAAGACCACGGCACAAAGTGTGCCGACGAGGGTTGTAAGGACGTTCATACTGTTGGCTAGCTCAGACTGGAGAGTGTATGAGTGCCGTAGAAAGGAAGAGGTTTGGAGAGTTTTGAACATTTTCTTTTCTACCTTTGTCCGACCTATCAGGAACCTCACAGCCGTCATAGATCTGCCGTGAGTTTCGCATCAATGTCACTATAACTGCCTCAGGCCAGAAGGCAAGTACTGTATCTATCTATTTACAGCCGCGTGTACACGGTGTTGATGCCGCCTGTGACAACCATTTTGATATTGACATATTCATCCAGACCATACTTGCTACCCTCTCGGCCCATGCCAGAATGCTTGACTCCTCCGAATCTACAGAGCGTGTCAGTCTACTCAACTCGAGGGCTTGGGTAATATAAAACTTACGGAGCTGCAGCATCTGAAATCACGCCGGTGTTGAGTGCAACCATACCAAATTGCAGCCTCTCAGTGACTCGATGCGATCGTGCCAAATCAGTCGTCATAACATAGGATGCGAGGCCGACATCGCAGTTGTTGGCCTTGGTGATGACTTCATCTTCGGTTGAGAATTTATACAATGCTGCAATCGGGCCAAAAGTCTCCTCGGTGCTTATCTTCATGGAGTCATCGACATCGCCCAAGATGGTAAGTTCGTGAAAGTTCTTCCCAAGTGAAGGTAGCTGGCTTCCTCCAAGAAGGACTTTCGCATTCTTGCTGATAGCATCTCGAATGTGCTCCTTAACTTTGCTGACCCCATTCGTCATGGGTCCATGCGTCACGGCTTCCTCGGCGCCATCGCCGACATGAAACTTCTTGACCTCCTCGACTAGCCTCTGGTAGAAACGATCATAGATGCCTTCTTGTACATAAATCCGGTTTGCGCACACGCACGTCTGACCAGTCACCTTGAACTTGCTGGCAAGGGCACTGGAAACCGCGATCTCCAGATCCGCATCATTGAACACAATAAACGGAGCATTACCTCCCAGCTCAAGACTCAGTTTCTTCAATGTGCTGCTGGACTGCTCCATTAGGAGTTTGCCGATTCTTGTGGACCCAGTGAAGGATATTTTCTTGACGGTGTCTGACTGGCAGAGAGCCAAACCAAGCTGCGGCGTGTTATTCAGTGCTGTCACAACATTGAGCACACCCTTTGGTATACCTGCACGCTGCCCAAGCACGGCCATGGCATTCAAAGAAAACGGTGTAAGTCCATCCGATTTGAGAACCACTGTACAACCCGCTGCCAACGCAGCCGCCACTTTCCTTGCACCCATCGCCATGGGAAAATTCCACGGCGTGATCAGTCCGCACACACCAATAGGCTCCTTGATAACATGCGTCCGGCTAGTCGAATTGCTATGCGGGATAACATCTCCATAGACCCGGGGAGACTCTTCTGCAAACCACTCGAAGAAGCTCGCTGAGAAAAGCACTTCGCCTTCTGCATCTGCTTTTGCTTTTCCGTTCTCGGCTGTTATAATACGGCCCAGATCGGCTTTGTTTTCGACTAGGAGGTCGAAGATTTTGCGGAGGATTCGCCCGCGTTGGCGGCCTGAGAGGGATCTCCAGGCTGGGAATGCGTTAGATGCGGCGCGGATTGCGTGGTTTAGATCGTCGATGGACGATTCGGGGCATTTTCCAATGAGAGTCTCTGTGGCCGGGTTCGTGACGTCGAAGGTTGAGTTTGATGATGCCCATTGACCGTCGATGTAGGATTTCTCGACGAGGAGACTTGGGTCTCCTAAGGTGGATGCAAAGGATGGCGCCATGTTTGAACTCCAACAAGTGAAGTGATTATTTACAGAGAAGCCTTGTGGTTGGGAAAAGGCTTTATATCAATACATTGACAAATTCCAGATGTCCCTACATTCTCGGGGCCCCGAAGAAAGAAGAAAGTCACTCCGTGACTTTCCCGATTCCATGATACCTACTCCGGATTCTCGAGAACCAAGGTCGGGCATTGATCACCAATCACAGCTCCCAAATAAGCTTCTCCGCAAAATAAAGGACTGGGATGGCATCCGACCTTCTCTCCAATTGAAAAACACTATGCTTATTGCCGGCCGGTGGGATATCAGATTGCGCGGGGTTATCTGCATCCAGAGTAATGCGGGGTAAGCTGAAATCGCTAGGTGCTATGTACATGCCAATCGGTACTACAATTGAATTGCTGACACCAATGAAGCCGATGAATGAATATAGATACCAGCAAGCAGGAGAAGAGTAGACAGGATACAGTCTCCACCATACAAGTTCGAATCCGGCTCAGCCCTAGCGATGCCGATGATAAGGCAGTGCATCCTGACCCGAAATAGATCCCGAAAGTCTCAGGAATGTATGTGACCAAGATATACGCGCTCCGACACCGAGTAGCCTCTACAGTAAAGACTGGAATCCCCATGTCCTTCAGCCGACCGATGAATGACATGGATCGAATCATCCGAAGGTCCTTTCATTGGCTCTGATCATGGCTCTCGAGGGCGTGGGTTAAATCCGATGGAGCATGCTCAGCCGAGCTTGATTAAGGACCCCAAGTCCCAGGAAATCAAGGATGTAAACAGCATCGCCATTGAGCTTCCAAAATGAGGACTAAGCATTATATCTACCCAGTCCAAGTCTGTACATCTCGCACAGATGTCTTCGGCAACCTTGACAAGACCTTCATTTGCTCCGCTGAAGGTGATCGATTCAGCTTATCTGTTGCTTTCAATCTGTACTAACTCTTCGTACTTGTGTTTATCGCCCCGATAAACAATGCGCCGTTTAACCCCTTTTGTTTATCAGATGCGAGTCTCCACAAGGCCCTGATACTAGTGCTATGTGCGGGGTACGCACATGACGCTCCGGGATGGCAATGTTCTTACTCTTGACAAGTATTCTCTATCGGCGCAACAGACCAATCCATAGATGCAGGGTTATGATTGACAATTCAATTAAATATGCCAACAAGCTTCAAAGCAAATCCTCGCAAGCTAAGAAGGACGCAAAATGCGTAAATAACTCCAAACCTCACGAACCGGACTGGAACTGATAGCATATCACAGATGCGTCGCCTGCCGGCAGAGTAAGATCAAGTGTTCTGGTGAAGAGCCATGCACCAACTGTCGACGACGAGTCATGAGGTGCCGGTTCGTGGAAACAGGGAGCAAGGTCATGGTAGCAGAGAGGTTTGCCAGACGCGAGTGCTGTCAACCAATGATACGGAGCTAACAAGAAGCTAGATATTTCCAGGAACTGCAGAACCAGGCTAGACTTCAGCAGCAGCAGCATACATTTGCAGTAAGGATCCCATCTGGGAGTACCTGTCCGGAGGATAGATGTCCTCCGGCGGACTTACCACAGGCTCAGCCGATCGATCACACGAGAAGTATTTGGACAAGTCCATTTAGCCTTCCTTCGAGAATCCTTAAAGATGCCCGTGACAGCAAGCGCAATTGGAGTGAGTCTATAGTGACGGTTTTCTAGTTTGGATTTTACAGCTAACAATGTGATACAGTTTGGCTTGCTCCCTCTTCTCTATGGTCACTCACTGCACGACTGAAGGTCATGATAACAGAAAAGCTTAGTCTCGAATCTCTAAACAATAGTCCCGGCCTTCTGGAAGGCGACGTATACGCTTTGCAATGGCGAGATGCTGCTCCGAATGACCCTCCGGATATTAGTGGTCTACCATCAATCGACCAGGCTCTCTATCTTTTCAACACAGTCAAGTTCCACCTCGGGCAAATCTACAGATTCTTCGATGATGAAGAGACATTTGTGCGTCATGTACGGGAATTTTACCAGGGTGATGCAGTGGTGAAAGCAAGTGAATGTCGTTTATGGTTTGTGCAATTTCTACTTGTTTTGGCTTTTGGAAACGCGTTTTTGTCACGATCAAGAGGCACCAATGATCCTCCTGGCTCAAAGTTCTTCGTGCGTGCGACATCCCTGATGCCGGACCTTGCATCCTTGTGGGAGGATAGCTTGCTAGCCATTGAAGTTTTGGCTATGATGGGGTTATATCGGTATTCGATCGATTATAGGGAGTCGGCACATGTCTATGTAAGCAATACACTCTTGCATAGCTCTTTGGCTAATGATTCTGTCCAGGTTGGTCAAGCAATACGCATAGCGCAATTGGGAGGATTGCACACTCAACTACCTGAAGAAGAACTTGGTTCAAGAACATTGACAAGATGCCGAAATCTATGGTGGACTTTATACATTATGGATCGGCATTTTTCATCATCTGTTGGGATTCCAATGACAACGCACGATTGTGATATAAGTACTCTAGTCGACCCGTCGCAGCAAGACACCACACTCAGTCTTCAAGTCAAGCTGTCACGAATGCTCTCGACGATTCTGGCGAGTAAGTGGGTCATTTTTCTTTTTTATTATGACATATTTAACTTTTTTACTATTCAGCAATCTACAAAACTGAAAGGATGCAGCTGGGAATTTTCCTGGAACAGACACGATCAATCCTGCATACAATGGCAGGCCATGCCCAAGAAATTGAAAAGATCATTCATCTCAAGTTCCAGAACTCATTAGATACCATGCCTAGAGGTACGCGCCATATAACTTTGTCATATCACCAGGTTTGTAAATAATTCTTGTAGCAATATCATTTTCCATTATGCTAACGCTATAATCGGCTCAGTGTGTCATTGTCGCTACGCGCCCCCTTCTCCTATCAATTCTAAAGGAACGACTCGAGAAACTAGATCATGGAGAAGAAGACTGGCAGAGCTTCCTGGCCCCGACCAAGGCGTTGATTAACACCGGGATAAAATCAGCAGTCAAAACGCTTCAGATACTTTCGGATGAGGATAGTCTTCTCGGTGCGTCAATTATTTCTCTTTATCTCTTTGTCATGCTGGTCAAGTGAGAAACCTAATCCGTCCAGAGGTATTCCTGCCATTTGAGCTAGAGTTCACATACGGCGCCGCTATATACCTGACAATGACAAGAACGCTCTTCCCACGGGTCGCCGATGGCGAGGCGGGTAGTCATAATGCACACTCAATCCTAGATGAGATGATCAGCAAGGGAAACAAGCTGGCTGAAGTCCGGAAGATTGAGTTGACACAGATCGAGTCTCTTTTCCAGCAATTGGCGGCGCGAATCGAACAGCAAGGTCTTCAAACCCTGACATTGTCAAGTCCTGAGCAGAGTATCGTCAGTGCCAGCACTGTCTATAACAACATCAATGATAATGATGATCAAGGACAAGAAGATCTCGCAACTGCAACCGCAATTGATCCTCAGACAGTCGTACACTGCATGCCCGGGGATTCTCAATCACCGTCAGGCCTGCTTCCCCAGGATACAAGCGATCTTGAATTTCTCGAGAATATTGGGATATCGTCTTATGAGTTTCTTTCGATTGTGGATGGTATTGATGATAATTTCGGTATTTTGGATCCAGGACAGGGCTGGGAGGGATGATGCTGTGTTTTAATATATCCCAATGGTTCATTCCTTGTGGCTTTTAAAAAGCCCAATTATACAAAGTCAAGTACATATGAGATGCTAATTCAGACTGAAAAATAACAACATGTGGGCTCCTCCCGGGTTTCTTAAATTTTCTCCTCGACTGAGGTCACTATTCCCAACCTAATGGTCAGACGACTCTGGTCACGCACGATTACACGACTAAGAGGTGCATAGTCAGAAAAACTTTTCTGCTACTAATGGCTCGGAGGGAAACATTTTGACCAAGGTAAGATCACCCAACCTGATGGAGTTAGGGCTATCCTCAAACAACTTACCTGTACGACGATCTAGCTTCTCCAGAAGCTGGAATTCGCAGTCAACATGGGCCGTGTGTCAGTCCACAGTATATTCAAAGTCATTGTCGATTGCATAGCCGCTATCATAAAGGTGCGCGCCGTGAATAAATCGCAGTTGATTGCAGGGTCGGTGTCCGGGTCACTGGCGACGTCGCAAATGTTGACTGGCCCTGCTTCGCCGATGTTGAAGCCAATGATCTCCCCCGCATCTGCGTTTTCAGGATCTTCACTTGCTTCTGGATGGACATGATCTCTGATTCGACACCGGAGGGTCCCAAGGTGAAGATATTAGATTAGATGTTATCTGTTTACACACAGCCCGCCACCATGGTCCCGACTCCCGGGATTAACTCACTCCAGCAATGGCAATTTTCGGAATAGACATGATCCCACGAAAGATATTCTGTAGTACTGATATGGATCAAGAAACAAAGGAATAATGATCGTTCGAATGCTAATTGAATGCCCAATAGCATTGGATTTATTTATAGTAGGTTTGGCTATATCAAACCAAGGCTATGGGATGAGTAAGGAATCATTCCGAGACTCAAAGAAGACTGATAAGCAGAATAACTATAATTTATAAGATATGCGTATATCTCTAGTGATATCGGAGGCGGCCCTACCCCCACCCACACAGCAGTGACAAGTGCAATGTCGGATTGAGCCTCAAATTGAACATGAATAATACATGGTATGATTCGAGCGAGAAAATCAGGTCCAGGATGTTGTGGAAGTTACGTTTCGTCTAGATTGTGGTGGGAGGGGTGTCCCTCGTATGATTGTACCGGCATATCTCATGTCTATATATTCGTAGGCACATAATTTGTGTGTGCTGAAAGACTGGACGAAGACGTGTTAACCAAAACCCACCAAACACTTCATGACTATCATGGATCCAATTCTTACTCTTCCAAATCCCATGGCCCTGACAACTGCGTCCTTTTCGAATATTATAGATGGCCAAAAATGTGACAATGGTGTCATCCATCAGAGCCAGGACCCAAGATCCAAAACCCTACTTTGGCCAGTTTGCTCTGCAACCACCCAGGATCTGGATAAGGCGGTCGAGACCGCCCAGGCAGCATTCCTGAGTTGGTCAGCGACACCGTGGGAGTGTCGACAGGATGTCCTGCGTGCATTGGCCGCGGCATTGCGAGAAGACAAGCACTATTTTTCAGTGGTGGTCTCGAAAGAGACGGGGAAAACGGTATTGGGTGCCTGAGTCTCGAGCATTTTGTGTTCAGCAGCTAACCAAGGTCCATGTCAGACACTAATGGGCGATTTGGACGTGGACCAGAGTATCGGTTTCCTAAAATTCAAGGGCTAGTAGGGACCCTACGTATAAGAGTCGCAATTTAACTGACAGCGTGTCCGATGAAAGCCTCTCAGACAATTCCGGACAGTGTGGTCCACGAGGAACAGGGAATAAAGATCATCGCCACATACAAGCCGTTAGGAATTGTCGGTGCGATATATCCCTGGAACCTCCCACTTATTCTTGCAGTGGCAAAGATCGCCGCGTCGCTAGTGACCCGAAACTGCATCATTGTGAAGCCATCTCCATTTACCCCATACAGTATCCTGAAATTCGCCGAACTTGCAATCTCTATTGTGCCCAAGGGTGTCCTGCAGGCATTACACGGTGGTGCTGACCTGTGGCCGCTCATGACCACGCATCCAGAAATCCAGAAACTTAGCTTCACAGGATCGACCGCGGCGGGTAAGAAGGTCATGGCAGCGGGAAGTCAGACTCTGAAGCAAATCACTCTAGAGCTTGGAGGCAACGATGCCGCGATTGTGTGCTCCGATGCCAATATTGATGCCGTTGCTCCACAGGTAGCTGCGGGCTGCTTGTCTAATACGGGCCAAATGTGCGTCGCGACCAAACGAGTGTATGTCCACCGGGACATTTATAAGTAGTTCCATGACCGTTTGATAGAGGAAGTCAACCTTCTGGCGGGTAGTACTGATCGAGAGATGCCGAGTGTATACGGACCGATGCAAAACAACATGCAATATTCTATCGTACAGGATATAATCGAATATTGTAGGATCCGCGGCTTCAACTTCTCCCTAGGTGGAAAGCCTCTCGCCCGCCAAGATAGCTTGTTCATCCCACCCGCCATTATAGAAAATCCGTCAGATGATTCTCGAATTGTACAGGAGGAGCAGTTTGGTCAGTATAGATTTGTGTCCATGGTTCTACCCACTTTATACTTTATCCGTTGAACTCCATTCAGCCAACTTCCATCATGATTACTCCACCCAAGGACCTCAGTTGAAACATGACGTTCAACAGGCCCCATCATACCGCTTCTATTGTGGGAAAGCGAGGACGAAGTGATTCGCCGAGTAAATAGTATCGACTCTGGGCTTGGAGCTAGCGTTTTTTCCAGTTATTTATCTCGTGCGGATGGAATTGGCCGGCAACTTGAGGTCGGGAGTGTGTGGCTCAATAGTTTCAGCATGCCTCATCCAGCTGGGTATTTCTCTGGTCACAAGCAGAGTGGTGTCGGAGGAGAATGGGGAAAGCAGGGACTATTCGCCTACTGCGCAGCCCAGACAATTCATGTGTGACAGTCTCGAGCAATATAAATTCATTGGTAGACTCACTGTCGAAATACTAACATGGAGAAGGAAAGAAAGAAGCTGGGCCTGCCAGCGCTGCGCTATCTAGTGTGCGAAGGGGTTCCTGCCCTATATTCAAAACAGGCCAAAGTATACAAACATCTTGCGTTGTTGGTGAATGCCCGTACTCCGTGACACATGTTTATCAGTGAGAGATAGTGAAGCTGGCAAATGAGGTGATTTGCGATGTTTTCATACGTATTTTCGTTTTGTTTTTTTCTATCAGCTTCAAACACCCGGTTGCTAGCCACAAGAGGGAAGTATCATTTCTTAATCGAGGGGGTAGAAGCGGGACAATATCAAATGTTCAGTATATTGAGATTCTCAAATTGCTTGATCAGCCTGTTCACTTGACTCATGTCTGTCTCATCAAATCGACTGAGAAGAGAGCCCGTACTCAGGCTGGTATCATTGTTGGCCATTAAACCTGGATTTTGTATGCCTCGGAGAATTGCTTGTGCCAGAATCCAATATTCTGGAGCGTGCTGCATAAATCCTGTGCGTTTCCATCTTTCGCTGGAATATAGGCCAGCCACTTCAGAGTCATGTTCGAGAGCGTCGTATCCATCCCAGAATGATTTCCAGTTGCTGAGACCTTGTCGGAGTGGCTGAACAGCCACTTCGGGAACAAGGGTGTTTCGTGAGTGAAATAGAATGGAATGGAATGCTTCGCTATATGGTTAGCCGATCAAATTCATATCTTTACGGTCCATGTCTGTTGACCTGAAGAAGAAGAGCTGACTATCATACGCTAGTTGCAGCTTACAACATACCGCTTATGACTATAAACAAGTTTAGCTTCCCTAATCGAGCAAAATACTCTCTGCTATCAGTGTCCAACTCATTCTGACACATCTTTGTCACCACAGACGCAACCGTGTATTTCTTTGGGCTAGGCATGCTGATATACGATCCAGCCAAATGCAACAGGCACTCATCGGCAGACTGCGCCTGGAAAGAGCGTTTGGAACACACAGGAGCCATAGAGAGCTCGGCTATTGACAGCTTTGGTGGCGTGTTATTGAAAATGACAAAAGCTGTATCGAGTAAGAAAATGAATGAAAAGGTTCTGTACATGTCATTAGAATTCTTAGGGACAGATGACTGGCACAAAAACCACGGAAATCATACCTAACAAACTCCTCTTCTAATATAAAACGATGCCAATCTATGTCTTGTGATTGGATCTCATGATGGTTTCCGGATGCAAATCCAAGGTTTCTCGCAACCTGAAGCAGCGGAGTAAATTAGCTTAGCATAAAGCAAATGGGCCAAGCTGGGTATACCGCTATAACCATGCTGAACCTATAGCACCTAATTCTCTGTTTGCTATTATTATCACCCTCCCAGTTTTGTAGAAGACAAATAAGATACGCGGCCTGAAGCGCCTGGAGGGCCTTCCGTTCTGGGGGCTGGTTCTCGCCCTTGGTTGTTACTGAATGTTGGAAATGCTCTTCCGCAAAGGCCATCTCCTCTGCACTGCTGAACCAGAGCTTCGCATTTTTCTTAACGGATTCGTCGGGGGAAAGGCTCGCACCAATTAATAACATGGGCACGAGCAACGTGTGGGGTGCGTTGTGGATATCGAATGTGGGTTTGTGGATTATCGGGCAGTTTGGGTACCAGAATGACCAGAAAAAAAGTAGGTATTTCTTGATATTTGGGGGGCTGAAAAACTGCACACAAATCTGTTCAATGAGTTTTGACCAGTAAAAAGTGATTGGACTGCCTGGATCTCGATGCTGCGTGGCAACCTTTAGCCCAGACACGATACTGTTTGTGACACCGACAAGGGAGTCCGAAAGCCAATCTTCGCAACCAAAGTACGTCTCCTCGGGCACATCCGCAAAGAAAGATGAAGAGCCTCGTTCCCGCTGGGGACTCTCAATGACCTCCGTGAAGTCTGACAGTTGCAGAATGACCTGTGATGAAGTGCCATCTTTCTCCGGATTCAGGTCAGACGACTCCTCCTGTACACTCCGGGTCAGGTCCTTCATTTCAGTGGGATTTCCACATTCAAACGAGTCCGCGAATCCTGTAGCGCTTGTGAAATGGTCCAGGAAATATAATCTTGTAACAATGCTGCTGGGATATGTGGACTGGACTGCTGAAAACGCATCACATACGTTTGATGGAAAATTAAGCACATATTCACTATCGAGAATGGACGTTGGCGGCTCCTCAGTCCCAGAATCAAGAATGCTTAAATTCAAAGAGCCTGTTTCCCCGGCGGAAGTCATATCCAAGTCTGGAATTTCCAAGGGTTGATAACATGGTTGGTCGATCTCGAGCTCTGCTGTTTCTCCAGGCGTGGGAAGTGCGAAGCCAGGGAATATGGGGGATGAAGTCTGCACCAGGCCACCCGACTCTGCAGCGGGGTGAGAATCCCCATAGGAGCATCCATGATTTCTGGCGCGACATGCTTCGCAAGGAGAGCCCAAGCTACATGCCTTCTTAAGTCTAGAGCATCGATCACAGGCTCGCCTCTTACTAGGTTTAGGGGCATAAGGATACCGAGGTATCTCAGCGCCTATATCGAGACGCAATTTGCAAGTCCGCCAGTGCCTCTGGAGAACGTCTCTGGAGATAATGAGCAAACCCAAAATCTCTCGAGAAAAGGCTTGCGGCATTGACTAACCTTCGTTTGAACGATTGGCTACAGAATGTACAGTTATGGGGACGATCACCTCCATCTGCAACATTGAATCAGCTCCCCACACAGGAAAGGTTTTCATCGCTAGAGTCCATAGACGTACGAGACATCAGATGGCGTTGAAGATGTTCATGGCGTCGGAATGGCGTGAAACAAAATGTACAACGTAAAAATTGCGTACCAGACATGGGCAGTCCAAATGAAGACAGTGGTGGATACGGTATGGATATGGTGGTGGATAATTTACTATGTGACAGGTGAAGTTGGAAATGTAGACCTGGGGATTTCTGAGAGAAGAGTAGAGTATTAGTCAATGAGAGTGATCAACAGGCAAAGCGGGCTTAAGTAAGCTGGGGGGGTGGAGGAGTGAGGGTTCAAGTCTAACGTATTCCACGGGCGAGCGGCGCGTTTTCCCCGCGACCACCAAATACTCAACCATCAACATGCTTGTAATTTGAAAAAATCAGTAAATTAAGACTATCTAGTAATTGAACATGTAGTTATTTACTAGGGCAACTGCGTATAATATGTCCAATAGTCCCACAGCCACTACAGCGTGGTGGAGCTCGCTGGCGTGGCCGTTGAATATCCGCTTCGACCTCTGCTTCAACCACTCTATCAAGCTGCTGAACACGCTCCTGACCTTCCTGTATAGATAGCATAGTATCTTGACCTAGGTTACCACGCCTGCGTGCTTTCTTCGTCATCTTCCGCTCATTCTCTGTCCGTAGAACTTTGATTTCTTGGTGAAGAAGTAGATTCATATCCATTGCCATCTGTGCAGATTTCTCAAGATGTTGAAGGTGAGATACAGGGCTGCTCGACAGCCGTCTTTTCTTATTAAGACTTCTCTGTAGATCGTAGATCTTATGATCAAGTTGGCGAGTATTTTGAGGGGTCTGAAATGCAGATAATATTGACCCTTCAGTCAGAAGTGGTGGTGTTGGCGTACGCAGTTGAAAGGTAATTTTTGAGAGAACCCTTTCTTTATCTAATGGTTTGATCCCTGCTCCAGCAAAGCCACCATAGATATTCTCTTTGGTAAAGACCTTCTCGCGTGCAGATGGATAGAGAGATAAGAAATCATCCTTATCAATATGGTTGTTGCCAGCGATCATCATTCCCTCAACTAGCTTCCCATATGCACGCTTTAATGGCCCGAAAACACCAACATCTAGTGGTTGAAGAAGATGAGATAAATGAGGTGGCATACAGAGACAAATGATTGCATGCTCTTTACAGAATCCATCAAACTCTGCACTTAAATGGCTACTATGGCCATCAAGTATAAGTAGCCGCTTTGAACCAACTGAATAGTGTTTGGAATATGGCTCAAACACCTCTTTAAGCCAGCGTAAGCCCATTATATCAGTAGTCCAGCCATTCTGACTTGTGGCTAGCCTCCAATCTTGAGAGAGGGCTGATCCTTGATACCAAGAAGCTTGATGCTCCTTCCCTTTGAGGATCACCACCGGAGGAATTGAACATCCATTTGACCCTACACATTCAATGATTGTGACCCACTCACGGTTTCCTTGGATGACTGTACGTGGTTGCTCACTGCGCTCAGCTGCAGTAATAACCTTTGACGTTGTACAGAGACCCATTGCAAAGCCAGTCTCATCAAAATTCCAGATATCATCTTCATGGATACCATGCTCTTGAATCGTCTCTAATATCATATTAAACCATTGTTGTCAGGGTCATGGTAACATACATGATAATTTGAGCGACGACCAGATAAAGTTGATATGTGGTAGCTTGGCCGGCGGTGCAGGTCAGGCCGTGAGCACAATAATTGAAGTTGTGGAGAGCAAGGTGTGCACTGAAGCCGGCACTGGTCATCCACTGCAATCCTGCAAGACCATAGTTGGGTTCATTAAGGGCACTGGTCAGGGCTTCACCACTATAGAGGTCAACAACTATTGTCCTGCTTTCCTGAGTTTATTTGTGGGATGTAAGGGTAATAATGCAAAGGCCTATGCAGAGAACAACAAGATAGAGATGACTGCATTCAATTCTCAGAAGGATTACAACTGCGACACTACCAAGGAAAAATGTATTGAGACAACCGTTGGCTGAGGGCTTTCTACCTGCATGCCAGTGTCACTTCCCTGCTACATGCATTGCTTGTGTATAGCCTATGCTACAGTGTCACTTGTGCAAGGATCTGAGAAAGCATAAACAGTACATACCTCAGTAATGTACATACACTCCTTTGAATCCCACAGCACTTTTTTAAATTATAGAACAAGGATATCAATTTTTCATGCTCAGGTTGCTAGGTGCCACATACAACTTTAACAGCACTGTGCTCAGCATCCGCCACGGGCTCGGAATAGTAGATTATAATGAATTGAATTCCTATCTCAACTATTGTAGCCATTGGCGAGAATATCAAATCCAAGAAGAAAAGAGAAGAGGAAATAATGGGAGGAAGTCAACTTGTTGAAGAAAGAACTAAGGAGTGCGGTGGCTACCTGAGGTAAATAGGTGGCCATATGGCTCGCTTCTTGGATAGCTTCAACCAAGAGATGTCTCAACATCGTGAGGCACTAGAATGGGTCTAACCTTACAGATATATCTACATTGGCTTGTACTTGTGATACAGGAAAGAAATAGACATATGAAACGACATGAATATCACATAATGAAGCACAGAGTGATGATCAACCTGCATAAACAGGATCCCTTCAAAAGCATCAGTGATAAGGAGAGTTATAAAAAGAATCGTAGCTCCCTCTATGAATTGTTTAACCCTGTTAACCGCACTAGGAGTGTGCGGGTGGGAGCTGTCCCCATTTTCTGTCTTCATGTTGCTTTGTATGCCAATGCAACGCAAGTTATGTACTATATCAGGCAATGGTGTGTTAACTGAAATGTGCTGACAGACTAGGTGAGTGCTGGACTTAAGAAATAGATGTATCCTACCTATAGCCAACAAGTGTTCAAATTGTAGTCTGAGTTGGTAATAGATAGTATAAAGAATAGTTCATACAAGGGTATGACACTTCAGAGGAGGAGCAGGAGTGTAATATTCATAGGGTCAAAGGAGGTATGACCTTGTACAAAGACGGATCGCTAGTTAAGCTTAACTAATGTAATACAATAGCCGCGCACCTCCCGCGATTGTACCAATCTCGATTCAACCAAGCAATCTTAACCAATGCACCTCCAAATCATACCAAAAACAAGTAATCAACTCCGTACGCCAGGCAGCACATGTTTATATGATCCCTGAATCGTTTTTACAAGACCAGCTTCATGGCAGTACTAATGGCGCTGAAAAACGTGCCAATGGCCGCAAAATGACACCAGATTAAGAAGAATCACTGGTCAATGTTCCGCCACATACTATATCTGAACGCGTATAAACTACGAATATGGCGATCCGCCGACAGTCGGATGTCGCGCCACCCCCACCTCCGCTTCTATACCGCTGTGAGAAGCTCCGACGCGGGGTTGTAGAAGTTAGATTGGTCTCATACAGGCTGAAAAGGGGGAAATACAGCAAGCTCGTAGGATTAGTAGAGCAATAAGCCGAATTTAATCAACTTTCGGCTGGCGATGACACGGAATTACCCCAAAAACGAGTATGTATATAAAAGGTTTATGTTTCAGAGGACAACTGCTAGGCACAGAAATTGAAGGCTCTTTTTCCTAATTTTTCTTTTTCAGTACTATTCTACACATGATGAGTCCGGCATCCAACCTCCATGTTCCTTTGGCATTGCCTCCAAACACCAGTCTGGATGCCTTTTCACGGTTCATTGCTGCCAGCGAAGGAATCGTCGGTCGAGAAAATATCCGCATCGTGGAATCGAAAGAGGAGTTGGATGATGGCTCCTACTACGAGCCACCCAAGACGCATGACCCCCATCATGTTCTGGACCAGGATCACTTCCTGGCCTCGGCAGTCATCAACCCAAGGTCGGTACCAGAAGTCCAGAGCCTCATGAAACTGGCAAATGAGTACAGAATCCCTGTGTGGCCAATATCCATTGGACGGAATTCTGGATATGGAGGAGCTGCTCCTCGGCTTCGGGGTAGTGTCGTCTTGGATATGGGTAAACACATGAACCGGATTTTGGAAGTGGATGTCGATGGTGCCTATGCTGTTGTGGAGCCCGGTGTGACTTTCGCTGATCTACACGAGTACTTGATTAAGCACGAACTGAGAGATAAATTATGGATTGATGTATGCTTTCAACTTCCCCGCCTTTGAGGAGAAAATGACCCAACTGAAGACGGACAGGTGCCGGACATCGGCGGTGGATCAGTACTGGGAAATGCCTTGGAGCGAGGAGTAGGATATACCCCATACGGTGGTGAGTGACCTCTGGTTACCCTGGGTCCGTAGACTGCAAAGAGAAGAGTTAACATGTTTCAGATCATTGGATGATGCACAGTGGATTGGAAGTTATCCTGCCTTCAGGTGAACTGCTGCGCACAGGGATGGGGGCTTTGCCGCAAAATCCCTTAAAGTCAGGAAACCCTATTAACGAGGATCCTGGAAACAAATGCTGGCAGCTGTTTCCATATGGATTTGGTCCGTATAATGATGGACTATTTTCTCAGAGCAATTTGGGCATTGTAACGAAGATGGGAATCTGGGTATGGACTACAAAGGATTTTCCTTCGTCTATCCTCAAGATAAAGCTGACATCTCCAGTTAATGCCAAACCCTGGTGGATACCAAGCCTATATGATCACACTTCCCAGGGATGAAGATCTACATCGTGCAGTTGACATCATTCGACCCCTTAGACTGGTAAACCCCTTCTTCTCTTCTCCTGGGCTTCTCAAAATTGGAAATAACAGGTTCCATAGCAAATGATTCTTCAAAATGTTCCCACACTACGACACATCCTACTCGATGCTGCTGTCCTCGCCCCGAAGGAAAAGTACACCTCGGACCCGACAAAGCCACTGGGCGAAGCCGAACTTGATGCAATTGCAAGGAAGCTGAACCTTGGCCGGTGGAACTTTTATGGTGCCCTTTACGTTTGTTCCACCTGTGCAATTCAAATTCTCCACAAGCATTGTTCTAATCTTTCATTTCCAGGGGCCGGAAGAAATTCGCAACACAAACTGGTCGTTGGTCAAAAAGGCTTTTTCGTCTATTGAGGGGGCCCAATTCTTTTTCCCTGAGGATGTCAAAGACTACTCCGTCCTTCACACACGTGAGAAGACCTTACAGGGCATTCCAACGTACGATGAACTCCGATGGATTGACTGGGTGCCCAATGGAGCCCACCTGTTTTTCTCCCCTATCAGCAAGATCTCTGGAGACGATGCTATGTTACAGTATTCGGTCACCAAGAAACGCTGCCAAGAGGCTGGACTAGATTTTATGGGCACTTTCACTGTTGGCATGCGAGAGATGCGTAAGTATTTCACCTAGGGGGCTTAAATCCGAGGCGGCTGATATTGTTCCCACCAACACAGATCATATTGTGTGTATTGTATTCAACCGTAAAGATTCTTTATCCAAGAAGAAGGCGCATTGGTTGATCAAAACCCTGATCGCGGACTGTGCTAAGCATGGCTGGGGTGAATACCGCACGCATCTAGCGCTCATGGACCAGATTGCAGAGACATATAACTGGAACAACAATGCGCAGATGCGATTCAACGAGACGGTGAAGAATGCTCTCGATCCACAGGGAATCTTGGCTCCTGGTAAGAATGGGGTGTGGCCTTCTAAATACGGTAGACGGCAGTACAAGCTCTGAGGGGTTCATCTACACCAGAATGTGTCTAGTATCTGCTGCTTGAAGAGCACCATAATCAGAACTTGGTTAATTCCCAATTAAGATTATCCAAAACATTTGTAGCTGGCCACGTGCATCCGGTCTTTTACTTGTAAAGAGTATAGTATCAATTCTCGAACTATCTGTAGGAATACAATGAAAACGAATCAAATAAAGAAAGGGATACGTAGTGAAGATCGACGCTTAGCGATTTTACAAAGGGTAATTTCCGATATAGATTGACCTCTGCTGAACTAGGGCTATATATTGTTTAATCTTTGAGAAGTACGTCTGTATCAGCAATGAGGTAGATAACGCGTCGAAAATGGTATTTATCAGCGCCTCCTGTGGCAGGGAGCCGCGGATAAAGCCGTTTAACTGGCTCACTGTCACTATTCCGTCTAAAACGGCGTGCATTTTCTATTACAATTGTACCAGTCCATACTTAACGTAGCAGCTCCCGCGGTTTTTCATGTCTAATGAATTAAACAGTTCAAACCACTACAATCCGACCAGAATTGCCCCCTAAGCCTCACAATTTAGCTTACAAGAAGAGGAGGATTCTATTTACAGGGTCCCTACCATGTTATTTATTATTTTCTATAGATGCCAGAGGGTGTAGATATCCAATCACAATCTGAGGGCGTCTTAACTTAGGGCAAAAATTGAGGAGAAACGGGCGCCGATGGTTTATTAACAGACGAAAGGCAATATTACCTGATCATGATTACATCGTCTAGAGAGTTGAGTCTTGAGCTCATAATGGCACTTAACGAGGGTATAGACTCTGTTTTCGCCAACTGCTCGAATGGGGGTTTCACCTTGCTGTGCGAGAAGAGGATTGGCTATTTCTCGTAAAGCTGCTGGCATAGGCGCTACTCCACGTCGATACATAAAGATTATTCATTCTAGAAGCGAGTAGTCTTTATTTGACAATAATTTATGGTTATTTGCGCGTATTTAAGCTTGCATTATATGGCCGTTGAGGTGGCGTTGTAAGGCAGCAAGAGACACATTAAAATGACGTGCTGCTTGACGAATAAAGCATATCTCTAACATTTAGATATCCTGAATATTTAGCAATATTCTACCTTCTTGCTTAGTTGACTTCGACCGGCTTTCTCGTGAATTAGTGGCATAGTGGGTAGTGTAAAGAAGAAGGTCCCTAAAACGACGTGGTCATACTAGGTGACCCGCTCGCTCGTGAGGTACGATACGAAAAGAGTATGGATGCACTTCACAGCTGCTTGATGCAATTGAGGCCTGGGCTCTCTCATTACACCGAACAGGGCGAAGAGCAATTGGTCCTCGCACTAATCCTGCTGCTCTAGACGTTGTGACAATTTCACTGGACAGCTCTGCAAGAAACTTCTGCAGACAAACAACAAAGAGCAACCACAACCTCTCATTCTGCTACGTGGCTTCCGGGATATGTCTACCAACTGTGGAGTATTTTCAGGCGCAGCCATTAATCTGAGACTCAGGGAGGGAAAGGGCCACCCACATAGTACCAATACGCTTTTATGAGGTTAATGTGAAAATTTATACGATTATGGTTCATCATTCCTAGAGCTATGTCACTGGTTCCAACTCCAAACACTGAGCAATCTTGGCATCTGCACATAGTCACAAACGAATATTGCCTGTTGATAAGTAGTTCCGCGCTAACTGAGGGGGAACCTTTGCATGTCTAAATTAAACGGATACTTCCCGGGTTTCGCTTACTTCAATAATATGAGATTGTAGGGGTGGTAAGTGCAGAGAGCACTCGCGCTCTTACAGGTTACTTTATAGGATATCATGTATCGAGAAAATCATGTCACAAGTAATTCAATCTTTCACATTTTTCTTCACAGCAAACTCGATAGCCAAAGTGTGCGGTGAATTACATATACGCTACTTTAACTAGGCATATGGAAAAATGCACACATATATTGAAACCTAATGTTCATAATCGAGCTGCAAGATGCCAGTTTCTTCAGACGACAAGCGCGGCTGCTCTCAAGCAACAAAGCATCTATTTCATTTCACCCTCCCCAAGGCAGCGCTTCAGAGGGTAAGAGTCTCCCAAGCAAGTCGTAATCACACCCTTTACCCAGGACAAGGAATTCTGTCCGTAGGTATAGGTATTCTGGGTGAAAGAATCGGCCTGGAAATACTCGTACTGCGCACTTCCAGGCTGTCCATTGAAAACGTACCCGCTCTTGCGAAAGGTCAGGGGGTTGCTAATGATCGCGCCCCATTTGTTCTTCGGGATCGTCATTGTAACCGTACCGGTGAGCGAGGCAGTCTCTGTCCATTGGTAGTTGATGGTTGTACCGACTTGGAGGAATTTCTCAACTGTGGCCGTAAACGAGGTGCTAACTGAGATGCTGTTTGCGATACTCTGGCCTTGAGCCATAGCAGCAGTGGCATCGGCCTCGTTGGCATGGATGATGGTGGACATTGGGATGTCCCAGCCAAGGAATTCGGAATCAGGAAGAGGGATGATGAACTGGGCACCAGCACGCTTGCTCAGACGTCTTGACAAGGTGGAGTTGTTATGCTTGGTCTCGAAGGATCTGGGGAAAGAATCGGTAGGAGGCGAGAGAGCAACGCTGCCCAGATTGAGCCCCAGATCCTTCTTGTCGATAGTATTCATCGTGCCGTCATGTAGGAGGAGGGCAACCTTGTCATGTCCGATGCTCTTGGGCCTCACAGTCTTGTCGGAGGGCAGAGCACCAACAAGTGAGCTGTTGATACAGAGGGAGGCTAGGAAAAACAAGTGTACCTTCATCGTGTCAGGTCAAAGTAAATCTGTCAATAACCGAGTAGATGTGCGTGAAAATAGATCAATGAAGAGTTGACAGGTCAGAGTAAATCATGGGAAGAAGACTTTATGTAGTGTCTGTCGGGGGATACTGGCTTTCATTCTTTGGCCAACGTTAGAAGGAATCACTTTGTACTTTTGCTAGACTAGACAGATCCGACTTACACTGCCATATTAGTGGAAAAGATCAGCTATAGTGATAGGATTCCAAGGCATTTACACGACAACCCGTGTTGTTTCACCTGCATAACCCCGAGAAATAGCCGTGGATATACAGATGCAAAGTCCATTCAGCCATAGCGGAAAAAGATTGCGAGATTAACATATTTGACTTTTCCCGGCCGTTGAACATTATGTAGATCATGTGCCATGGGGACTATTGTGCCAACCCATTGGCTCCAAAGGAATCTACCGAGTTATTAAATCCCCGGTTTATAACAGACTAACTAGAATGGACGTGCAATGGCTGCGGGAACCTATAGTTCGGCCCAGATAAAAGTGGGCTGGTCAAGTTCCGCACCATGCCCGGGTTTAATCTCCCAAGTTATACGAATAAAACATGGCCTACCTCAAGGGACCTGACAGGATGAAAGCGGCGATCATGAAACACCATGCATACAGATTAGGAAATAAAGATCCCAGATCATCGTACGTATGGGGATTCCTCGGGGTTTTCTATATTAGCCGTCCTAGCCTAAGGGCATCTGAGCTATATTGATACACGGAGTAGGCACCTCCTTCTGAACGTTCTTAAAGACCGCTTTTCCATATTTTAGAGCGGTAAATGTTACGATTGCAAGCCGACCCTTAAGAGATAGCTGATATTGATAATCATATCTTAACAAGCTGAAAGAATGATGGTCTCTATTCCACTCATCGTTGCAGCCCTGGCCACTAGGTAAGTTCTTTGCTCGGCCAACATAATTGACTCCGGAACTGATTTTTCATAGTGTCTTTGCAGACATTCATACTCAAGGTGTCTGTATCGATACTCCTAGCTCCGGAGTGGTAAGTCATAGTTCTACTGTCGAATAAGAGCACTTCTAACTGCTCTACAGCAAGTCTACAACAAAGCCGCCACCGAAAAGGCATGTGATGCTTATAAGAACCGAAACACCGGTAGCAAGCAATGGGATCAATGCCCCGACTGTACGTTGAAGAGTGAGCGGGACCTGTTGTACTACTGTGAGTCGGAAGACGAGCACATTGGAGGCGACGAGTTGAACTATTATTGCACGCAGAATGGTGCAGGAGATAGCGTGGCTTGGTAAAGGAGCTCTTAGGAAGGGACAGCTAGAGAGCCCAAATTTCTACTTCTACCTGTTACAAGCAAACTATGTTATCCCATGCGCGAAGTTTGTATAATTCATATCCAGATTGGATTAGTCGCTATGTTTTAATTCCAACCGTAAGGTTTTTGTTAGAACAACGGGCTGAGGGCATCGAATGGTCTATGCTGGACAGGAACTCACAGCCTCGCGTTCTGCAATCGCAAGGTTGAACTAGGTTGGCAAAGGAAAGGTTTCTTTTCTTTTCTTTTCTTTTTTTTTTTTTTTTTTTTTTTTTTTTTATTGTAACGTGGTCTATCACCAGACTGCGTAGTCGGTGACGAGCAACTCATACCAATTACTTCGTAAATCTATCTGGTTCCGGCCTCTCTATATTGAAGCATATCAGTACCGTAAACTCAGGAAGTTTTTCTCTAGTTAGCAATCTTCATAGTTTTTACATTGGCAGAATATCTTTTATAGTTTCAATCTTCTCAACTGATAGCAGTACGTCCATGCTCACTCATCGTCAGACCCTGACTCTCATTCATCACCAGACGGCATCTCCTATTCACCTAGCGCGCATTTTCATAATATTGCTGCATTGCTTGCCAGGCCTCCGCAGCAGGAGTATCCAGAGACACATTAGCGTCTTGCAGATTGCGCAAATGAATCGAGTCAGTCTGCGTAAATGGCGGGCAAGCTTGGATAAAGTCGCGCGGCACGTCGAGGTTAGGACACGGGCGAGGAGGGCAATCGTTCCTCTGTTCTAGCTTCCATGTCACAGTCACAACATGATAATCAAGCTGACCTGGGCGGACCTCATCTCTTACCCAGCGTTGGCCGCCCAGGACCGAGCTCCCTGTCCACGTGGATACTGACATATCCTCTTTACGGGCTGTGAGAATGGCACCATCCTTTCGTTCAAAAAACCATTTTTCGACTGCGTCGTTGGCAATCAAGTTTACCTCGTCCTTGCGTCTCTCAATCATCTCAAAGTCCACCGTGAAATAGGTAACACTGTCCGGGAGCCGGATTCTATTCACCCAAGCAGCATCAACATGCAGACGCGCATTGCGTTCCCAGAACCAGAAGTCTGAATAACGAATCGTCACAGCGACTCGCTTTGGATAGAAATGCTGCACGTCCAGGATTTTCTGTAGCTCACTCCCGGGCTCCAGCATCCAAAGCTGAGCAAACACGCGAATGCCACCCAGGCCCGATCTCCCACTGGATTGGTATCTTCCATATACCTCATGGACCCGTCGATTGTATTTCTTAAAACCACGAGGCCAGGTTCCGCCAGGAGACCGATCTGGCTGTGTTAGGTAAAAGCGGTGCTCAGCGAGGGCAAATTGCATTAACCAGGCTTCGCCGTAGAGTCGTCGACATGTTCTGAGGAGCTCCGTGGCTGTTCGCAGTGCAGCTGTGTTGCCCGGTCGCCACCAATAGGTGTCCTTGCTGTACTTTTGTTCAATACTTTCATATTCGGACAGAGCGTAAGCGTAAATCTCATGTCGGATCTCGGGCGGCAAAACCGAGAAGAGGGGGCTCTGGTTTTGGTTATTGTAGGAAGTGAAGTCGAGCGGCTGGAAATCAGGCATGATTTGATATTTTCTCTTTGATACAGTCGTCCTTTGGTATCCAAAAGGAATTCCTGTTGGGATTCTGTCAAGACGGTTTCATAAATAAAGGTGGGAGGGGCGGCTGCCTAAGGATCAGCACTACAGCCTTGTTGATTTCCTCATCGGGTCATAAGTGCATTGCCCCTCGTGTTGCTCCAGCGCCGCCTCCCAGAGCCGTGTGTGTATAAATCCCTCCAGTTTTCATGGAGCAAATTGAACAGTGCCAAAGCTTATACCCTATGGAAATCAAGCTGAAGCGGTGCAAGGGGTTGATAATCGTCGTGGCATTGGCTTGGGAAGGGACCATTTGACGCAGGTCAGAGTAGGTATACATGGGACACTGGGTGTATACCTTGCGGAGTGTTTAATTCGTATGCGTAGAAGCTCGCCCGAGTGAGGACAGTGTACATAGCTTGACGAACATCAAACCTCTTTCTGGAGCAGTTGGTCTGAGCCATGTCTTCTCATCAGGCTTATATTGCCGGGCAAGTAACGACTGCCATAATGCTCATGTCATTACTGAGCTTCTACGAGCTCTACCTGGGCTACTACAAGGACATCATGTATTTTTGTCAGCTTTGCATTGGCCCATGGCTGGGTTGTTGGCTGTGCGCCGAGATTACTACTGTGAAGCATGACCATGATATAGGTCTAGCAACATGATCTAATAATCTAAAATTGAGTGCCTTATATCTCAGACGATAAAGCAGAATTTGAACTCTACACCATTCGGCTTGGAGAGGATATCAAGACGTGCCATGCCATGCTGTCCATGCTAACGGCCGTAGTGAGTGATTGGCTGCCAGGCAACGAAAAGGATCGAAAGCGCCTATTTTGAGTCAAAGGCTGTGTAGATGCACATGTTCTGTTAATACCTCATAATCCTGTAGGCCATGGAATGGCACGTACTATGTCTGGTTGCGGCGTAGTCATTTGCATTGTTAGCGTCTTCGGCGCCCCCTCTTGGGATATGAGGGGCACGGAACCGCTTAAAATCCTACTGATTCATTGTTTTTCGAGGCCAAATTGATCAGGCTTATATTTTCCACTTCAAGTGAGAAAAGAAATCTCTTGTTCTTAGAAAACCGATCACCCATCATGTCGCCCAAACAACAACTCGATCAGTCTGCTCAACTCTTCACCTTCAGGGCTACCGTACCATCCATAGAAACTGAGGATCATGACCCTGACCATGACTCCCTTTCAAGCGATGCAGGACAGCGAACGCCACCAGAGTCCGACTCGGAAACCCCAGACGAAAGAAACTACGCCCCAAACGGCTCGGTCGTTTCCTTTGAGACAGCCAGCAATTTGGGCATTAGTGATACTCTGAGAGCATTGAGCTTGTCTTCAGGACAGTCGCTGTCGATTAATGCTGACTTTTTCGATGCGACGTCGGAACGTCCTGATAACTCTGGGCGACACACTTCTGTTCGTGATCCATTGCCCGGTCACAACCAGCCGGACCTTGACGAAGACCAAGGAGATCAAATTAGTACTGGAAGCAGTGCCGAGGACGATAGCAATATCTCGTCATTGGATGATGTGCCACAGGAACTGCCGCCTTCCGCGCCTATATTCGACAGTGACCTTCAGGGAATCCTAGGAGACGTCAAGGAACATTTGTCAAGCATAATCTCTGACATGGGGCAGTGCCCTTTGATTACTGATCAAGGATCCGACCTCTCAAAACAGTACGAGCAAGTGCGAATGGCAAGTCAACTTGACTGTCCAGAAACTCGCACTGTAGGATTCATTGGGGACTCGGGGGTTGGCAAGAGCAGGTTGATTAACTCTCTCCTGAACCTGGATGGACTGGCCCGGTCGGTATGTCAATAAATCTCTCGAAAAAAAAAAAAAAAAAATGATAACGTGTTACTAAGTTGTCAGAGTGCTGAGGGCTCGGCCTGTACTTCTGTCGTTACCGAGTTCCGTGATATAGATCCCCACCATCCCAGTTGGACAATCGAAGTCCTCTACATGGACTCTGAAGAAGTAAAGGAACTGCTTGAGGAACTCCTCCAGAGCTTCAGAATGTTTTACACAGATACCTTTCGTGAGGTGACCAACATGAAAGAACAAGAGCTCATTCGCGAGCGGTCAACCAGGGCATGGGCGACGTTACATTCAATGTTTCGCGGCCAGCCAGACCTCACGCACGAATTTCTTGCTGACCAGACAGATGCCGCAGACTCGCGAATTCTGGAGAGACTTCAAAAATGGACACAGCCTTCGTCTAGACAACGTCCCGGAGGCCCAGCGCTGCAACATAAAGCTGTACTGGGTAGCTTTAACCGCTGTCAGTCCCATCTTGATAGACTTACAATGGACCCGCAGGATGAAGGAGAGACTGCAATCTGGCCTTTTATAAAGCTAATTAGGTAAGGAGGCTGCGCAAAGTCTGTATTCATAGACATTTTTATTCAAATATGGCTTACCAATGGCAGAGTGTACTTGCCTTCACCAATTCTACGTACCGGCTTAGTGTTGGCAGACTTGCCTGGTTTGTGCTTCAAGTCCCTTTTGCAGCTACTATTACATGTGTTAACTTGCATTGCAGGCTTCCGCGACCTGAATTTCGCTCGGGTTCGTGCAACTGACAGATATCTTAAACACTCCTGCAATGAGGTTTTCGTTGTGACAACAATATCGAGGTGCATCACCGACCAGAGTATTGATGAGATAAAATCTCGATGCAATAAAGGACAGCCAATACGTATCGTGTGTACTAGAAGTGAAGTTAGTACATCAAATTATTGTTTCGAGGTACGTTTGCTCACGCAATGTAGGATGTTATAGCAAATGAAATGGCTCGCCAGTACAGTGATCTTGCCCCGGAGATAAACAGGCTACAAAGAGGGGTAAGACACGCGCAGAGCAGACTCACCGAAGCACTTACAACAACCGGTGGTGGAAACCTACGTGAACTCATGTGAGTCTTTCTTCCCGCACTTATTCTTGATAGGAGCTTCCATACTTATATATCTCGTTATAGAAGCAACAAAGATAGAGCCCAATTTGAGTATTCTATGCCCAGCAACTACAGCACAACAAGGCTCTGATGCTAAGTCTCCTTAGGCGCGACCAATTCTTGATCCGGAACCGGAATCAGCGGGTTGAAGCATGCCTTAGGAAGCATGGCGAGGAAATTCGTATTTTCTGCATCAGTAACGAACTGTACTCTCGGCACCGTGGAGGTAACATGACGCATGACGATGATTATCTTCAGCTCAGTTGTATTCGTGAACTACGACATTACTGTCAATTAGTTCCAGCCGAAGCGCAATTCCGCTTCATTGCTGCGTTTCTAGAGCACCGTGCACCAGCCGTGCTGCGATCTGTGAAACAATGGACCCTGACTGGTTGCGACAATGTCACCGCTGAGAGGGCGAAAACACTGCGACAAGTATTGCTGGATATCAAAAGAGCTTTCTGTGAGGTATGATAATTCTGCATGATATTTTCCCCAGCTGACATCCATCAGGCGCTTATCCCGCAAAACGCAGGATTCCGAGCATTCCCTAAAAGGCTCAAGGAGCGTTTTGAGGATGAAATACTCGATGTAGCCTGTGAGTGGCATCTTGCAATTGTGTGAGCCGTGCAACGGCTGTTCTAATGTTTTGGGAATATATCGCAGATAAACGAGCTTCCGAATGGAGAAAAAGTGCGCTTCAAACCAGCATGGCATGGCAGAGTGTACGTCGATAATATTTTTTTCAATACTGGACTGAATCCATCTCAAGATGGCTGACTTATTTCAGTGGCATCATTCTACTTACGCGGCCTTTTGCCGAAATTACGGCACGCATTCGACAAGAAATGCCGGCTCTCATTGTTGGAATACCGAACTCCTAGAAGGCACGAAGGCAGATTTGGAAGAATCTTGGTCCTCTTTGGAAGATTGGATCCTCACTCAAAAACGTCTATTAAATGACGCCGTGAGAGCCGCTTTCCAGAAAAATCTTGAATGTTTGGAAGGTAAAGCTCATATCTTTAACCTAGACATTTCTATTTACAATACACGGGATGGTTGCTGAAAAGCGTTACAGACAATATAATGCTGGCGCCAATTGCATTAAAAAACTTGATTGACAACATGGATGACAGAGAGGCTTGCATAACCAACAGCGTTGAGCAGTTGCTCAACAGCCTTATGAAAGCTTTAAGGTATAATTTTATCAATTTAATTGCCTATGCTGAACTAATGTGTTGGTTCAGTCTAGTAAAGGGAGACGCTCTCCATGGCCACGCTAGCTCATACATGGCTGGGTTGATGCGGCCTGTTTATAACAAGTGTAACAATGACACAGGTATGAATAAATTCCTAGCAAAAAAAAAAAAAAAATCAATCTTCCTAACGATTATGCTGACTACTACCAAAGGTCAAGGTGTTGACGCCCGGCGAAAATGCTATATGAGAGATCACCTCACCAACACCACGATATTTCTTCATCTCATAGAGGCCATCAATACCGACTGCCGCTCTCTTTTTCGGGAAACCTTCTCAGAGCTGAAGCAAGTGATCCATCAGGAAATGGAAAACATATATAGCGATCTCCACAACGTCATGGCAGAGGAGGGCGAGATAACTGAAGCAACAAGGTTTCCAGTTGTTGCCAGCAGACTACGTGATAAAGTAGATGTGGCTGAAAGTACACTTCAACAGGCATGTGAAATTGTTGGCAGATTGCGAAACACCCCATCCTTATCTTGAACATACCATGGGGACTGGCTTGTTGATCTGGTTGCCTAGCTAGTGAAACGATTGCAGCCTTGGTCATTTTCCAGTTATGATTTAAAACTAAGGCAATATTTTTTAAGCCTGTTCAAGAAGTGGATGCAGACGTATAATTTTTATGGATAGTTTGTGCTTTAACACTGGGTAATTTTGAATTGTTCCTGCAACACTTATTTCAATCTCTCAATCTTTGTTAAGCGCAGAGTACATTCACAAAAGTAGACTAATTACTCACCACAGAAAAGGAAATCAGGTTGTGCCTAGCGGCAAATCAAAGTAGAGGGTTATAAGACACTAGGCCGAAGGGGAAGGATAGTCACTGAGAGTAAGAATGATGAGGAGAAAGCAACCATAAGAAGGAAAAAGAATGATCGCGCTGCCTACACCAACGCGCATTTAAAACTTCGAAAGCAACAGAATTAGAAAAATGCGAATGCCAAGGACAGGGAAACCATGGGGGAAGAGCTGAATTTACAGATCCAGCATGATCAGTATGTTCTTGCTATGTCACAATCATGATTGTGAAATTCTTTCCAATGTGGGGTCGGTTTTCAGCTATGAAAAGGGCCAATCTATGGAATGATACAAAGACCAACTGGCACTCAAGAAACACATTGATTCTGACGACCCGTGATCCGCTAATTGCGGAAGGTCTATGGCCGCCTCAGAGGTTATCCCGAGGATTAGCACCGAGGTATTGGACCACGTAAGGTCAATCATACTTTGTCCCCGGGTCTGGGAATCTGAGGGAGCACATGGCAGCCGTGCTCATATGCTAGTAGCAGTGCTGCTTCATGCACCTCCTAGTTTCGGCCGATCTCACAGTTGGAGAATATGCAGGTGAGAAAGTTTGTCTAGCATGATAGAGAGTAGAGACTGTTGGTGATGGCCGTAAGATTAATAGTAGCGGTGTTATGTACTCGGTGATTGGCTGGGGAATCGCGAGGTGTTCACGATTTTGGTGAAGTGTACCGCGATCATGCATGGCAAATTCGCAATGGCCATTCATGAGATCCGAAACTATGAATAAGTTTTCCCTGGTATTACTGATCCATGGACAATATAGACGAAAATGCATTCAACGAGTATGTCTATTCGTAGACTTTCCGAGACATTACCCCGGATTTCTGACTCGACAGCAGGTCACTCATAGTGCGTAGTGCTCGTGCACACGCACGAGCACGGGGTGACCGGTTCGGCCCCTCGGGATCCGATGCTTTGCTCCAGAGTAACTTCCGTCAGAAAGCCTCATGATTAGTTTAGTAAAAAGCGTGTCAAATGCCAGCAACGGGTGGTTATCTGTACTCCGTATTCTCGATCGAAGATACGGAGGGGCAACAGGTTACCGGAGCAAAAGTAGTTACTTTTGCCGAGTCAGTGCTCCGGAATGGCCTCTAAGCCGCCTATGTATCCACCGGCATAATTAACGGCCGACGGTCTACCACTAATTGACCAACTCTGAGCGAGAAATTGCACACACCGGATGGAGTATAAGGCCGGCCGAAGGATTCCAGGGTACGAAAAAGATTGCAGATAGCGCGATTTGTACGTATGCCGAGCACAGACTTCGGCTCAGACCGGTTTTTTTCTTTCCTTTTTTCCCTTTTTACGCCGATAATAATTTCGCGCTGCTTTGTAAACGCCCCCTTGTCGCATCGCGCTTCGCGTTATGCTGAAGTTCTTATAGAATATAGTCGCTTTGTTGCATTTCAATAGACTATCCAGCATCCGGAAGATGTCTATTATATACACAATGTACATCGTAGGCGTGCTGACGGGTTTCCGTTTTCGGTGACAGGTAGTCTCCGACCACCTTCCCCATATGGCTAGCATTATGACTTCATATTACGGTTAAACCATTTTCAGTGATCTAAACGAAAACTCTTTTATGCGCATTGGCACTTACTTATATATCCAGGCAGCCTCGCCCAAAGCCGGTTTCCCTCCTCTGCCCTTTCAATTCGCCTCCCTCTTAGGGTTTTTTTTTTTATATATACTTATCGAGGTACGCTTTCCGTCCGAATTCACTCATATACAGGTCCCGACGGCCATCGATCGAGCACATCATTCTTACACGAGGAATTAGAACTGTTAGCTGCGCTGCTAATTCTCAAATCCGATCGATACATGTCAACTGCATATCAAGCAACATTGTTACCGTTTTTTTCTCCCATCTTTTCTGTCTTTCCCATAGGCACACACACCACTATAACGGTCCCGAACTTGACCCGGATTTTACAGCCCCTGCTTCAGTATCGATTGAAGTAGCGACAACACATCGCCAGCAGCAACATATCGCCTTTCTGACACCCGTTGCACCAACCCCCACTTTCCGATACCTGCGCCGTTCAATCCATCGCGAGCCCGAAACACAACTTCCGTGTGCGCCAATCCGTGTCCCCGATATTTGACTCGCCCCGATAATACCTCAGCAGCCATTGCGCCAAATCCACGGACTGCCGGAATACCACGTCCCTGCGACTTTCTTGCCCAGCTTCATTCATATCTAGGTTATAAGAATTTCCCAATCACGGCAATCCCACAGGTTTAGGTAGACCTAGCCGCCCAACGCAAAACTCGTAATTCACAAATACCCGTTGAGATACCGATCCGTCGCGACAGACCACCAAATCACCCCACTTGCGACACACCATCACCATGGGTAACTGGGACTGGACCGCTTTCTTTAGCTCACGAGACCGGCGGAATTTCCCCGGTGTCGTGATGCCACTTGCCGATGCCCCAGCACCTCAACAATCGATACCCAATGCAGAAAAGGAAAAGGAACCGGATAACGATGCGAATAGCAACAAGCTAACCACAGCGTCATCCGAAGAGAAAGGCGCCAGTCCTGTGCCCCAAAGCGGTTCACTGACTCTCGAAGCCCTTCGTGCGGAGGTTGAATCGGACATTGCCGCCTCGGGTTTGGACACTGCCTATGATCGTACGTTCGCTTGCCTGGTTTTGTGTTCAGATGCAGGATAGCGTTGCATGATTCTCTGCGATGCTCCCATGCATCTCTTCCCCTTTGCTTTGGTATGCTGACCATCATACAGGGAAGGCAAAGGTTATCAATAGAGCAATTCAGGACATTGGTATGGGCCGGTACCAATGGGATCTATTTGTTCTCTGTGGATTTGGCTGGATTGCCGACAAGTGAGTATCCCGATGAAAACATAAGAGAATGTACATTGCTAACCGTGATCATTACAGCCTCTGGCTACAGGTGAGACTATTCAGTGTACTTTTCCAGCAACCGCAAAACTAACACATGCAGGGTGTGGCACTGACGCTGAACTCACTGTCTGCTGAATTCGGAGTTGATTCTTCCTACGTGCGTTTCACAACATGCTCCCTTTTCGTCGGACTGATTGTTGGTGCTTCGTTCTGGGGTCTGGCCTCTGACGCGATTGGTCGCCGTCCTGCCTTCAACATGACTTTGTTCCTCTGCGGTGTTTTTGGACTTGCTGCCGGTGGTGCTCCCAACTGGATCGCGTAAGTTAATGTCTTCATGATTTTGGTCCCTGTTTTTTTTTTTTTTAACAACGTATAGTGTGTGTGCTCTCTTTGCCTGTCTTGGCTTGGGTGTTGGTGGCAACCTGCCCGTTGATGCAGCCATCTTTCTGGAATTCCTGCCCTTCGCCTCAGGGGCCCTTTTGAGCTCCCTGGCTCTGTTCTGGTCCATAGGCACCCTCATTTCCAGTCTGCTTGCCTGGGCATTCATCGTCAACTATTCGTGCCCTGAAAACGAGCCTTGTACCAAGGAAAACAACTGGGGATGGAGATATCTGGTCTTGTCCTTGGGTGCCATCACATTCGCCATGTTCCTTGCACGCTTTTTCCTCTTCACGCTCTATGAGTCTCCTAAGTTCCTTGTCTCCAGAGGTCGCCAGGATGAGGCTGTCACCGCTGTACAGGGCATTGCCTACAAGAACAAGACTCAGACTTGGCTCACAGATGAGGTTCTGAACGAGATTGGTGGATATCCTGAGGAGGTTTCAGACCAGAAGCTTTCCTATATGCAAATTTTCAAACGGTCTTTGTCAAAGTTCTCATACGAGCAGGTCACCCCTCTGTTCGGAACAAAGAGACTCGGAATCACAACCCTTATCATCTGGTTTTTGTGGACCACCATCGGAATGGGCTACACCTTGTTCAACGCCTTCCTCCCGCAGTATCTCAGTACCTCATCCTCCGTCTACGAAACCTACCGCAACTACGCCATTACTGCCGTCTGTGGTATCCCCGGTCCCATGGTTGCCTACTTCACCGTCGATCTTAAGTACATCGGCCGCAAGGGCACCCTCGCCATCTCCACCCTCATCACCGGCGTCCTCCTCTTCTGCTTCACAGCCTCCCAAGACCCCAACGTCCAGCTCGTCTGCTCAGCCCTCGAGTCCTTCTTCCAGATGATTATGTACGGTGTTCTCTACGCATACACACCCGAAGTCTTCCCTGCGCCGAACCGTGGAACGGGAACTGGTATCGCTAGTTGCCTGAATCGGATTGCTGGTCTTTGTGCGCCAATCATCGCCATTTATGGGGGTGCTAATGCGTCGGCTCCGATTTATGCTTCTGGTGCGCTATTGCTGGTTTCGTTTGTTGCTATGTGCTTGTTGCCGATTGAGACTAGGGGTAAGCAGTCCCTGTAAGGTTTTGAGCATATAAAAGTTTACGGCAAGGCCGTTGTTATTCTTGTGTTTGAGTGCTGGATACCCAGAGGTGGAGCGATAGATCTTAGATTCATTAGCGTATTAAAAAAATCATGCCAATTACGATGTTGTTACTGAATGCCAGAACGCTTTTATTAGTACACCCAGCCTTTTCGGCCGGGAATCAAAGTTGGTAGCCGCTGGTTTTCATTACATATTATCCCTCCCAAGTGCAACTGAGTTCTAGCAGAATTTTCATATATACTCACCAAGTAAACATGTTCGAAATCGACAGCCTTGACATCCATGTCATTGTCAATGACGAACTTGACCCCATCTCTCCGAGCCCTGCTGCTGCCGTGAAAGTTGCGAGTCGGTCTATGGGTATTTCTCTCGCTTTTCAGCTCGGAACGGTGGAGTGACTACGGAAATGCGCATGGAGGGCATTTGCTGTGCGGCTCATGGGATTTCTTTGCTTCTTGTGGGTTTTCTCTTTAGCCATGTTGTGAACTAACATATGTGCTTTTTTTCTGGACAGGCCGAAGGTTCTCCTTTTCCGTTTTAGTGTTCACTGGGCATGCTCTGAGCAGCCTGAGCTGATCACTGGGTAGAGACTGAGCAGAGGGTGAGTAACCTGACTACGGTAGCCTCAATAAACTCAACAAAGCGATGGCACCATCAATGGAACAGGGAATTGAGGTCATAGTTCCTTCTGCTCCGCTTCTTACCATGCCAACTTCTCCCCCGAGATAGTGGGCTAAGCTCCTATGAAGATTCAATTCACTCCAGAGATTACCCTATGTCTGGGGAGCGTGCTCTAGCTTTCAAGGGCAGAATCGGCCGTCTTAGGATCTAGTCTAGGACTCCTAGGAGCCTGAAATATACCAGGAGCAAGCAAGGCCATGCGGAAATACTAAGGGCATAGAACCAATTGCCACAAAGGCTTACTGCTTAGGATGACAACAGTAAATGATCCCTACTGGCAAAGCGTTATTAGTGTTCTTGCCTATCATCCAAATGTAGCGTCATATTTCTTCCTCACAACCGTGCTTTGTCTGGTTCCATGCTATTATAAGTCTATGAGAACTCATTATTCTTTCTTTTCTTCTTGTGTTGGCTTTTGATATAAATTACTTTATTAAGTGCCATTTTCTTAATCAAGTTTATTGCCCATATTGAGCTCAATAGCTATGACAGACCATATTCAATGGACTCGAGGCTCGTAGCTGTTTTTTGGTCTCTTGTCTCTATGAGTTCCCGAGGTAGTCCCCTTTCTATAAATTTTTCTAATCCTTTTCTCACCCCAAACTGTCTGTATGCGCAGGCCTTTTTGTTACAATCTCGAACAATATAAATTTATTGGTAGATTCTCCATCGAAATACTAACATGGAGAAGGAAAGAAAGAAGCTGGGCCTGCCAGCGCTGCGCTATCTAGTGTACAAAGGGGGTTCCTGCCCTATATCCAAACAGGCCAAAGTATACAAGCATCTTGCGTTGCTGTTGAATGCCCGCGCTCCGTTATACTAAGGCTTAAACGGGTCGTGATGCGCTAGATGGCGTGGTTTCCGAAACGGCGTGTGGATTTCGAGAAGGGGCACCAGGAAATGCGGGCCGACTGCGCTCTGACTGCAAAGACTTATAGGGAAGTTGTAGTGACCACTTCAATAAAATTTTCATCCACAGTCAGCTCCATAGCCGCGGCACGGTCCCATTTGTGGCTTTTGACTTCAGAATGTAATCGATTCTTTGTAAAATCAAAATAGCATTCTTCTAGTACTTGTTGGATACTTGATAAGACAGAATGCTGGGCACCATATGGAAAGTATGATGGATAGAGAGAATACATGGGTAATCTCGGTTCTAATGCAGGTATATTGCACATGAAGCATCACCCAAACCATTATTTCACTTTGCACACACGCTTTCCAATAGCTGAGAATCCAAAGTAGCCGATCTGCATTTCTTATCAAGTTGATCGACGGTTAAACTTATGTCCGTGCTTAATCCCGTGGAGGCGCCCTAGTGCTCCGACATAAGATCGTGTAAGTTCGAAGCCCCTATGATGGAATAACATCGTGCAAGTTATTCTTACCGAGGTCAAACAGGTCTAGTAACACTATAGATCAACAGGAGCATTTCCTCCCATGAGGGGCGGTTTTCAAAAAGACTAGATAGTGGCGAACGACCTCCACGACTCGATCTCAGAGTAGACTCGTGACGAAGAGGCAATGTTCCGTACAATCCATAAGAAAAGACAATATTTTCTCTTAATCCCTAAGTCATATTGACTACATAGTCAGGTTTCTATACACATCCTGGAACCTGTTAAAGCAAGAGCCAAGATCATACAGATAGGCCTGCAGGATCTGGGTAAATTGTGTGGTGGCCCGAGATGGAATCGGTAGCTGAGAAGATCTCGCCCGGCATGGAAAGCTAGAGATAATCCGTAGCTGGAAAGCTGGAAAACATGGCAGGCAGATGCCTGAAATAATTCTCGAGAAAGACCTGGGGGGTGCTAGGGTATCAGGAAATGCACGTGATGCGTGTTTATCGAATTCCCCAGACTTTAGAATATCCGCTAATAAACTCTTTTGTGGGGTATTGCGGGGTTTTGACCTTACTCAGACTCGATTTGTCGTTAATTCATTGGCACAACCAGTCGACCCGAGTAAAGGCAGCAGAACTCCGGCAACTTTCTCGGCACATCATGGACTTCGCCTGGCCCATGGACACCACAAGATCAGCACATTTCAAAGTCTTGCCTTCTGTGAATTGAGATTAGAGATTGAAGTATGCTAATAAAACGTTTTCCATAATGACCGTCATGGTACATCTTCATGTCACCTTCATGGCCTTACAAAACCCTTTCTTCAGGCTCTTCGGCTGAGTATATCGTTATTCTGGGATACCAACTCCAGTTCAATAGCAGTGATGTAAAGAAGAGATGGTCCATTTAGTGTTTTCTAAAGGCGCTTCGTTAAGCGATCTGCATTTACGTCTTTTGGGCAGATCGGAAGAGGTGACGACTGTTCAAAGGCGTATCGGAAGCTGCTTCGGCATACTGTGACGAAGATCTCCGCTTTCTGGGGAAATATTGGAGTCAACAAGGCTTGGCTTTATGAGCTTCGAATCCTGCATGGGCCATATGTCACCCCTTGTCCACTTGTTGATCAGGTTATGGCCAATGATTGCAGGCCATCGAATGAAGCGTATATGTGCCGATATTGCTTCCGATGGGGATTTAAGTTCTTGTAGCTTCTTGGTAGCTCCCCGTGGGGTTCAAACCCGGGGTTCCCCTGCTGTGTAACTATAAATTCAGGGTTCAGGGCCACTGGATTGAACGAGTTGCGATTAAATTTGTCCGTTCGTCTGATTTGAGCATTTGTTGTTTCTTTCTTTAAACTGCTCTCTATACAAAACAATGTCGGGAAGGATGGATGACGAAATCATGCGCGGCAATTCCAAAGCTTCGCACAGTGAGGTCGGAGCTATGCCTGCACTCACCCAGGTCCCTACCACGGTGACTCTGTCTGCAGAGCAGTTCGAGAAGCTCTACCTGAGTCCTATGATGCACCGCCAGCCGACTCTCGCAAAGAATCTAGGAAACCCTACTCCACTGTACGCAATTATTATCTCTCCCTTCCTCGAGAAAAAGCCATTATATATTAACTGTGCAACTCTAGGGGAATTGGAGCTTTCGTGCTTACAGCCACGCCACTTGCGTGTTGTTTGATGTCATGGAGAGGTGCCGGTGGAGGTGGTGCTGCATTCACGTAAGATACAACTTCGATAAACCATTGAGAGGGACATCGGCTTACATGTCGCAGTGGAGTCTTGGTCTTATTCGGTGGGCTCTTGCTGGTCCTGTCCTGTATTCTTGAATTTATCCTCGGGAATACATTCTCTTCGGTTGTGTTCGGTCACTTAGGTAAGCTGTCTTCCTCGATTGAATTGAACAAAATCGAACAGAGAATTAACTCAATATAGGTGCATTCTGCTTGGCTTTCGGTGCTAGCATGACCCCGGCGTTTAACTCTGCAGCTCCATACTCTCCAGATGGAACCGATACTTTGGCAGGCCTTCACAGTCCCGGATTTGTGAACACCTTCGGTATGCGTCCTTCCCTTGTATTATTTTACAGACTCTAACCCAGTTCGAATAGCATTCTTCTTCCTATTTATGGCGGTATTGATGTTGATCTATAGCGTCTGCGCAACTCGTACCAATTTGGTGTTTGTGCTGATCTTCGCGTCCCTGATCTTGGTGTTCTCGCTCTTGGCCGCCGCGTACTGGAAATTGGGCCTCGAAGATGCCGTTATGGGTAATCGCTTGACTGTGGTGAGTTTATAGCCATCACCAGTATCCTAATGCAGAAAATTAATCAAGGGACTCCAGGGCGCTGGCGCTGCTTTATTCGTGGCTACTATGTTAGGCTTCTATCTGTTGACGGCGCAGTTGCTTGACTCTGTTGGCTTCCCTCTCTCCTTGCCTATTGGAGATTTGAGCGGGGTTTGGGATCGCTCACGCAAACAGTAAGTTTTGTTGCTATCAATGGCGTCAAATGCATGTTCATCATCTGACAAACAGGAATAGCTCAGATCCAGAGCTAGGTTCTGATGACAACGGCAAGCTTTAGTCCTGCGATGCCTCGAATCTCTATAGATTAGGGCTATAATATGTCCTGTTGGCCATACCAGATGGCGGGGAGTAGCAGATGCTATTTTATAGGTGCAGAGGTGGTAATAATTCGCTCATGAGGCTGACCGCGCAATTAAAGGGTTCTTAATGTTTCAATGCAGTGATAATCTATTACATGAATAATATCTTTATCAACTTCTAGTAGTCGTCCACTTCCTGAAGATCCCAATCCAGCAGAAGCCGAAGGGATTGGGACGGTGAAGCCGGGAGAGCTTCAAGCGACCCTGGTACTGAAGAATGTTTAATATCGCTAAGCCTCCGTCAACAAGATAGGAGTGCAGCCGTCGTATAAGAGAACTTCACTATTCCATCACAGCAAACCCGTATCAAAAGCGATCCCCCGTGTTTCTGCTTCCCAAGGGGTCCTAGTCTATGACCATTACGACTACGGTATCTGTATCCGGTGGCTACACTTTGCGCGACTGGTTCAGACTATTTTCTATGATATTTTTACCACGGAAATCATTGCGATAGAAACCGGAGCACGGATATATAAGCCACCAAGATTTAGCTCTAAGAGGCATGGATCTCGTGGATGCTAAGGCTCATCCATGGCCAATTTGGGAGTGTACTCAGGGTATGCTAAGGCATGCGCAAATATACTTAGAAAAAGCGGCAAAGGCTGATCAATAAAAACAGAAAGAGAAAGACCAAAGGTGCCTAAATAATTACATATACTACGCACTCTTTGTCCACTTGGGCTAGTTTCTTCGAGGGGGAAGGAGAGACGAGTCCATTGTGCACGATCCATTGATTCATTTTCTTATGGAGTCGCAGCACAGGATATATCTGCGATTCGGTGCTACTCAGCGTTATTCTGAGACCCATGTTGAATATGGCAAAATGCAAAAAGACAGAAATTACAACAGTATTTTATCGATGGAATCACCCACTTTTCTCTCTATTTCTCTTTTGCTCGTTCTTTTGAGTTTCTTGAATTCTGCCTGAGGCACTATTTCGGAGTTGTGTCCCAACTCCGGGAGAACTATAGAACATCCTACAGGAGTACCAGAAATCATGCAGTGCTAATCACTGGTCCAGAATTGGTTATTATAGTCGGTCTACAATGCTCAGTATTAGCCTGCTACTATTGCTTCTCGTATTTTCAATTGACTCATTCTTTTTGGCCTTAAGAAGGCCCTCTGTTTCTCTCCTTTCATCTCCAGGACACATTCATCACTCTCCTCCCTTCTCCCTGAGCATACATCATATGTCATTGAGAATCTTTCGTTGGCAGTCATCTCAAATTTTTGACAATACATATACAATCGAAAATCATGGCCCTGGCGACCCTCCGGACAAGGGCTCTCCCGCGAGCACCATTTAAAAACCAATTCAGAGCGTGAGCATCCAAGGCAACAAAGAACTACTTGAACACAAGGTCCAGTGTCTAACTTGGTCATCTTTAAAAAGGCTTTCCACAACCCCCCACCGCCACGATGACACCCTCAACAAAGTCTCCTCCAAAATTACCCAACCCAAGTCCCAAGGCGCCTCCCAAGCAATGCTCTACGCAACCGGCCTCTCAGAATCCGACATGAAAAAGCCCCAAGTTGGTATATCCTCCGTCTGGTTCGAAGGAAACCCCTGTAACAAGCACCTCCTCGATTTATCCGGAAAAGTCCGTGACTCTGTCGCCCACGCGGGGTTGGTTCCCATGCGTTTTAACTCCGTTGGTGTGTCGGATGGAATTAGCATGGGGACGTCTGGGATGCGGTATAGTCTGCAGAGTCGAGAGATTATCGCCGATGGAATTGAGACGGTGATGAATGCGCAGTGGTATGATGCGAATATTTCGCTGCCGGGGTGTGATAAGAATATGCCCGGTGTGGTTATGGCCATGGGAAGGGTGAATAGGCCGAGTATTATGATTTATGGAGGGAGTATTAAACCCGGGTGCAGTGCGAAGGGGAAGCAGTTGGATCTTGTGAGTGCTTTCCAATCGTATGGGCAGTATATCACGAGCGAGATCGATGAGAAGGAACGGTTTGACATCATCCGCAATGCGTGTCCCGGGGCTGGTGCTTGCGGGGGTATGTATACGGCAAATACGCTCGCAACGGCGATTGAGACGATGGGTTTGACGGTCCCGGGAAGCAGTAGCTGTCCAGCTGAGGACGGGAGGAAGCAAGCTGAGTGTGAGGATATTGGGGAGACGGTCAAGAATCTTCTAAAAGAAGACATCCGTCCCCGCGACATCCTAACCCGTCAAGCATTCGAGAATGCAATGATCGTCGTGAACATCCTAGGAGGCAGCACAAACGCCGTTCTCCACCTAATCGCCATGGCCGACGCCGTAGGCATAAAGTTAACAATTGACGACTTCCAAGCCGTATCCGACAAAACACCTTTCTTAGCAGACCTCAAGCCCTCCGGCAAACACGTCATGCACGACCTGTACAAAATCGGTGGCACACCCGCGCTCCTCAAATTCCTCCTCAAGGAAAACTTAATCGACGGCTCTGGAATTACCGTCACTGGCAAAACAATGAAACAAAACGTCTCCTCATGGCCAGACTTCCCACAAGAACAACCCATCATCCGCCCCCTAACCAACCCCATCAAACCATCCGGCCATCTCCAGATCCTGCGCGGCTCACTGGCCCCGGGGGGCTCGGTGGGGAAAATCACTGGCAAAGAAGGCCTCCGCTTCGAAGGCACGGCCAAATGCTACGACTACGAAGACGCATTCATAGAGGCGCTCGAGCGCGGGGACATTAAAAAAGGTGAGAAAACAGTCGTCATTATCCGCTATGAGGGCCCCAAGGGCGGGCCCGGGATGCCGGAGATGCTCAAACCTAGTGCGGCAATTATGGGTGCAGGATTGGGGAATGATGTTGCTTTGATTACGGATGGGCGGTTTTCGGGTGGGAGCCATGGGTTTTTGATCGGGCATGTTGTTCCTGAGGCGATAGAAGGGGGGCCTATTGGGCTGGCGAGGGATGGGGATCGGGTCATTATTGATGCGGAGGAGAGGGTTGTTGATTTGGTTGTTGGGGAGGGGGAGATGGAGAGGAGAAAGGGGGAGTGGAGGGCACCGGAGGGAAGGGCTAGGAAGGGGACTTTGAAAAAGTATGCGTTGTTGGTTAGCGATGCTAGTCACGGGTGTGTTACTGATGGGCCGATTTAGTGAACCCTAGGCAATTGTAGTAACGTTATAGCATCGCATTCAAAATAAATAAGGCTATTTTCAAACGAACGAACGTCAGATCTAACCACCATGGTATACCAAATCAACCAACAGGATATCAGAAGATAAACGAAAGACCATGTCATGGCAAACATAACTTATCATCAAACATAACTTTCACCCTCATTTCATAACACATTCGCTCATATCGCCAACTATAGTACCAACCGTACTCATTCAACCATAACCTCCAACTTACAGCCAAACCAACCCAATCAATCCCACGACGGCAGCCAAACTTGCAGCCCTTGGAACCCCCTGAGCCGACGCCGCATTCGTGTCATTGTCAGTAGAACCAGAGCCCGAGCCCGACCTAGAACCAGAGGCAGAGCTAGAGCTAGAACCAGTAGCAGTTGCAGAAGTACTCGGGATCAGGGTCGATGCGGCACTGATGGCGGAGGTAGTGGCGGTTGGGTTGTAGCTGGTGGTTGTGAAGGAGCAGGCGCGGAGGATGTCGTTGGCATCTAGGTGTGTTAGTTGGGTATGATGGAGGGGGTAGGGTTTTCTTACCGTTGTCGTGGGGGTCGTCGCGCTTGGACTTGTGGATAGATCGCTTAATTGAGCGCTTGGTGCGGGAGTCGCGGTCGTTGTCATTGTCGCGATCAGTGTCCCGGTCATTGTCCCGGTCATTATCGCGGTCGTTGTCTCCATCATTATCATCATCTCGGTCATTGTCGCGGTCATAATCGTCGTCGTCGTCATCATCATCATCATCATCATCATCATCGTGCTTGGTCTCGTTCCGATACTGCGAGATACAAGCCTCACACAACGGAACCAGCGTTGGCGCCTGCTGCCACTCGCAAATGCACTTTGTTTCCGCTGAGTCACTGTCATGCATCGCGTCGCATTTGTGCGAGATGCCGACTACGGGGCCGCAGACTTGCCAGCAGCGGTTGGGGACGTCGTCGCTGTCGAGGGTGTTGGCTAGGGCCAGGCTGCTGGTGAGCAGGGCGCTGGAGAGGAGGACGAGGCTTTTGATTTGCATGGTAATGGTTGTTGACTGCGAGGCAGTTGTAGTGATGAGAGGGATTGGTATCGTCGATGATGATACTGAACTCGTGCGGCGAGGGCTATTTATGTCCTTGTCCTCGTACTCGTGATGTTTCTATATTTACCTCCGTCAAACCATACATCCTATTTCCTCCGTTATACCAAGTACAGACTCTCGACATCAAGTCAAGTATAGCAACCAACCCACCAACCCACTAAACCAAGATAACCAAGTGCCAAAAACGTGGTATACCAATCCCAGGACAACAAACAACGCTGCCTAGCATACATCTCGCTACTGTCATGCCCATCATTGCTGCATTTGTGAGGAATGCGGAGAATACTTTGCCGAAATCGAAGCTGCATGCCGCTTGGACCCTGGACCCTGCCGTTGGGTTTTGCCGATTAGGGTATGCTGTATGTGTGGACGGAGATGTTCCGTGATATGTACGTACTTGGTTTTGAGGTTGATGGTATGAATAGAATAAGATGTACGAATATTCACCTTGCATTATAGTTATAAGATTTGCTCTTACCAACCCGCGTTGGTGCTCTATGTCCAATATCCGACAGTACTCCGTACAAGTACGCCGAAATAGAACGTGCAGTATCCCACCCTCGTCCAACTCCTCCAAATATCACTTACCTTATCACAAAGCTCGCTTATCACAAACTCGCTAGTTAGCATGTCGATCCCATGCCCAGAAAAAAATCTACTTAGGTTATTGCATGTACTCCACCCGCCAAATCGCAGATGCTGGTTTGCCGGCGAGCTGCACAGCCTCACTATATTTAGATCCGAATTCAGATATGTCAAACGTCGGTATACCATGAAGACCCTGGTACTCTTTTGTTTGCTGGGCCAGTTAAAGAGGTGAAAAGTGTGTTGCCTTGTTGTGGGATGGGATGGTAGAGATTCTAATTTGGTCGGTGGGTGCAGGGTCGGAGGATATACCCGCTGTGTGCATTAATTGTATCGCGATGTTGAGTGGAGATTGCCGATATACTGGTAGTGCTTCTCTTAGGACGACTACTTTTGGTATTTTTTGTAGTGCAAAGTAGTACATACTCCGTACATGCATAGATAGGGTGTTGTGGTTAAAAATAGACCTGCAGTGCTTAGGTCAGGATGAGGTCAAGCCTCCACTCTCTTAACCTCACCTCATAGTATACCACCACCACTACATTCTCAAGCACAAACACTTGTAAAACCAAACAGCAATGGCTCGTGCAATTGGCAAAATGTCCTGGGAAAAATACGCTCTACGCCCAGTCCAAAACGCACCCCCGGCCACACTTCCCGCCTTCATCTACGGTACGGCCTGGAAGAAAGACCGCACGGCGGATCTAGTCCATCAGGCCCTGCAAGCTGGGTTCCGTGCGGTGGATACGGCTGCCCAACCGAAGCATTACCGGGAGGATTTGGTGGGAGAAGGCATCCGTAGAGCTATTCAGGACGGCTCAGTCCGACGAGAGGACCTGCACGTGGGTGTCCATTTTTAGAACTGATCTTGGTACTGTGCTAATTGGCGGTTAGATTCAAACCAAGTTTACTTCGGTGCAGGGACAGGATCCCGATAATATGCCATATGATCCTAGAGCTTCGGTGACGGAGCAGGTGCATGCGTCTATCAAGTCCTCGCTGCATAATCTTCGTCCGTCAGCGAGACCGGAGGGCACGGACGATGCGTACATTGACATGCTCGTTTTGCATTCTCCCCTGTCGACGTTGGCGCAAACTGTTGAGACCTGGAAGGCGTTCGAATCCTACGTCCCCCATCGCATCCGCAATCTAGGTATCTCAAACTGTACCTTACCCGTGCTCAAAGAACTTTCGTCCCAGGTCAACGTACCACCAGCAGTTGTGCAGAACCGGTTCTACAGCATGACGGGATTCGACGTCCCGTTGCGCGCGTTCTGTCGGGAAAATGACATCCTCTATCAGAGTTTCTGGACTCTAACCGCCAATCCGGAACTCGCTCGCAGCAACCCCGTCCAGCAACTTGCCTTGCAGGCCAAGATCAGCCCGGCTGCCGCTTTGTACTGTCTGGTTCTGGGTCTAGGGAAGACCACGCTGCTGAACGGGACGACGAACAAGGATCGCATGGCTGAGGATCTGGTTGCACCGCAGCAGGTCGAGAGGTTCATCGAGGAACAGCCTGCCCTGTGGTCCAAGATCATTGAAGGCTTCCAGGCGCTGGTTGGAGACTCTTCGTGATACCGCTCCTTTCACCGGTCTTGAACTTAGGGGAATATCTGCCCGGCATCAGTCCCCTATATTCAGCGCCGTGTATTTTGTTGGCGGTCAAAGAATTCTGTTGCTTCGAAGCGCAAAGACCTGAGTCGAAGCTCAGAGAAGTTTCTAGAAGACTAGAAGTCTAGCACCAGACCACGTTGTTGGTTCATCTGCCACCAGATACCGGCGCGTCGGAAGAACCAAGAGTCGAGAAAAAAGTCAATTGTAGATAAAGTACGCTTGGTGTGAGAAGTAGTACCCTTTAGAGGTACATGTAAATAGTTGTTGATTCCTTTCAGATAAAAATTGCCGGAAATAGGAGCTTCCTTTTTCCGCTATATTCACGTGATTTCGAATTAACGTGCTGAGTCGGCACTACAGCCAATCAACGATCGTGGAGGGGCTGGACTCAATCCAGCATCACTCTTTTTTTTTTGCAAGTCGCTGAGTCAATTCGCTGCGAGAAGGACTCATTCTCCTGTCGCTGGTCTTGCTGCAATTGTCTTCAGCATATTTCTCTTAGTTTCCGTTGTTCTGCTGTGTCGCTTTTCACCTGTACAGAGCAAACATCACCACTCCCGCCGCCGCCTTTGAATGAGAACTCGCCTCCACCTTAAAACCATTGGCTACGACAACCTTCGCCCCCAGGTGAGCAGCATTTCTTACTGCCTGGACAAGAAGAACATAAAGTCTTGTTCGACAACTCCTGTTGTTTATTGCGTCTGTCACTGTTTGTTTCTCAACGGCCAGCGCCTGTCGCGCCTGTCGCGTCTCCGCTTTGGCAGTTCTACCATTGCGCCGTCCCGCAACACTACTCTTGCTGGTGCTCTACTCGAGGCCCAGGCCTTTAGCTCTCCTATACCTCTTGAAGACGACGCTTTACGATAGTTTGCTGTTGCAATACATTGTTTCTTTTTGGTTCTTGCTTTCCTGATACCACTGTGCTATCATACCCTCACTTCTGCTTAGCCGTTATATTTTTTTCGCGGAGAAGCGACGACGGCTCTATCTTTGACCGTGATTCCATCGGGGGTCTCTCACTTTTTTGAAGCAGCATAACTCGCGTCCGAGTCTGAACCTGCTTCTTAATCCCACCCGTAGGGCACGAACGTGATGAGTCCCCAAGGCATAAGCCGCAAACGACCAGCGCCAGGCGCATCCCCCATCGTCCATCCACAACCACCTCCTCCTATGGGTGCCGTCCAGAACTACCCTCCCAACCCTGGCGCTCAACTCTCAAACGATCAATTTTTACAATGGGGTCAAAATACGGCGCCCAATGTGGTCAACCAGCCTGCGCATTATCCCGACCCTGCTGCTGCCGCTGCCACTGCTTATAACCCCGCCGCGTTCGCTCCAGGCCAAGATATCTCTGCTCCCACAGCGCCCGCGTCCAGTCAGCTTGCACGAAGACCGACACCGAATCAGCTTGTCAGCAGAAACCGTGGGTATGAACAGTCTCCGACGGTCACGACGGAGAACGGTGGTGGTAATGGGGAATTGGGCGGTTGGGGCGACAGCTTAGATGAACTTTACCGGAAGGCGTCAATTGCGAAGAGGGACGCCCAGGCAAAGAGGAAACAGATCCCTCCGTTTGTCCAGAAGCTCAGCAGGTATTTCTCTCCCTCTATGATTTGTGGCCTAGGTCAAGTACTAAATGGTAAAATCTTACAGCTTCCTTGATGAATCTAAAAATACCGAACTGATTCGATGGTCTGACGATGGAAACTCGTTTATTGTCTTGGATGAAGATGAATTTGCGCGGACCCTGATTCCCGAACTCTTTAAACACAACAATTACGCCTCCTTTGTTCGCCAATTGAACATGTACGGATTCCATAAGAAAGTTGGATTGTCGGATAACTCGATGCGCGCCAGCGAACGGAAAAATAAAAGCCCCAGCGAATACGCAAACCCGTACTTCAAGCGTGGTCATCCGGACCTGTTATGGTTGATTCAGAAGCCCAAGAACTCTGCGGGACAAGGGAGCAAAGCAGTGAAAGGTACAGCTCGCGTTCGGACCGAAGATGCCGAGGATTACGAAGAGGACTACGGTGATGAGGGCAGCAATGTTTCTCGTGATGATCGGAATCGCTCGCGGACCCAACTCTCGTTGATTACCAATAACAATATGCCACAAGATCAATTCGCCGGTGTCTATCGCGAATTACAAGCCATCCGTTCGCAACAACAGATTATCTCCAATACAATCACGAAACTCCGACGGGAACACGAACAGCTATATGCGCAAGCCGCGAACTTCCAGGAACAGCATACACGCCACGAAAATTCTATTAATGCCATCTTAACCTTCTTAGCAACAGTCTACAATCGGAGTTTACAAGGACAAGAAGGGCCGCAAAATCTCGCCAACTCATTCGCTGGGGCTATTTCGCAGGACCAAGGAGGGAGTGGTAGTGTTGTTGATGTGGGGGATGACTTTGCCTTCGACGCGTTGGGAAACATGGGTAGTCCTGGAGGGCAGAGATCGGTGAAGAAGCAACCACTGTTATTGAAGGCACCTCCACCCGCACAAAGAGACAGCCGTGCAGCGACCCTCTCGCCTGCCTCCAGTGCATATGATCAACGACAAACACGGAACCATAGCCGACAACCAAGTAGCACAAGGCCGGGCCATGTGGAAGAAGTCTTTGACATTAGCCCTCGACCGAGAGATCCAACACCGGCCCAACACCAAGAATTCCCTCAACGTGACATTATGTCCGTCATTCAAAATTCAAATGCCCGTGGCGGGGTCCCGACAAGTTTTGCAGAGTTCCCGAACGTATTATCGTCACTCGAAACGTCCGGTGGCAATGTGCCATTGACCCCGAACCAGCGTGCCGATATGCTTCGACTGATGGCTAACGAGACAAACACGGCCGATCCAAACGTGTCTGCCACGAATAACAACGCTCTCATCACACCCAATCCCCCACCTATGCCGCAAAATTACTCGGGCCGTCTGGCCAGCACCCGCGCTGAAATCGACAACCTCGCAAAAATGCAAGCCGAACAAGACCGCTCCGTGCAGAACCTAACTAACCTCCTACAACCGCTCAGCCCAACTGGTAATATTCCCGGGATAGGGCATGAAAATGGAAGCGTGCCCCCTCCCCCGCTTGACCTTGACCAGATCTTCAGCAACGATTACTTCACCGATGTTGGAGATCTCGAGCATAATAGAGCCAATCTCCAGTTTAACGACCAGGCTAACGCTGCTCCGGAGGGCACGCTCGACACAGATGCCAATACCGGAACAGACGATGGTACGATGAAAGATGCTAACGATCTCTTCGATTTTGACCAACTTCCGACTGACGGTGACTTTTTCGAGGGATCAAACCAGCATCAACAGAGTCCCAATTTCTTCAATGGATTTGATGCGGGTTATGGCAATGACCCCGGCATCGGTGTCGATGCAAGTCACAACGCCGGCAATGGCGTAAATCACCACAATCACAATAACAGCCACAACCACAACAACACCGACCTTGATTCAAACAGAGTTATCGAAACTCTCACAGATAGCGAAGGCACGAGCCCAGCTAACACTGTGGATGATCACACTTCCCAATACCATGGAGGTAATGACCCTCAAGGGGACGACGGAGGTGGCGGTGGTGCCAAGCGGCGCAGAAGGGCGTGATTTCTTTTCTTCTTGCTACTTATGATTACTTGGCTTTATTATGAAGTGACTAACGTTAATGCAAGAGAAGGGAAAAGAGCGGGATTCAAAAAAGTAAATAATCAGATTCCGTACGACTTCGAATGAACCTTGCTCTCTTGTCTCTTACAATCACCATATCTTTTGACTTGGCTTGATGACTTTGCACGAAAACGATTGCAGCCTCTCCTCTCTCATCTCTACTCGCTACATCCCTTTTCATTTGAGTTTTTTGCTTCTCATCATTCATCTGGTCCCCGCAATGCGACTCGTCGAGCACTTTTCGACAGATCGCGACCACGAGTGGACCGATGTCGATGACGATACCAATGTTGACCAATATTCGCAAATACCGTCTGCTTTCGATTGCTTGTCGATATACGAGAGGATTGCGGTGCTTGACTGTCGGGTGGCAGGGAGTCCGGGGACGGAGGAAAAAATCGTATAAAAAGACGATGAAGGATGAATATTTCAGACAATTGAATGAGATGTTGTTTGTTCTTTTAGCTTTTAGATACCTTTTATTTTATTTCATGTATCTCCCTCTCTTTCTCCATCAGTTCGGCTCTAGCAAATTAGGGCACAGTAAAAGATGTATAGTAAGAGTTATGGCATGCCTTGTAGATTTCCCATAACCTGCAGACATCGTATTCACTAAAACTGCTCCGTAACTTCTCAAGGAAGCTAAATCCATTCACTTTCCACATACAATCAACCCAATCATTCTCACGATCATCCTGTTTTCAACATGAGAGAACCTACATCTTCAGCTTTATCTCTTCATGCAATACAAAGGTTGGGATAATAAAAATACGCCTATCAGAAACCTACGTTCATCACACATCCACAGCCCTACGCCAAAAACCAGCGCGTTTTTCCAGAACTCGGAACAGATCAAAGACGATGAACACGCAAACCAATCCACCGTGGTCCTCAACCTAGTTCTAACCAAGAAGCAATCCTTGTTGGGTGGCGTCACTTCAGAACCATATCCGAAGGATGGATTATCATGCATAATAAGTGGCTCTGAGCCCTCGCCCAATTTTGGGATCTGATAGTCAGCCAATCGTCAAGTATTGATTAGGGTTGTATTGTTATTCTAATATAATTCCTTTTTCCTAGCTCTCTTCCTCATATAGTCTAAAACATACGTCTACAAAATGAAAGCATCTCCAGACCCAAATATAACCACCTCCCACCCCAAAACTACATAACCCACCCCTACACAACCCTGCAATCCCTCCACCACACAGTTACCACCCTATCCAAGCACTTAACCTCCCCCGGAAGAGTTGTAAGAGTCGTTATGCTTTTGGTTGTTGATAGGAGCCGTGCGGCGATTGCGTTGGAAAAGTGGCAGCTGAGATTGCTTGAGAAACAGCCGTATGCTGCCCAAACGGTTAGGGCCATGGCATCTAGTGTAACTGGGGATCTACCGTTGGTGGTCGGTTCAGGGGCATTGTTTGATCGGGATATTTTGAAGGGAGGATGTTGTCCTTGATGTGCAGACGCTGGTTGATACTTGTGCGGGTTATTTAAGTTGGGACATCGATTATACTTTCTATTGCTACAAAATAGGACTATCTATAAGTACTCCCTTTAGTGATACTATCTCCCTCGCCCCCACTCCAAATCCCCAGCTTTCTCCTTCTTCCTCTCTCGCTCCCGATCCCTCGCCAACCCCTTCTTCCCTCCACCCTTCCTTCCAACGATCTCCTTCTCGCGCTCCCGCGGATCGATAACCATAAGCGAGTCCACGTCATCAGGATGTTCGCGCTTCCACTTCGCGTCCTTGCCCATCGTATCTTTGCCAAAGCGAAGTTGGTGCGATAACCAGCCTTCTTCGCCTTTGTCGGCTTCGGCGTCATCCTCGTTAGTGGCTGAAGGGTCATCCCAGGATTTGCAGGATTGGCAGTTTGCGATGAAATGGAGGTCGCAGAGTTGAGCTTCATCGTCTTCAGGTTCAGCTGTTGATTCAGGCTCGTGTTCGGGTTTGCGGGTCTTGGTGATGTTGTCGCGCTTGTGTGGTTTGGTGGTAGAGTCTGCGTTTTCAAGCTTGGCTTTAAAGGCGTTAAAGATTTTGAGTGTTTCGTCTTCAGCTGTGCTGCTGAATCCTGCTACGCCATTTGTGCCACTTCCAACAGCGCCGGGTGGTAGCCTCTTGCGGCCTCGGATGGAGGTCTCGGGGATCATGGCTTCCAGGGCGGATTTCTTGGGACCCTCGACTGGCCCTGTCGTGGCTGTCCGGCGCATAGAAGCCTTGAGATTCTCAATCTCCACTTTCGTACGGTCGAGCTTGGATGCCTTTGCCGGAGGCTCTGGTGCTGGTGAACGGTCTGGTGATTCTGGATCAGGGAGCGGGATTTGAGTCGCTGGGTCTGGCTGTTTCTTTTCCGGCACAGGACGCTTAGGTGAAGGTGAACGAGGCCGTTTCCTTGTCTGCGCCTCCGGTCTCTGACTTGTCTCGTCCGCCCCAGGAAGCCTTGTATCCGTAACAAGCTTCGGATTGAATTTCGGCTTCGCAGGCCGTACAGGGAGTTCCTCATCGCCCTCCTCACCTCCAAAACTTAACAACGTCTTACCCCCCTTACCACCCTTCTTCTTCTTTTTCGCCGCAGGCTTCCCCTCCTCTTTCGAAGGCGCAACAGTAACCTGCCTCTTCACCACTTTCCCAGCAAACGGCCCCAACTCCCCAACCTCACACCCAGTAACCTTAACCGGATAAACCGGCCTCTCCGTGCCCTCCACCCTCTCCGCCTCCGCAATCTTCAACACATTAAAAATACAGTCCCCCTCTATCCTCCCAAAAAGCGTACACTGCCCATTCAACTCCCTCTCCGTATTCCCCAGCGTGATGAAGAACTGACTCCCATACGTCCCGTCCTCGCTCTTCGCCATCCCCACCAGTCCGCGCCGATTATAACGTAACCGACTGTGCAATTCATCACGAAGCACGATTTTCTCGTTCGGGTCACGCGCGTCAGGATCCGTTTCGAATTCCGGGTACTCGTAGATGGAGGTGCCGCCGGAGCCGGTACCTGTGGGGTCACCGCCTTGGATGATGAAATCCGGGTCGATACGGTGGAAGATTGTTCCAGCGTAGTAGTTGTCTGTGCAGTGTTGGAGGAAGTTGCGGGAGGTGTACGGGGTTTGGGAGGCGAAGAGGGAGATGTGGAGGGGGCCGAAGGTTGTGTGGAGAGTTGCGGAGGCAGTTGGGTTAGGTTCTGTTGAGTAGTGGGCAGACATGACGGCAGATAAGGAGTAAAGTGCGAAGGCTAATGGAAGAGTAGAGCAGTTGCGGATGTTGTGCCTTTGGTGTCTTGTTTTTGTTATGGCGCGTGAGGGTGTCCGCGGAAAGACGAGGTCGTGGCTTCAATTTCAATTTTCGGGTAAATCAACAAATGCAATCGTAATGCAATTTATTTCGCTTCTTTCAAAATGTCGCGCAAAAGCGCTGGTGTAGTGTAGGTGTGAGAATCGCGGCGGAGTTTGAAGTTTTGAGCTCTTTTGGGTAAAGGCGGTTCCGTGATGTCACTTGAGCTTCTCTTCTATACAACTCAATTACATGCAATTTTTACAGTTATACAACTCTCTATACTATACAATAAAAGGGTATCAATAATCCGAAACACCGTAAACATCGCGATAACACTGCACCGTGTCGGGACAACTATCCTCATTAGCATCTCACTCAAGCAAACCAAGCACAGGGAGAAGAGCAGGGGGAACTCACTAAACAGCCTCTTTCCCAAAAATAACATGCCACAAATACTCAAACACCCTCCCACTGATCTCATCTGCCAGCTCCGTCTCCATCAACCACGAGTGAAACCACTCATACTCCCCATACCCCCGCTTAAGCACCTGCTCCCTCGACACCGCAAACTGCGCACAACAAGCAGCCCCCACAACCTCCGGTACATTAGTATTGTTAAACAGCTGTTCCCACGCACTCCCAAACACATACTCCGGTCCGCGCATGGGATCCGGCGGGTTACGCAGGGGTAGGAGTTCGTTCGGACAGCCCGGGTACGGGTTACAGCGCATGTTGACGTAGCCGTTGCGCTGGACGAAGTCGGTTTGCAGGCGTTGGGCGGTTATGGGGTTTGAGTGCGTGTCGAATTCGGTGTGCCAGGCTACTGGGTAGCCGTCGCGGTGGCTGTGGAGGAAGACGATTGTGGAGGGGAGGGCGTGGTAGTTGTCAAGGATGTATTGGAGGTAGGCGTTGGCTTCGTGGCCTTTGTTTTTGGGAACGGTTAGGGGGGCGGTTGGGTCGTCGACTGTGTAGATGGCGTGCTGCCAGCTGCTCATCTTCATTAGTATGCCGGGGTAATGTTTCTTTCTTGGTGGAAGGGGGGAGTACTCGTCGAGGTCCTCGATCACCCAATCCGTATTCTCATGCTTCAATTTACCCACCACAACCACACGATCTGGTTTCTCAGGCGTGGCCGAAGCAGTCCCATTCCTCACATCCACAGGCGCAGTTTGCAACCCATTATTCCAAAGCGACACCAACGTCGACCGAAACCACAGTATCGATATCAAGAGTATAAAAGCCAGCCCCAGCCGCAAAGAAGTCCTGGTCATTGTGTATATCTAGTGTCTCATTGCAGGATTGACAGATAGATGTCTCCTATTCAAATACCCCGTACGATATTCCAGTGACCCGAGAAGGCTGACCTCCAGAATCCGCCCGCTATGGAAAATTCCTGGTTGATCCCACTCGCACGCGTCATGGATGGGGCGCTACGGGATAGGATTGCGCTATTGGGTAAATCCACCATGGATCAGGCATTTGTTGGTTGTAGCTATGCTGGTCATGTTGTCATTGACATTGTCCATTCACAGCATGTCCAAAATATAGAGCACATACATAGTAGTACACTGGTGAGCATTAACCCCTGACAGAAACTACTGGGGATCGGATAAAAAAAGATGAACGGTGGCAGCCAAGTTTAATTACCGAGTGGCCAATCATACTGCTTATGTTTGGTTAGGGCCAAGTCTATCTGAACTCCGCTCCACGTGACATTGAATCATTACTCGTAATGCTCAGTTTTCATACTTCACTCCAACAGGAAACCGCTAAGGTGTCTTGTCCGTTACATGCTCACTGCTAATCTCGGACCCAGGATCTGCCTTTCCCCTCTTGGCAATCGTGAATCCACCCACAAGGAAGAACAACGCCTCGAGGATCAGAATCACTCCGAGCGTCACCATAGCTCCCACAACACCAGCCACGGTCTTGGACATACCGCCGGAGGTACCGGTAGACTGGACAGACGCAGCAGGACACTGGCTGTCGGTGTTCCCGCAAGCCTGGCACCACTGGTCCTGAGTAGTGACGGCGATCTTCTTGGTCTGCTCGACAAAGTCAGTCCATGGGAGGACGATGCTGGATTGTCCAAACAATGGATACTGATCAGGTGTCGATGATCCGGTGATGGTTCCGTTGTGGAAAATGAACCGCACGCTGATTTCAGACTCGGCCGGGAAAGCGTCAGAGGTTGAGTTGGTCACCAGCTCCCAGGCCATCGACGAGGCGTAGTCGGGGATTCCGGTGAAGTTGACGTTCACGGAGGGTAATTGTGCAAGGCCGAAGTAGGACATGAATGTGCCATAGGAGCCGAACTGGATGTTCAACTTGGATTTCCCCTGAGAAGTGACAATATCCTCGAGTCCTTCCAACACTTCGCCGGCAAGACTCATGCCTTCAATGGCCCGGATTTCATCAGATGAGTTGTACGCCAGGTTGTACTCAGACGTACTAGCCAACGTCAAGAGCTGGTCATAAACCCCATCCGTCAACATCTCCAGCGCCGGAAACTCACTGCTGGAGTTGTGAATCCGCGCGACATTGAGATAATCAAAGATCTTATACGCATTCTTAAACGACACCTGCGCCTCATCAAAAGTATTGTTCAACATCGGTGATAACGACGTGTAGAAATCCTTGGTCGACTGCAGCAGATCGTCATAGAGAGCTGAGCTGTAAAATCCCTTACTACTAGCCGTCGCAGCCTCACACCCACTCGCCTTCTGCAACCACGTCGAATCCTCACTATTCGTCCCCGAGCTCACAGTCCCCAACGGAATCAACTGATACCCGTTCAACGGCGAATGCACAGTCGTGGTATTCCGCAACGTCTCATTCGCAGAGTTGCCAACGGGCGGATACACACCCTGCAGGAATCCCGTAGCTGAATTCTGGAGGACCTCGTCTGAGGGCGTGGAGGCGGTGATTTGCTTCGTGTTGACGGTTGGTTCGCTGATGCCTGCGATTTGTAGTGGCGAAGAGGGCGAAATATAGCGCGTGTGGTAGTAGCTGCCCGTCAGGTAGACCTCCTTGTAGCCCAGGTCTGTAAGGTGGGTGTTGCCCAGGGCTTTGGCAGTCCGATCGCCGTGGCGCGCGAAGATGTATGCTCCTAGCACTTTCTCGGCGAGTGCGGGGTGGGCCATTGGGGCCAGTAGGGCCAGTAGAAGGCTAGAGGACCACATAGTGAGTAGCACTGCACTGACAGTCAGGGTGTGGAAAGCAGTATAGAACCGGGAATTGAGTTGACTTGTGAGGGGTTCGGCCTTAAATAACAAACTCAATGGTGGTGACTGTCATAATGACTTTTACAAATGGATCCGCGGAAATGTTAGTCAATTGAGGGGTCTTTTGCTCTAGACCCTGCATTTCGGAGCAGGGAAGGGTCTCTAGTGGTCAATTCATTTAGCAATGGTTATCTTCAACTGTTAAGATATATATCCCGATGCAGCCAAGACGGCGGGATCGGAGAGTGCCGCTTGATAAATAAGGCTAGACATGGATATTGAATACGTTACGATTTACAGTCGTTTGCATTATGATTAAGAAGAGAAAAGAAAGAAAAAGGTGAAAATCGAGGAGTAGACGGAGTTCAGCCAAAAAAAAAGACAAAAAAGAAATTCCGATGCGGGGAATCGAACCCCGATCTGCTCGGATCTGTAATGAAAACGAGCGATGCTAGCCGTTACACCACATCGGATTGTTGAAAGAATGTATAACATAATGGTACATAACCCATGAGCAACAGAGCCAAATTAGATAACAGCGAGTTACCAGGCAGATACAACTGACCATAGAACGTAGACATATTTAATCATGACTCGTATTACTCTATATGCTATTTATTCTACCTGTAGTAATAATAATTTATGCACCCATTAACTCACACCCGTTCCGTACAACACCAACCATGCCTCCTGTCTGCATAGTTTCCGACCCTCCACCAGACAGTCGCCATTCAATCTCTGCTAAACCCTGCAGCCAAGTAACCCTCGTCTGCGCAGGTACTTCCAATTGTTGTAATTGCTCTGCCAGGGCGGACAGAATATCCGCCAACGCCAGACCTTTGTTCATCTTGATCGTGTTCAGGGTATTGAGGCAGGATGTGACATCGCTAGTCGAAAGCAGTGTAGACATGATTTCTTGGATATCTGATGGATGCGGTGCGGCAATGCAGTCGTAGATCGTCTCGTTGGTGATAGTCTCTGATTCTGGACGGGGTTCGTCTTTCGGTGCGTTCCTCACTGGGAGTGGTATGCCTATTCTTGTCAGTGGTAATTCTCTCTGCCGCACCTGGAAGGTAGCCTACTGCTCGCATGGCATGCTTGAAGCACATTCAGTGCCCGTCGCATATCACCTTTGCTCAGAGTAACCAAACTATCTACCGCCTCTGGCTGAATATTCACCTTCTCCTTCTCAATCACCTTGTCCACCAGCAAACGAATATCAGCCTCCTTCAACGGACTAAAGCGGAACCGCGTACACCGCGACAAAAGAGCCGGCGACAATTTGTGAGTGTAGTTGGCAATGACACAGAACCGGGTGTTGGCGGTATATTTCTCCATAATCCGACGAAGAGCCATCTGCGCAGTAGCCGTCATGGCATCTGCTTCATCCAGGATAATCAACTTGAACGATGCGAGGGAGGAACCGGTGGACGTTGTCGGCGGCGCCATTGAAAAGATCTGTTTGGTACCTAGAAGCGATCAGCCTCATTCCACCACAGAAACCTGGACTGTACTCACTGGCAAAAGTCTTGATTTGTTCGCGGACAACATCAATGCCCCTGTCGTCACTGGCGTTCAGTTCCAGTACCATCTGTCGCATGTTTTTGGCCCCGTATATCCGTCTCGCAAGGGCTAGGATCGTGGATGTTTTGCCAGTTCCAGGAGGGCCGTAGAGGAGTAGATGTGGCAATCGCTGACAATCTCAGTATATAAGCTTGAATATCTGCTAGGAAAAAGCGCACATTGCATTCAACGAATCTGTTAATCGTCGCGAGGATATCTTGGTGACCGGAGACATCTTCAATGGTATCTGGACGGTACTTTTCCACCCTACCAAAGTTAGTCATATATCCTAATCCTTCGCCAGACCAAGGAATCCTCACCAAGGCAAGTTATCCTGAGCTTCCACCGGCAAATCAGCAGCAGTCCTCTTTGCCTTTCCATTGGCGTCTGATGAGCTAAATTGGACGTCTTTGGACACGTCCACGTCCATATTATCCTCGTAGTCCGACATTTTGCACGAATTAGCGATGAAAATAATATAAGCAGCGTATATGGAAATTCAATCACGACCAAATCAATGTCGACGCGTCCAAGTTGCCCGCGCGTAAAGAGCTTCGGGGCCGGAAAATCCTCCGCTGGGTGTCTCAGTAGTTGGTGTTGGTCTGGGCGGTGATGACATGCCGTGCGGACAGACAAGCAGCACCGCCCACGACTCTCCATAACAACAACAACAACGATAATCCTCTAGACTGGTGCTAAGGGTTTGAATACACTGTATCGTCTTTCGAAATGCCGGTATGCAACTCCGGTCCATGAGATCTTATTTGATATACCTCCATAGCTAACCCCTGATAGGCATACCACTCCATCTTCCTCGAGGACCGGGATGTCCCCGTGATAGGTACGATGCGCATACCTCTCACCAAGCACTCTCACCTTCGGCATCTCGCTACCCTCTCAACGATCAACTAATCCTCCTTCTTACGATACAGGCAACTTCCCCGTCCTCCCCATCCGCACCCGCACCCGCGGCCCCGCATACACCCTCCCCCCGCTCCCCCCCAACACTCTCGATATCGACGTGCCGCCAGACAGCGAGTCTTACGACTGCATCGACGAGATCCTTTCGCTCTTCCGCGCCAACGTGCTCTTCCGCAACTTCGAGATCAATGGCCCCGCGGACCGCATGCTTATCTACGGAACGCTGTTTATCAGCGAGTGTCTGGGGAAGGTGAAGCCGACGATGGCGGCGAGGGAGGCTGAGAAGGTAGGACTCTAGCTTTGAGGTTGTTGTAATGGGATATGATGGATGGGGCTAATGAGGATAGGCTCTTATCAACGCTGCTCTCGACCATTTCGCGATTCCCGGTGACGTGTCGTTTCCGTTTAACCAGGCTTTTGAGCCCCCGAGGGATCGTCAGGATGCGGAGACGCTGAGATCGTATGTCTAACATCTTCCCTGATGCCATCTTTATCCAGGAACTGATTGGTTGCAGGTACATTGCCCAAGTACGACAGGAGATTGCCATTCGTCTGCATGCGAGATTATACCCCGGTGGTGTTGGTCCTTCGAAGGTAAGCCACCCTTTCATACTATCCGAGAGAATGTCTAACAGTGACCGTAAACAGTGGTGGCTCAGTTTCACAAAGAGAAAGTTCATGGGCAAAAGCTTCTAGATGGTAGATACTGGACGTTGCTTTCGTTGATCATACTTCAGCGTATGAAGACTGTTTCTTTTTTCCTTTCATGTTCTGTAAAGCTAGGCGAGTTAATTGATATACCTTATTACAAGTATTCGCCCCGACTAAGTCTCTGGGATTGCGCGTACGGAATTGTAGGAACGTCACCTTTTTAGACCGGCAGTCCGTCTGCTGCTGAATGGGGTATAATACTTCAACGAAGTTACAGCGTTGCAAATATCGTCTTAAAATACTATTATACTACTAGACTCTATCAACCATGACCCGGCGAATAGGATCCAAAGGCAAAGCATTGAGTGGTCATTGGCCTGCAACTGATATCTATCATATGCATGTACTTGCGTATGGCCACTTTCATTCCAACGAACCATAAAAGTGGCACGGAGACAGTAAAACCAAAAAGAGACAATAAAAGAGCACCAGACCAAGCTATTAGAATGATTTGAGTCGGTGCTAGCAGCTGGGAGTCAACTATAAATGGAAGGTGGACTACCCCGGACCAAAGTGATTTCGGCTCCGACTCTATATGGAAGCAAGCAGGACTGTACTGAACAACTTTTTTATATACATAGTCACAGCTAGAAATAAGGGGTTTACGACTTCATCTCCACATCCACCTCAGGCAATGGTACGGGATTCGCCTCTACCTTCCTCTTCTTCCGGCTTGGGTTCCCTGCAGCCTCAATCTTCGACTGTGCCGGGAACGTCCGGATACCATGAAAGACATAACCTTCAGCACCACCACGCCCAGACATCATAGGATGTGTGCGTCCCGGAAGGACCTGCCACGGCCGTATACGCGCCGTTTCCAGAGTGGGTGCAAGTAACAATGACGGGTCGACGATGAACTCCCTCTCCAGGTCAGAGAGGTCAACCGGTTCGTCGGTGTTGTTCTCTTGGTTTTGTTTTTGGGTTGCTTCGATGAGTTCCCGTCTTGCGTTGATGAATGTTGTTCGTCTGGGTGTTGAGTAGAGGTCGATTAGCTCCGTTAGAGGTTCGATTGTGGGCGAGTAGACGGCAACTTGTGCTGAACCTGCGAGTAAGGGGACGGCGTGTTTCAGAACGCTGGAGGGTTCCATTAGGGTTGCGACGAGGAGGCTGTCGTATTCACCGGCGCGGGCTTCGTCGACGACGTTCCGGACGCGCTGCCAGCGGCTGCGCTTACGATAATATGTGCCGCGTTTGTTGGCTTTGTAGGTGGCTAATGTCTCGTCTGGGATCATTTCGGGTTCGTTTGCGTAGATGGGGTCGGACGAGGGGTCGACGAGTTGCATCCAAGATACGGTTTTCAGGTGGGTGAATAGAGGGTGCGATTCGTCAGGGCTGTCTTGGTCGTAGCCAAAGTATTTTAAGAGAGATAGGTTGGGTTGTGTGTGGGCGTGGAGGATGGTGATGGTATTCCCCGATGCAGACATTTGGCTGGGACGTTCTTTGGCGGATGATGTCGCTTCGGCCGGCTTTTCGCTGGGTTCGCCCTCTGACTCTTCGTCTTCATTGTCATGGGGATAAAGGATCCCCATCCTCTCTGCCATCGCCGCAACGATTAAACCTCCTGTCTCGTCGACAACAAGATAACGACCATTGGGCTTTGGCCCAATTGACACATTCCCGCCGTGATGTACATTACCCCAGCACCCGATCAGACCAATCAACTCATCCCGCAACTCCATGGTCCGGGCCGCATCCTTCTCTTCAATCATAAAATTTGTGAGCAGACTGACATCCAGCGGCAGCACGGTAAACCGCTTCATATATTTCCTCCGTTTGCGCAGCGTATACTTTGCGAGCGAGAACGCGGTCTTCTGATCCAGAGCGGAGTGCGATTCGAGCAGTTTCGCGATGATATCTCTACCGGCATCGCTCGATCCATTCTTCAATTCCTCGATTTCCTGCAGTGTCATTTTCTGGGTAGACGTATCGTCGACGATTTCGCGATTTGTCCGCATGGGTGTTTCGGCATCGCCGCTCACATCCGGCTCGTCGCCCTCTCCGTCAGCCTCCCCTGAGCCCTCCGTTATTAACGATTCAGCATGGAGCTCTGCTGCGGTGATGATGCGCAAGCGATTGCCGTTTTCTTCGGTGGGGTTGTCGAAGATCTCGAATGTGAGGTAGAACGGGCGTCCGATGATCTGGTTCGAGGGAAAGTTTCCATATTTTCCTAGGGATACCTCTCTAGAGCGCCAACCCAGTCAGTTAAAAACAGGAGCAAAACCCAAAGGTGAGGACGCACGTATTGGGTATAAGGTGGATGATTCTCGTCGCATCAGACGGAAGCCGAAAGGCGACATGTTGATAAGGACGGATATAGGAGTGCATGGCGTGAAACACTGGTTCCAAAGGACAAGAAATGAGTGTATTATGCCAGTCGCATGCTATTCAACAGCCGGATAAGGAAATCTGACAAATTAGTCAAGACTCTATCTCCAATGATTCTTTTTTTCTTCTGCGGTGATCAACTTCTGCGCCTGCGCTATTCCAAAGGCGGCATGGTACCGGGTTATCCGGAACTACTATTTCACCGCTTGACATCTTGTGGCTGAAGCTTTCTGTGGCTGTATGTGGCTAATTATAATTAATGACGTGAACGTCGCTGCGGGGTTACCGTACAATACGAAATCACACAGCCAAGGAAAGCATACCGTACATTTACCGCCCTCGCTGGCCACCGCCTGCAATGACCGTGTTATATAGAGCAGATCGCCGGCATTGAATCTAGGTGCCTGCTTTCATACAAGAGTCTTTGGCAGGTTGTATACTGCCTCATCTCGGTATTATATACTTATTTATAGGTATATTAAGTCATAGTATGACTAATACCCTTCTCTACTGTTAATCGCGGTATCAATACCGTTTATGAACTGATCGAATTGCCTTTTATCTTATCTGGATAGCACTCACTGCTTACTACAGATTACGCCACACTGAACACTTCTGCCTTGATGGTCTTGCGCAAACAGCCTCCTCCTCGTCTCAACTCTGTCAAAGAGCCTAATCGTCGTCTTTCTATCTCTCTTACTGCCAAATCCGCTTCTCCTGTCTCTCCGACGAAGCGGTTGACACGTCCAAGACGAGCGCAAAGCTCTCCTTATCCTCGTCTTCCATCGCAGGATTCGATTTACTCGCCGGATCTTAATACGTCGCCTGCTTTTGACCTGATGACGCTCGAACAAGCTCAGCGGTCGCCGGTAGGGACTGCGCACAGTGAAGCGCAGAATCCGTGGGCCGATGAGTTGGTAGAGAAACCGGATCAGCCGTATCAAGAGTACACTCCATCGGGATCTACGCAAGCAAGCCACAACGGAATCCAGGAAGAGCCGGTTAATAAGAACAAAGGCGATCGTGTACCATCTATACTTGTAGCTGGTACTCAACGCAGAATGGCGACAAACGAATGGCAGCCAGAGGAAGAGGCCGATGAATGGGAGCATGTCCGACAGACACCAACCCAACTGCGATCTAATAACCCGTTTTTGAAAACGAAACAATCTGAAAGCAATCCGTGGCAAGCTGAGACATATCAGACTCAACAAGTTGAGGATACTCGTGCTTCACAGGCGACTTCTCTGCATAGTGATGCCTTGAGCCAAGGTATGGAATTGTGTACAATTGCCGAGCGCAATGCAGGTAGAATAGAACTGACCTATTTTTCAGGTGAGGGAATTATCCCAATGACTGCCCGCTTGTCTCTTCTGGACCAGCAGCCCTCAGATTCAGCGTGGGCAGAAGAGCATCCCGTTACTGCTTCGCAGCCCCAGCACCCGCAAAATGGCCATTATGCCCAGGAGTCACAAGCGCAAGTTCCGCAGACATCATACGCTAGCCAAGTTCCTAACTATATGGCTGATGACCAATTCTATGATACTCACGGGACTCCGGGAAATGCTGCGGAACTCCAATACCAACCTCAATACGCTTCTGCCGATGAATATCAGCCATACCCCACCCAAACATCCCAGGATTATGACAGATTGATTACGCAGTATCAACCAAACACCCCATCTGGCCCAATTTCCTCCGCGACAACGCAGTCCTCCAATGTGCTCATTGATGCTGATCCTAGCAAGCCAGAGGCACCGCCTCGGTCAACTTCGTCTGTCTATGAGTCTGATGTGTCTGAGGCTCGTGGAACGCGAACTGGATTATCAGAAACTGCACCTCCTCTTCCCCAGCGTCCAGACCGCTCAGAGGGCACCGAGCAGCACACCACAACAAGGGCCGGTGACACAAACAGACAAGCAGAACAGAAGGCAGAAACCTATGCTATCAGACACGTTAACTGGACTGATATCTCCGGAAAATTGCGCAATTCCCCGATTCTGTCTCAGAACGAAAATGGACCATGTCCCTTACTGGCACTTGTTAATGCGCTTGTGATTAGCTCGGCCGAAGATGCCCAAACACCCGTCGTCAAGGCTCTGCAGACAAGAGAACAGATATCTCTTGGGTTGTTGATCCAAGCATTGTTTGAAGAATTGATTATGTACCTAGGCCCTGATGATGAGTTCCCGGATATTGAGGCTCTTAGTCGGTTTTTGACAATGTTGCATACGGGCATGAATGTCAATCCACGCCTCACATTAGTATGGAATTACTTCCTCATTATGGCACTATTGCTAACATTATTCAGGAACCGGAAGACGATGCTGGTCGCTTCTACGAAACAAGTGACATTCAGTTCTATAATACATTCGGCCTTCCCTTGATACACGGCTGGGTGGCCAACCCCGGTACAGAAGCCCACGCAGCGTTTTTGCGAGCAGCTCAGTACTACGAAGACATACAACTGCTACCATTCCGGAAAGAAGATTTGGAAGACCAGGTTTTCCGAGGCGGCTCACTTACTCCCAATGATGAACAATCCATGCACGACATTCAAACGATCCAGCAATTCGTTGAAGTCGATCACGCAACGCAATTGAGCGATTTCGGGCTTGAGCACCTCAAAGCCAGGTTGACCCCTGGATCCGTATCGATTCTCTTCCGCAATGACCATTTCACCACACTATACAAACACCCGCAAACACATGAGCTGTTTACGCTAGTAACTGATGCTGGTTATGCAAACCATGCTGAGATTGTGTGGGAGAATCTCGTGGATGTTAATGGCTCTCGCGCTGAATTTTTCTCTGGCGACTTCCGTCCTGTTGGCCATGGCCCATCAGGAGCTCCTGCGACATCTGCCCCGGCGCTTCCGAGCCGTGACACAGGCCATTCCACTGGATCGAAGGATGAGCCATCGCAAGAACAGGCTGATGCGGATTACGCCTACGCACTGGCCCTGCAATTTCAAGAGGAAGAACAGCAACGTCAGAACTCTGCAGGTCACAATCGAAACCCCTCTGCGCCCAATCAACCTATACGAGGACATGGACCTGAAGCCACCCATCACCGTACTCCAAGCGCTGTAAATCGAGGGACCGGTCGACACCAACCTACAGAACAGCGTTCTGCACGGTCGAGCCAACAACCTGGACGATCGTCCCACTCTCACGAGGATGATGATTTGCCATCGTATGCACAAGCAGCTCGCAGCCCTGTTTATTCCCCGCAGCAAAGCACGCCGTCTTTTAACCCGTCTAACCCGTCTAACCGCTCCAATCAATCTATGGATAGTCGCTTCTCGAGAAACCATCATGGAAATGGACGGCGCCCTCCTGCGACGTCGTCTGGTCTCCCCGAGCGGTCTAAGGATAAGAACAAGGACTGCATCGTTATGTGAATGCATGGTATTATTGGATAGGGTCAAATGGTTGTTACGGACTGGTATAGCTGCGGCGTTCTAATTATTGACTGATTCTACTTTGTTGATTGGCCTGGGCGTTTGTTGTTTGCGATTGACGATGACATGAGTTACGTATATAGATACCAGCGATTACACGTTTTCAATTTTTAGAATGCTCGTAATGTGTTGCTTTCTGTTAGACATTGAGTCAAGATTTCTTAGTGAGCCGTAATAGGCTAAAACTATATTTTGAGAGGGTTTCCTGAGACACATTTCCGATTGAGCGAACGTCCACCTCTCTTACTGCTCATCTTCCACAAAGTCTGCAGAGCCAAACACAAAGTCTTTTTGTAGAGGCGCTAACTGCCAGCTACCCTTAGAAAGTCGGTAATTCACCTAGAGCCCTAAGGACAATTGGTGCTTGGAATTCTTGTATCGCTAGTCCACTAGAGGTGACTGTACAAAGCCGTATAGTAGTAGATCAACCACAACCATAACCACAAACAGCTCGGAATCTGAGTCATGAAAATCTTCTCTGAAACGAAAATTCCATCGATTTGACGTTTGTTGCTCACGTATCTATGGCGCATGGCGTGCCATGGGCTAGAAATCTCACCCCAGGGTTGAAGATTTCCGCCTTAGCGGTAACAGACTCACAAGTCTGGTCCAGGGCCTTCTGTGTTTAAGATGTGTAATCCGTGGACAATCCGAGGGCTTTGAACGGGCTGTTGATGGTTTTTAATGAATTGTTTGAATGAAGCATTAACCTGAATGCCCATTCGGTAGTGTATTTAGTTAGGGAAATGCCGTCGATCGAATCGTCAATATGGAGACATCGTCCATTGCCGAATTCTATGCGAAACGACCAAAATCTTACCATTTTGATCCGTCCATGCAGACCCTTAACGGGGAGACAAATGTAATCGGCATGGGCTCACTTCACTGGTAAAATGATGGTGTTCCGTAAATCTTTCTGACCAGAGGAGACAATGGGCGGGTCCAATAGCCTTTGAGTGTTGGCCTTCCAACAACCCGAGTCTAGGGCCTTTCGTCAAATTGTCTCACTTATATCTACCTCAAATATAATCCCAAGGTGCCGATTCACTTGGTATTTTCTCAAAATACCAATATTAGCGATCTATTAGAGTCAATGTGGCCCTATAGGTATCCCGTACTTCTTCGTGATCTAGGATATTTATGTTATGCACCGCCTAACATAAATCTGTAGTCGATTGGAGAGTTCTTAGGTGCACTAGTTGGTGCCTGCCACGTATAGAAGTGGAAGTAACTTCAAGCAAGCCAGGTCAAGATTCGCCCGAGCTTTGCACTTCTTCGAGCACGCCTGTTTATAATAAGCAGAAGCAAGGCAGCAGTATGAAGAAGCGCAGTGTGACTAGCGGCAATTTCGTCTGGGTGCTTGACAATTGTATTTTGTATGGTTTGAAATAGTGAGCGGTTAGTGTCGGCTCTATGTAAAATATGTCAGTAAATACTCCCAGATTATCTTGCTTAGGGCTTCCGAAATACTTACCAACAACCACCGACTCGCACGTACTGTTGTTGCAAGCCTTGTTTTGAGGCCCTCGTGATTGGGAGTGCACAGTATAATAGCGATAAGAAGTCCTTTTCAAGACATATCGGTTTAGAAATACAACCTGCCACATTTGCCAGGGTTAGTTGACGTTCTGGGATATTGAGAACGCCAAACAGCGGGAAAGATATACATGTCCAGTTCTCCAACCGCTATTTTTGGCACACCACTGGAGATCAGCCAGATAAAGACCGAAAGGTGAAGTCACGATATATACTATGGAAGCGTTCGCTAGCGACCCGTGGTGGGATCGCCGGAGTTGTTCGTAATCCCGTGGGATTTATGGACGGTCCTTGTATAAGCCAAGTTAATGGAAATAAACTAACAGCCTGGCATTCTTAGGCTTTGAAGCCGCCATAGAAACAATCAGTATAACCATATCAAATGCAATGGACGTGTAACTCACATGTCAAAGACTGATCAGGTCAGGTACTATTGGCCTTGAGGATGTAGCCAACTAGGCAGCAGGAAGCTGTCTGTATAGTCAGAGTAATTGTGGATGGTACCATGTGTGCGCTCTCAAAGCGTTTTGTTGTACTCTGACTCTGAATATTTCGCTGCCATAGCTAGATCATAGACTCCAGCGACGACGAATTTGTTGGAATACGTCTGTCGACAGCTCATATGGGACTTGGGAACTGGTTTTCGACAAGAGAGAGAATGCTGTAGACAGGACGGCGAGAATAGAGGGAAGGACGTTTCTCCCCCCTTAGACTTGACTGAGTGAATGCCAACTTTATTTTCTTCTTCTCACTTGAGGTGAATGAAATATTCTTCACATCTTTTGCCAATTTCCAAACCCGCATAGTTTTGAAACAGTATCTTAGACGAGATTATATTATTCCTTCATGGGAAGTGCTTGCAGTAGCTTTGTGGTCTAAGCCGGGCACCTGTAATTGTTGGAGCGTACAGGAGCTTGAACTATGCCTCAATCGGATCATCTCCGTCTTTTGCGGTTTAGTGTGTGCTACTACTGGGCTTTCATACATAGATACCTTGAAACTATCGTAGTTCAGTGACTGCTTCCATTCATCCCCACCGGCGAACCAATGCCGATACATATCGAACTATACAAGCCTGGAAATACGTCTACGGAAAAGCCGGGGCTAGTTGCACTCATTTCTGAGAAATTTGAAACGGTTTCCAGGAACATAGAATAACATAGCTAAATGCACGAACCACCGGACTCGGAGTTTGCAGTAAGTTCCGAAGGAATTCCGGTCAACTGCCTCGACAAATCGACGCCTGTGAAGTCTCCGAAGATCTCAATTAGTTCCCGGGAGTCTCATGAAGCTGCTAAAATGTTCCTATCACAAGCCGATCTGCGATCATATTCTTTGCTTCTTGGATCCGAAACACGAGGACAGCGAGAGCAACGTGGACCGGCAATTCCTACAAATCTACCAAGCAAAGACCGGAGCGCTAACACTGAAACTAAGACTGATTCAGTGAGATTACGAACGCTGCTACCAGCATATGGGACTCCGATTGGCGGCAGCGGCATATTCGGCCCCATTATAGCCTTGACGGGCCCCATAAGATAAGGCTTAGTTCTGGCGTAATCGGGAGTATGACGCGGCTGTCATTTCGGATTTTGTCTGCCTTATTTTGCTTTTTTTTATATTTTATTTCATTATGGTGAGAATTTCTTCGCGACGATGTTGTTTTCGACAATGTGAAAATGAACTACCGGGATGCAAATACACAATTTGAACGGAAAAGTCTTCGTGACTGCCCTGGTTGTTATCGCTTTGATTAACTTTTATCATCTATACCTCGGAAAGCGTGATTTCAGCCCTATAGCGATTGCAACACTCCCAGTTCGTCAAGCGCAACTCCGATATGACCTCTACTCTCTACTCGAGAAATACGCACCGCAATGTCCTTCTCCGGAGTTAGGGCATTCGGCCGGGATGCCGCGATTCGACGCGCTCGATGACCTCCCGCGAAAGAATTACATCGATAATGCCGATGAGCTGTTGCAGCCTATGAAGGAGGCGCATAATGGGTTTGTGAAGGAGATTCGGAAGTCCTGGACTGGCTATCCTTACATCGTTGGAACTGAGGGCATAGTTTCCGCTGCTGGAGGAACATACATGCCTACATTTGTTGTGACTCTACGAGTTCTCCGACGAACCGGTTGCCAGTTACCAGTTGAGCTCTTTGTCAAAAACTCAACCGAGTACGAGCCATATATCTGCGAAACCGTTCTCCCAGCCCTCAATGCAAAATGCATCGTTCTCTCAGAAACCATGACCCTAAGCCCCGATCCCACAAAAAACACAACAGTTACGATCGAGCACTTCCAAATCAAATCCTTCGCCCTCCTGTTTTCCTCTTTCGACAACACCATTTGGCTCGACGCAGATAACCTCCCCCTCCACAACCCAACACCCCTCCTATCCTCCAAACCATTCACATCAACAGGCCTCCTCACCTGGCCCGACTTCTGGGCCTCCACAATATCCCCGACATACTTCAACATCTCGCAACAACCAGACTTCCCAACAAATGCCCGTGCATCAACAGAAGCAGGCATGCTACTTGTCTCTAAAAGAACCCATTTCTCAACCCTCCTCCTAGCGACATACTACAACTACTATGGCCCCTCCCACTACTACACCCTCCTCAGCCAAGGCGCCCCCGGCGAAGGCGACAAAGACACCTTCCTCCCAGCAGCTTCTGCCCTCGGCAATCCATTCCACGCAGTCAGCGAGCCAGTGGCCGATCTCGGCCGTCCGCATCATCCTAACGATGAAGATGCAGATGATGATATAGTTGGTTCGGCGATGCTGCAGGCTGATCCGATTGAGGATTATGAGCTTACTAGGCGTGGAATATGGAGAGTGAAGGGTGATTCTGTTGCTGAGCCGCCGAGGGGCTTTTTTGTGCATGCGTATAACCCCGAGTTTAATCCTGGGGTAGAGCTTTTGGGAGAGAAGACGCATGATAGGGATGGGAATGCGACGAGGGTTTATACGGGGCCGAAGAGGGCGTTGAGGAGAATTGGGTATGATGCCGAGAGGGGCTTCTGGGAGGAAGTTAGGAAGGTGACTTGTGGGTTGGAGGGAGTGTTTGAGTCGTGGAAGAATAAGGAGAGTTTGTGCGAGGGGGTTAAGAGACATTGGGAGGATGTTTTTGAGAGTCCGGATGCTGAGGTGTTGGAGTTTATGAGATGATGACTTATTGTACTTGTATATAGCTTGTATTTTGTTGCGTTTATGTTTTTAGATCATGAACTGTAGAAACCTACTTCAACGTAACAGAAACTCTCGCACACTTTCCCCCACCAACCTCCTCCTTCAACCCTACACCCTCAACACTCCTCTCCTCCCCATTAACCGTATAAGACTCCACACTCAACGGCAACCAAACCGTCCCCTTAGTCCCCTCTGGCGCACAAACATTCAAATCCAAATGCCCCTTCGCCCGATCAACCGTCCAACCCCCCCGAATCGTCCCAAATGGCGTCGGAACTCTCCCCCTAGCCCAAGAAACCTCAACATCAAGCAATGCAGGTCTGAACGCCCACTCCTTAAACCCAGGTGTCACAGACTGAATACCGAGGACGTATTCCGTGAAAACGTATGTCGGCGCTGCGCCCCAGGGATGAGCGTGGGATGTGTAGAATTCTAATCCCGGGCGGCCAACGGCGTCGACGTATTCCCATGCTGCGCCTGTGTAGTATTTATCCTGGTTTACCATTGCAGGCCAGAGACGGTTGAGGAGGACGCTGATTGCTTCTGTTGTTGCGTTCTGTGGAGCTGTCTTGGAGCGGCTGTGTTGGAAGAGTGCTTCGAGGAGGAAGCCTGATAGGTTGGGAGAAAGCTGGGTATTAGACGCGTTCGAGGTCGAAGATGATTCTTTGTATCCGATACCCAGACGGAGGGTGGAGAGTGCTGCGATAGATCGCTGGGCTTGGGTAGTATTTGCTACGTCTGCAAGGATTGACCATGCTGTTCCTGTTAGGGAGGATGCGTTGAGGGAGGTTAGGCTTTCGCCGTAGATTCCTGTCTTGTCGTTCCATAATTGGCGGTTGATGGCGTCGGAGATGTGACATGCTGTTGTGGTCCAGTTCGTGGCTGCCTCGGTGTCTCCGATGATGTTGGCCAGTCTTCCCATGCGTTGGAGGGTGTATACTAGTAGAGCTGAAGGTGCGGTTCCATTCGCGGGCCCGAGGAAGAAAGACCCTGGGATAGACTGGGAGACGACGAGTCCAGAGACACTGTCGACAAGAGGCAGGACTGCATTGACCCCTCTCTTTGCTCGAGGCCAGTATTTCTGCAGGAATTCGTCGTCGGCGAAGTCGAGATAGTAACCGGCAAAAGTATTAAGGAAAAGCATTTGATAGTCTAAGATTCCGAAGGCATTGTATATCAAGGTATACTCTGCGGATTGGCCCATTGTCGGCGACATAGAAAAGAATCCTTCATATACACCGGACGTAGCTTGTCGGTCCAAGCTGTAGGCCAACGTGCCTGTAAGGAAGTCCTGACGATGTGTACTCGCTGTAATGACACGGTATGTATGAGCGAAGTCTCCGGACCATACCAGGCGATCTCGTTTAGCGCCGTCTAGACAGACAGACTCGCTGTTAGTCATAACTCCATATTCTTCGAGTACAGATTCGTCGGTCATCGGATTCTGGTATAGCTGTGTCCCATTCTGCGCTGACACTTCGACATCCTTGACGTATGCTATCTGGTCTTGGTACGGTCCAAAAGCCCATGTGCCACTGGTGAGACTACTTGGGCCCCCGATGCTGGCACTGGGGGTTTGAATATTCTTTAGCGCAACAAAGACTGCTGGGTGGTCATTGATAGACACAGAGTAGCCGGTCTGGTTGATGGTAGTCGATATATTATACCATTTGCTTTCCGTCACGTTGAACGATAGTGGAAAATGCTTGACAGCGCCTGTTGGCAATGACGTCTGGTTGACCAGGTTATATCCGTATCCAACCACCAGAGTGTTTGGAGGGACAAGAGTGCGATTGGTATTCAAAAATGTCGACTCAGGGGGATACTCGCTCGTGAGAACAAAATACGGGCCATATCCAGTCACACCGGAGGCAACCTTCCAGCCTGTACCGCCGCGGACAATCTTCGAGCGGAAGGACATCGTGTAATTTGCGTAGGACACACCCTTGACGGATGCAGCTGGCTGCTGACCACGAAGGTACGCGCCATCTGATGTTACCTCCCAGGTAGACGGCGCCGTGTTGTTTGCGATACACGCCTGCTGTACTGTCCGAGGACCCAACGCCCAAATCTCATTGTACAGCGAGTTTGAGCATTCGAAATGTCCCGGAAGAGCATCGACTGCTGTTCGATCATTGGCAGAACGGATGCCCACACGGCAGATCTTAACCGTGCTCTCCGGACTCAGCAGCTGTAGTCTTTGCCAGCGGAGACCTCCTTGAATGAGAAAAGATTGGACATGTCCCGACTCGGTGACATTGAAAGTCTCGACGCGAAAGGTATTGGAAAGTCCATTCGAGAATGTCCAGGGCCCGTCGCCGAAGGGTGCATCCAGAGCGACTCTGGATTCGGAATATTTGGCTTCTACCTGAACTGGGCCCGCGACTGACTGGACGTCGAACACTGGAAAGCCGCCGATTTCCGTCCCATAATCGAGAATTACAGCTACATTGGAGGACGATAATGTGATGCAGGTCGAGCCCGAGGCGTTTGCTGCATGATGCGATGTTTGATATTTTTGGGGATACACAACGGTTTCACTGGCCACACGTCAGGTTTCCCCCTTTACACTGAAGATATAATGGAGAGCACATACCGTTGCGCTGCTGCAATACCCGATACCAGCAAACTTCCCCATAGCCATACCGAACTCCATGGCGATCGCATATTGACGGTGCCTGGTTATGGCAGAGAGGATGTGGACAACGTCGGTCTTTTAAATTCTGAAGAAAGAACTCCTCCCGAATGATCGACCATGGAGCTTCTCCTGAAGGAGACTAAAGCCCGAATCCATAACGCTCGACATCATCGCGGACCCACGAGCTCGGGATATCCGAATTGTTGCTCGCGATGTCATTATCCCGAATCTGTGGGGTACAGCACGCCAATACAATTAATTGGGTCTTGGCCAATATGTTTCTGGTGCTATCCCAGAGTAATGCAGGGTCATTCTGCTACATCTGAGGTTGGAGTTGGTAATCCTTCATGCTAGCAACCTTAGCCCGTTTGTCGAAACTGTTGAAACAAACCAAATAGTACTCTGATCTCAATATGCTTGTGTTTGGGATTGGCTGTCTGTCAATCCAACCATGGCACTCTCGTTTAGACCCACACTTTCGAAGCTTCAGGTCCAGTCCTATAAGAGGGCTTGTTTAAAAATATCCTCCAGACAACCGACTTACACCGCGAACTTTTGGTTTGGACATGCTGCATGCATGCTCCTGCTTTTTTGTGCGAGTTGGAGAGAATGTCCCAGATCGAGTGTATCTCGTGTGCTAAAAAAAATGTTAATCGCATCGAACTTAAAGCTAGCAAGACTTAGGGAATGGCAGTGCCGACGTGTTTCTGTCAATCCGAATATAGAGATTTGATAGTCCAGACATATCAGACATAAGAATATATATGTTCCCGAGCCGGAAATGCAACGTTGTTGCGATAGGCATTCGAGAAGCCAATAGCAAGACCCGGTTTGTTTCCGATAGTAAATTTCTTGTCCTCTGTCAAAGAGCAAGACTTATCATGCACTCAAAATGATGGAGTGACGGAACTTTTTGCCTGAAGTTCTGCAAAATGGTAGCAAATTTGATGATGGATTGAGAGCCGGCTAGTTTGAGAAGAAATAGAGTTAAAAGTAGAGTAGAGAATAGGGAAAGAGGACTGACTGAAAGCAATATTATTAATAATGAATGAAGCACACATATAGCCTTAGGAAAAGAAGTGATGGAGGGGCGCCGATATGGGTACGATTAACCACTATGAAACCGAGAACTCAGGTGGATACATATCAAATATCAATTAAATTAACATCAAAGCCAGGAGTGATACCCCTCATTAAGTCTATATACTCATCATCAAATCATTAAATAAACATCCAAGGAAACTCATTACCATATGAAACCACTCAATACAGAACCTTCAACTCCCACAACGGCAGATTCGGATCATACTTATCCCAAATAATTTTGTTCTTCTCATCCAGATGCGCCCTCTCATCCGTGACAGGGATCCCCGCATCCGTATCTAACACCTCCTGATGACTGAATCCCCATTTATCCCTAGGAAGCCATAACATCGGACACTTGGCCGTGATGCACGGCTCGTAGTATGCATTCTGTCGTTCCTCTTCGGAGTATTTGATCTCAACGAGATCACGGCGGACCTTCCGGCGAAGCGTCGCGTAGTCGCGGTATAAGTTGGGATGGAACCATTTCCAGATTGCCTCGAGGCGGGTAGTCTGTTTTTGGTAGATGTATGCTTCGGATTCTTCCTTAGACTGAAGGAGTTCTTCCTCTGTGTCGAGGGTGCGGGGGAGGAAGGAAGTTACTGGGGCGAGGGCGTCGTTGAGGGAGATGTGTGCGAGAACGGTGAGAACGGTATAGATGATCATGATGATCAGGGGGCCGACGGCGCTGCGAATGGCGAAGAGGCCGATCATGCAGATTTCGGCAAGGTAGACGCCTGTTATGAGGTGTTGGAGGGCGCGGGGATAGACAAGGCCTTTTGTGTCGATGTCGATGTCGTAGACAAAGAGAAAGTTGTAGCGGTAGGCTTGGTAGACGAGGTAGAGGCCAACGAAGGCGAAGCCGAGGATTAGCGGGGCAATGCAAGAGTATGTTAGGGCTGATAATGTTAGCCATATCACCTGTGTCAAAGAAGGAAAGGTGGAAGCCTACCGATAACGCCCATGTTTGTGAAAACAGGAAAGACGTTCCCCCAACTAATGCTACTGACCGCAGCCCATCGTTGATATAAGTTTCTTGGCGAATGGTCAAAAAAGGTAGCAATGAACTTGAAAACCAGCGCCCCGGCAACTTGTACAACGGCCATGGAGCTCATACTCAATCCCTGGAGAAGGAAATATGAAATGTAGAAGTTGGTTGCTTTGGGCAGATTTTTCGCCAAAAGGTCCTTGGCCGACATGGGATCTTGAATGATTTGAGAAGTAGCAGCAGAGGCGGCAGATGTGAGAGTCGTTACCAGAAAGACCTGGACGACTTGGAAGCAGAAATGAGCACTTTGTGTGAAGAGCTCGACACCTGCTCGTGACGGGACTCCGGCGCATCCGGCGCAAACTGTGAATCTGGTTAGAAATGATCCAACATTAGAGTCAGTATAGAAGGGTCTTACATCGACAAATGATAGGGACTAACGACATCAAGAGCACCAAGGCGGCCGAAGGAAGCAACCCGGCAATTATGCCCGTGATAACATCGGGTAGTTCATTGATAAAACTCAAGAATGGGAGAATCTCCGTGAGATATGAGATGTTAGAAATAGCACCGACAATAGCAGCCGGAATTGACCAGAACACGATCAGCACAGCAATACCTCCTTTGATGAGGAATTTGCGTACGACTCGCTGCCACCAACTGAGATTCAGTGCAGACCAAACCACCTCCTTCGGGGAAATCCCAATAAATCGTGGAGTCATATGCTGCGGTTGATGATGCGACAGTGTCTGCAAGGCGATTTGTGCATCATTCTGAGTCTGGAATTCGACAAAGGTAGCGGAAAGATATTTCGCGTCGCCGGTCTTGTGTTTGTGCTGCAGAGTTTTCACCTCCTCGTTGATCTTGGCCAATTCAGCTCGCAGCCAACGAATGGAATCAACCTTTTTCCCGAATATTCCAAGCAGCCCAACTCGGTGAGTAGGACGTCGAATGGTAGACGACCACGACGGTGTATGCTTCCCGCATTCCAAACAGGCCTCCTCGGACCCAATATCTCCACGTTTGAGGACTTTTAAGCCAGTCGAATTTGCTAGGCGGATGTACTTCGTTTCGGCACTTTCTAGCTTATACGCTAGCTTATCCCGTTTACTGACTTTTTTCTCGAGTTCTTTGCAATTGGACGTGATCCAGATTCGTCGTACCGAGTCACCGAAAACTTGGCGCAGTTTCTTTTCGTTTTGATAATCCTCGGGAACAGACATGAAGAGCACTGTTCGTGATGAGATGCGATGAACATAGGCTGGCGAGTTTAGATATGCCTGTCTGAGATTGGCAAAGAACAAACACTCCCGTGTGACAACATAGAAGATATACGCTACCCCATGTGGTCAGCCTATTTAAATCGTGTTGCCAGAAGACGAGTGCACCCACTGAAGAACACGCATCCGATGACAGCATGAGCATAATACCGTGTCGGGTCTGTTACATTGCTGAAGCTCAGCATATCCAGTTGGGTGTTCCCCCCGCCACCTGTGGCATGAATCGGAAGAAGAATAGGCCATGTTATCAAACAACCTATGAAGCAGAGGGAACAGAGTACTCGAAGGAGGCGAAGAAAAAGATATCCATCCATCGACGAACGGTGAAGAACATGGGTGTCGGTGATTTCTATGAACTTTCCAAACCAGTTCAAAAAGCCAGATGGCAGCTCCGGACTCCGTTCACTACAGAGGTTTGTTCAGTATACCATCATGAGTTAGTTTGGAAGCGGATTAACTCACTGTTTGTGCCAGCAGTGCAAATGTGTCCTCGGAGCGTACCAGCGCTGTTGGGTCCGTCGACAGATAATGAATAAACCAAACCAGAATATTGCGATGAAAAGAGCAGGGACCAAGGTTGTCAAGAATGCAGAGAGAGACGTTGAACCTCCAATCCCCAGGCTATCTGCAACGTCGGAGCTGGAAGATGATGCATTTCCCCGAGCTGAACCAACGTTAGTGTCATTGCTTGGGTCCTATTCAACCATTTATGGTCAGCATCCGATCCAAATTCATTTAGAAGAACATTAATCGAATATATGGCATACCAAGATACTCTGTCGCTTGAGTAGGAAATTCAAGAGCCCCGAGTCAGCCATGGTGAACACAGGCAAACAGTCTCGTGGGCCCTTGTTCAGACCGTTTTGGTGCAGAAACTTTCGGTAAGAAGTGTTCAGAGTTCAGGAGTATTTATCATTTCTACGTCTTTTGAATCGGCCCGTTCTCGCTTTAGAAAGAAATAAAAATAAAAAAAGTAAAATCCATGACATGTGGATACGGTATGGGCTCCAGCGCATACATACGACCTGTCACTCCTGATTCGAGGCTGAAATTGTATGGTACGTATCGTGTTTGCGTGTAATGTGCACGGAGAACATTCTTACACTACTGCCGTGTCTGGGACCAGAGATCAGCCATTGGTGGAACATCGGGGTTTCCAGATGGTCGGAATGAACTCTTGAAAATCGGGGAACTCCTGAGCTTTCTAGCTCTGTGATTTGCGATCCAGACGTCCCGACAGGTGCACGGACATATCCGTGTCAATACTGGCTCAATTCTGCAATTCGCATGTTGATCAGGGGGCTTCAAACCTGGGAGATGACTGGCAGATAAGAGAGAGCGGGTGCACTGGGCAATGCGGTCTTGTCCGGAAAGAACGGACTTTTGGGAAAGAGTCTTGGACAGCCCGTAGACATAAGCCGTCAATAGTTTGCGGAGAAATGCGTCGTCTAAACGAATTTCATCCCCGAGCGTAGCGAAATTGCTAATCCGATGTTCCAAACTATTCCTAAAGACGGCTAGCTTGAGCCACGCAGCGGATTTGCGAGCTGAAGACATGAGAGAACGATGCACCGGGGTGTGATCATGCCTCTAAAAACGCAGCTGGCCCAATGGGGAAAAAGAAACCACAATCGAATCGAGGTAGCATTAGCGCGCCTTTCTGTCCAGAGGGCCAAACCACAGGTGGTAGGAGGGGGGAAAAAAAGCAATAATATTCGCGTCGACCGGTAATGCTGTGCTATCCAGGACAAATGAGCAATGCTACCACATCCATTGCTCCGACAATACCTATAGCCATGCAAAACTGATCCCAAACCTGGTAAATAGTTCGAGCTTACTCCCGAAGAGTGCTATGATATGCTTTCTCCGCCCAGATAGCGATGGTCTGCCCGAGTACTGAGTACAAACCACGGCGTGCATCCTGGGTACATATCATTCAACCTACACGCAAAGGATGATATTTTTGCATCAACAGTCTCCGGCTGTTGACGTTGCAATTGACATCTTTCTTGCGTCTGCCAGTTTTCCAACGACATTAACGGACTTAATGCATTGTATCGTGGGCCGCAGACGTGTGGATCAAAGAGCTGCCATGACACATAGCGGGTACGATTGTTCGAATCAATCCAGATAACGCACTGATACAGAGTACGTGCCCGTGTCGAGGTTCATGGGCTGCTGCAGATGATCATGGGGCTGGATGTGACGAGGCAGGCAACTTGCATTCAAATCGGAGCCATCCTTGCTAGCGTTCTGAGGGGATTTCGCAGTTGAGTGATATGCTCCGTGGCTGGTCATAGTTGTGATGTTGGTAGTGATCAACTTGTTAAGGTGGGAGGAGGCTAAAAGAGGAGGGACGTGCTGTGGTCAGTATTCTTTGGATATGCCGACTCTGAACCCGCACTAAGAGAAATCTGGCACTGCACACACAAGCACTTTGTTCTTGCATTAGCCTCTGCGTGAGTTGTTTTCTGTTCTCCGCTCTGACAAACTGTCTTGCTCTTGAGGTGTTGGGCGTTCTCTGTTACCGCTTTAGGAAACAGTCTCAGTCAGGTGATATCAAACACTCAAACCCAACAATAGCAGTGAGATAGCATCCACTGAACAGTATAACATCGTTACACTCCTGTTAGCATTTTGATAACGATGCTATATTCTTATCACGATGTACGTCGTTTATACGGAGTGCTTGGCCCAGGGTCTCTAAGACGCGGAATAGGCAGACATTTTCTACAGTTGAATACATATCTCCTATCGCCAAATTTTCATAGATAAACTATTTACCATCAAACAAAATACTTCTTTCCAGTAGAAAAAACAAGTATCTCCAAATGGTGAGCGGTGAGCCGAGGCAGTATAGACGGCCAGCAGCCAGGCCGATGCGACAACAGCACTACCAACTCCCATGGCCTCGACGAAGAATGCCCCGTTCCAAGCCTGAACAGGACGAGCCTTCAAGCACCATGTCCCATGATGCTTCCAATCAGCCTTTCCCGCCTCTCACCCCCGAAGATGGGGATGTCGCGACTAACAAGATTAGCTACCCCGAGAACGACGGACAGGATGCCACTTCTCCAGTCTATGACCATGTGAACGTGGAAGAAGCTGACTTTCAATCGCATTATTCGCATGAATCCCAATCACTGTCAGACGCTTCCTCAGATTCCGACGAAGGGCCTCCTGACGAGAATCTCGGCATGCATCACCATTCTTTTCGACAGTCGACTGGTTCGCTCCACGGGCCCAATGCCTTTGCGCCGCCGTTCTATAACAGACCTCCTACCCCATTGCCTCCGTCGCCATCGCTGACATCGCTCCTACGACCACCATTCTCAGCTACTACATCTCGTCCGACGACTCCTGACGGCTCCGATGTCGAGACCCCTGATGATACTGAAGCCGCTGTCGCAAAGTCCGCTCAGCGTGCAACGACCGTTCCCAGAGCGAGCCCGAAGGTTCCGACATACGAATACTACGGATTTGTTCTGTATCTCGCTTCTTCGTTGGCTTTCTGTAAGTTATCTCATCAATGATGCGGGAAAACCAAACCCGTGCTGACATGGCGGAATATAGTAATCTATATCCTCTGGTCGTATCTCCCGTCGCCATTCCTTCACCAACTCGGCATCTATTACTATCCGAATCGATGGTGGTCTCTAGCATTTCCCTCATGGCTGGTCATGTCGATCGTCTACATTTACATCGCACTGGCATCCTACAACACCGGATACTTGACTCTACCCATGAACAGCATCGAGAATATAGTGGATGAGGTCGCAAACGTGTCAGTCATTGATGGCAGAGGGCGGCGACGACCAGGAGGCTCTTCGAGAATGAAGCCCGGGGCGACGTCATACCAGACCATGGGGCCGCAGCAGCGAAAGGTGAAATGGAAGAATATCTGGAGCGAAGGTACTGATGCTGTGATGGACGTCCCAGTAGGAGGAGTGTGTGAGATACTATATGGGCAGGAAAGGGACGACTACGAATTGTACGAATCGGTTGGTATCACAAGCTCAGGTGATACATAGGCAATTGGATGCCGACTCACGTACAGAGATATGGTAGCCCTAACTTGATACAGCCTGACCAATGTCCTGATTCTGGCGCAATGTCAAGCGAGTGCCGGTAGTTATTCCATTCGGATGGCTCTCTAGACTGCGCCACAGAATGGCTTATCTTCACGTGACGTGGCGTTCGCCTTCCGCATCTTCCCCGAGTCGAGCCTTGTGACCCTATTCATACCGATGGCATAAGCCCAACAGCAGGAATAACGGAAAAATTACGTTAGAAATGGAAGCTGGTCGGAATTTGAATCCAACTCTGCAGCCTGATGCAAACTCAGGCGAGCCTTCGCGGGCCCCTTTGACGCCGGAGCAGACGCGGAGAATTGTAGGTTATCAGCGAGTTCTCTCTCCAAGATCGCATGGTCTGATAATCTATCGTAATGCATAGGAAATCAACCGGATGAAGGCGAAAGCAATACGAGAACAACGCGAAGCAGAAGAAACCAGCAAATCATCCGCAAATGCGTCGACTATCGCGCCATCCGGTGTCAAGCGATCCTATTCCTCTATGACAGCGGGAACGCCTGCGACAGTTCGCGATGCCTCCAAAAGTCGCCCATTGGACACGATCAAGCCCGCCCGCAATTTTACCAAATTTGTCGACTACGATTTCAGCAAGATGACCGATACCAAGGGAGGATTCTTGACCGAGGAGGATGATCCGCATAACAAAGCGCTCCATATGGGTGATGGGAAGAGGGAGCAGAAGCCGGCGAATATGACGCAGAAGGAATGGGAACGGCAGCAGTTATTACAGTCGTTGCGTCGAGAGCGCGCAGGACCGTTTGAGCCGGCCATCAGCGTCCTGGAGGATAAGAGCAAGCAGAAAACATGTCGGGAGTGTGGGGATTTGGAAATAGACTGGAAGTGGGAAGAAATGCTCAAATGCTGCGTGTGCAGTTCGTGCAAGGAGAAGTTTCCAGAGAAGTACAGTCTACTTACAAAGACGGAAGCCAAGGAGGATTATCTCCTGACTGACCGTGAGTGTTTCATCTCCCCGTTGCAAGGAAGAGTACGCTGACTGACTTCATTTGTCTGTAGCTGAGCTTCGAGACGAAGAATTGTTACCGCGTCTTGAGCGTCCAAATCCTCACAAGTCCACTTGGAACAACATGATGCTCTATCTTCGATACCAGGTTGAAGAATACGCCTTCTCGGATAAGAAATGGGGCTCCCCAGAGGCGCTTGATGTGGAGTTCGAACGACGAGAGAACGACAAGAAGAAGCGGCGCGAAACCAAGTTCAAAAGCAAGCTGGAGGATCTGAAGAAGCGCACGCGAGTCGAAGCCTACCGACGCAATCGTAAAGGCGGCACTGGAGGAAACTTTGGCGATGACTTGGGGAACGGGAGACATGTTCATCAATGGGGACGATCAATTGAGAACCCGGAGACTGGGATCGGGGTTAAGAAATGTGTAGATTGCGGGATGGAAGTAGAGGAACTGGAATTTTGACAGCCGTCATGGTTGATTGATGAATTGACGACCAATTTCATAGAATAGTAATACCATGGTATACCCTGCGTTACACGATTGTGCCGTTTTATTGTCATTCACCTGGTTGTAGTACTATACTAGCGCGCGGCTACCACAACCAATCATAACATCTTCCTCTAACCCCCTCTGGTCAACAGCCGCGCGCCAAACCAAGCAGTGACGGCAAGGCCCAGCCAGCGCGAGATTTCCGTAGGAGAACCCCGTTACTCATTCTTCTTTTTTTAATTGTTCTACCCTCTGTGCTCATTGTTCAAGCATTGCCGTCTAACGCGCCGTGGAAATTGGGCATTTCTCCTTTTTCCATTAACCGCCTTTGACGATCCCCGCTGTTCTCGATCGGAGCTGACACGTTCCAAGGGCCCCGAACGCTGTCCGCCCTGATTCGCTCAACATCAACAAAATCCAGCGCCCAGTCCGTGCGGACACGAGTGCTCAACGACGACCGATTCGGGCCCAGCTCTGACACTATAGCTGCTGAGTTCCCCGACGTGAAACTTTTATTCCCCAACTCAACCACGTGCCTTTCTTTCTGGCTTCTCTTCCTTTCCCCACAACAACAACAAACGGACCGATTGCGGATTGGAGAGCTCTTCCAGTTCGCGCTTGTTAGCTTCTCGTCGTTTGTTGTGTTTTTGTGTGTTGCGTTGAACTTGCATGGCTTGGCAATCTCCCTCGGCCATGGCTGGGGGTGGAGGGTTCGTTGGCTCCGGTGATGGGGGCCCCAATGGCGGACATCCTCAGGGGACGGAGTACACGCTGCAAGGTGCGTCCTGATTTTGGAAGCTTGAGGTTGTGCGTTGGGATTATACTAACAGTTCCGGTTCTAGGTGTGATGCGCTTCCTCCAGACAGAATGGCACCGACATGAACGAGATCGTAACGCTTGGGAAATCGAACGCGCGGAGATGAAATCCCGCATTGGCAGACTGGAGGGTGATGTGCGGACAAACAAGCGTTTACGCGAGTCTTTGGCTAAGCATGTGCGGTTGCTGGAGGCTGCGCTGAAGAAGGAGCGCGAGAAGGTGAAGAAACTCACCAATAACGAGGAGGTTGATGATATGAGGGATCCCAAGGAGATTGCACGGGAGAGTCTCAGCGCGGTGAAATGTACAATTTCCCTTGAATCGCATGCTGCATGTTGCGCGAGTGCTAACGGTTATTTTGTTGCAGCTCAACACCCCAGGCTTTCCAATCACCCCTTTGGCGTCGACCCCGATGAAACCCAACTCGAATACCGGCAGGAGAATGAACGAGATAAATCGCGTCTTTACTTGTCCAAGTGCTCGCAGGAGGTCACGTATCATGTCATTCCCGCATCGAACCCGTCTGCGGAACTGGCCGAGCAGGATCTTCCCAACCATATCTACGGAGGCCAGCCGATGTCTCAGCAGAGCCTGGAGGAAGCTTATATGCACCAACAACGACAGAAACAGCAGCAGCAGCAGCAGCAGCAGCAGCAGCAGCAACAACAACAACAACAACAACAACAACAACAACAACAGGGGAATCACATAATGGCTCGCGAAGTCCAGTTTCCAAACCACCAACCTATCCTGCAATATTCGGAGAACCCCGGATTGGCTCGCGCGCATGGTCTACCGGTTCCTAGGGAACCTCTCGATAGGAGATTTCTAGAGCCACAGACTTCTGTGGCTGCTCTCGATGGCCGGAAGAACTCCCTGGACAACGCCTTTCTGGAGGAAGCTTCTGGTCATCCCAGACAGGCATTCGAAGAATTTGGTGTGCAAGGCCCTCCCAAGGAGGATTCGAAACCGCAGCAGATGGAGAGCTCTGACGATTCAGATGGCTGGAATTTTGACGAACCATCTGGCCAGGAGCCTATGGTCGAACACATCCCACCCCATAAACCGGACACTGATGCTTTCCCCAACGCCAACTTTGTTCCAAATTCAACAGGCGGCCTTGTCCACCGGAGAAAGAGCTCTGGCTCGAGGCAGGCGGAGGACGCTACCGAATCCAAAGAAAACAATGTGGTGCAGGCACAAAAAGAGGATCTCAATTTCAGAGTTCGATTTGCGCTCCGGGGCCATTTGGATGTCATCCGCTCTGTAATCTTCACGGGCGGCGGTAGTCCATCAGAGCCTGAAGTTTGCACGTGCAGTGATGACGGAACTATTAAGCGATGGATCATCCCGGCAGGCTTTGGGTACAACTCTTCATCAGATATGGACATCACGAGTTACTTCACCCACCGGGGACACGCCGGGGCAGTAACATCCTTGGCGGCATGCTCTCCATCCCAACACTTCTCCAACGGTGGACGTGCTCTGGGTGATGGCTGGGTGTTCTCTGGCGGACAGGATGCTAGCATTAGAGTCTGGGAGCGTGGAAGGGTAGACCCCAAGGCTACACTAGATGGCCACACAGATGCTGTGTGGGGACTCTGTGTTCTACCCGGCACGACAGGATCCGTCTTTGGGGAAGACTGCAATCGCTACGGAGGCCCTGATCGCCTCCTGCTCGCCTCTGGGGGCGCAGATGGCAAGATATTAATATGGTCTGTCAGCGCTCCTCCACAGGTTGCCTCGCCGCAAGCAGGATCGCGGCGGGCCGGTGGAAGTCGACGCGCGAATTCGATTTCTTCGGGGTCTAACTTCTCGAATTCACCGCAACCGAACATCGCAACTACTACGCCGTTCCACTACACGCTTGTTCATCAAATTGTTCTCGCTGAGTCGCCGTCGCCAACTTGTATCAGTCCGTTATCGTTTGCCGGTATTAATTTTGTTGTCTCGTACGCTGATGCATCGATTGTTGTCTACGACACGAGGACCGGTGAAGAGATTGTGGGCATGGCTAGCAAGGAGACTTACGACGGTACCCCGTCGACCGGCGTCAATGCCGTTGTCGCGTCTACTATTGGCTTCGATGGCTCAGCACATCTCGACCCGAACCGGACGATGGGTGCAGAGGAGGAAGTCCACGGTGCTACTGGGTCCAGTGGTGTGGAGGGAGTGATCATCAGTGGATATGAGGACCGGTACATCCGCTTCTTTGATGCGAATAGTGGTACGTATATCCATCCCTTCACGCGGCAATCAACTTTGATACTAACTTCGTCAGGTCAATGCACATATACAATGCTTGCCCACCCGGCAGCCATAGCTTCGCTGTCTCTCTCCCCAGACGGCCGTGAACTAGTCTCCGCAGGCCACGACGCAAGCCTTCGCTTCTGGGACCTCGAGAAGCGAAGCTGTACCCAAGAAATCACAAGCCACCGGTTGATGCGCGGTGAAGGCGTCTGTGCTGCGACCTGGAGCCGCGACGGCCGATGGGTCATCAGCGGCGGCGGCGACAGTGTGGTCAAAGTATTCTCGAGATGAAGCAGCAAGCCCCAAGCAACCTTGACTTGACTTTTACTCTCTTATACCCCTCTGGTGAATAAAGCAACGCAGCTAGTTTCTTTTGGTTGTATGAAATGGATGAGTTGGTTGGGCTGATTTTTGAGCATTTGAAATGGGGTCAGCTTTTTGCATCATCTCTTCGATTCTTTTTCTTTTTCTCTTTTTTACTTTCTTACTTGTGATTCTAGCTTTTTTTCTTCTTCTTTCTCTTGTATCTGATTGATAACCAGCCATGTTATGTTATGCCATGTCATTTCTTGTGATTCCCTTTTCTCTATGCTATGTTAGTTTGTCATGTCTATGTTGTGCATGTATTTCCTTCTGGTTGTTTGTGACTATATCTTCTTGGATCTGGGTCCTCATGTGGAATGATTGAATCTTGTTTCTGTATACATTCCCAATTAGCTGTCTTTGGTCCTTCGTCATCGCCTGGCGTTTGTCCTCGTTTGATATTTTTGCTGGATAGCCTATGCGTCTCATGCTACTTGAGTGTACCATAGTATGCACATTTCTTTGAACTGTATATTTATGTGCCTGCTGTAGATGTCCATTTATAGTTACTGCTTTGGACGCCGCTTGATACACGAGACTCCGTGTGAAGTAGGTATCCTTTTCCGACCAAGTCAATCAAATGCCTTATAAAATACCGAATATCAAATCATATTCACATTCCAGGTATCATCTATATCCAATTAAATATATAAGAGAATCACCTTCCCGAACTCCAAGCCTCCTTAAACAACGCCCTCAGCCTCTTTGCCTCCTCCACATCCTTAACCCTCTGCATAAGGAAACCCTGTAAATCATCCCAGAAGGTCTCCGTCTCCAAAACATCTTCCCCACTTGGCCCAACAACAGGCTTCGCTGTAACCTCCCCTTCACCCTCACCCTTCTCCTCAGTCCCACCCACAGGAGGTTCAACAACAGTCGCACCCCCCATAATCATAACCCCAAACTCTACCTCCTTCCCTCCACCCAGCAATCCATCATCAGCACCAGCCAAGACCTCCGCAACCGTCTTCCCAGAAATAGGCTTCCGCTTGTACAGAATTTTAACCTTCTCAACAGACATCTTGTTACCGCTGGAATCGGCGACACGCTCGCGCACAGCATCTTTCAGATCCTCCACTGATGTCGTGGAGAGGGGGGCGGTGGGGAGGGTGAATTCGAGGGCCGGGTTGCGGGTGGATTTTAGGTGAATGGTGATTGATTTCGAGGAGCCTGGGGCTGTGATAGACTTGGTTTTCTTTGGCATGGGTGGATGGGACGGGGGAAGGCGGGGGAGGAGGTACTATTGTTTTAGTTAGTATGTTGTTGTATGGAGAGGGTATGGAGGTGTATGGGTGACGCACTGGACCGCGAAGGTCTACTTGTTCTGGGGGGAGGACATAGTCGGCGCGTAGCTTGACGGGTTTGGGGTCGAGGGCGGAGAGGAAGGATTTTGCAAACGCGAGTTCGGCCATGATGATGTCGTGTATTGTACTGTTCCTGGCAGTGATGAAGAGCGCAAGATATTCAGTAGGCTTGAAGCTGATGTCGTGGAACCGCGGAGTAGCATTTCCCAATTCGGCGCGGAAGCAAGCCGATACCTCAGGCCACATACGACACCGCCTTCCGTCCATATTCTGCCCTATACACCGCCCAGCAGAAGCGCGAGAAAAAAAAAAAAAGTTCGAATCCTCAGCCCAGACCAGTTAAAACATCAACACCATTTACAACCCCACAACCTCTCAGAATGGGTAAAGGACGTCGCATGAAGAAGCAGGGCCCTCCGGCCCCTCTGGATGAATCCAAATTCGACCTCAAGAAGCGCAAGGCCGGCGCTGATGTCGCAGAGACCAAGGCGGAAGCGGGCAAGAAGCGGAGAAGAGAGGTCGATGAGGAGGAGAAGCCGAAGAAGAAGGTCAATGGTGCTACCGCTGTTAATGGGAAGGAGAAGAAGGTGAATGGAGTCGCGAAGAAGGAGGTTGAAGAGAAGAGGCCTAAGGCTAAGCCTGTTGACTTCATGGAGTCTGAAGATGAGGACGACGAGGAGGCGTCGGATCTTGAGGGTGAGGGTGATGATGAGGAGATGATGGATGATGAGTTTGGAGATTTGGATGGTGTTAGTGATGGGTCGGTGGAGGAGGGATCGGGCGTGGAAGAGGACGACTCGTTCATCGATTCCGAAGAAGAAGACCACCCCCGGCAAGCCATGTTTTCCGACGATGAGGACGACTCCGATGCGGAGGAGAAGCTCACAGCAGCTAACATGGAAGGGTTGTCGCGGAAACTCGACGAAGCCAAGCAATTGGAAGAAGAGGAAGCCGAGGCCGAATTGCAGGAGGCGGCTTTGCAGACCAACATTGCCGGTGACCGACCAGATGTGTTTCAAGCCGGTGAAAGTGGACAAGGTCTTGCGCCTGACCTTCAGCTCCTTCGGACACGGATTACGGATACAATTCGGATTCTGGGCGACCTGAAGACATTGGGTCAACCTGGCAAGTCGCGTGCCGACTACGTTCAGTTGCTTTTGAGTGACATCTGCACGTACTACGGCTACACACCCTTCCTTGCAGAAAAGCTTTTCAACCTCTTCACCCCCATGGAAGCATTCGCCTTCTTCGAAGCCAACGAAACGCCCCGTCCCGTCGTCCTCCGTACCAATACCCTGCGCACCAACCGTCGCTCCCTCGCCCAGGCACTCATCAACCGTGGTGTGGTCCTCGAACCTGTCGGCAAATGGTCCAAGGTCGGTCTGCAGGTCTTCGAATCCGCCGTTCCCCTGGGTGCTACCCCCGAATACCTCGCTGGCCACTACATCCTCCAAGCTGCCTCCTCCTTCCTTCCCGTCATGGCCCTCGCCCCACAACCCAACGAGCGCGTCCTCGATATGGCCTCCGCCCCCGGTGGTAAGACAACCTACATCTCGGCCCTGATGCGCAACACGGGAACCGTCATCGCCAACGATGCTAGCAAGCCCCGTGCGAAGGGTCTCATTGGTAACATCCACCGTTTGGGTTGCAAGAACACCGTCGTCACCAACCTCGATGCCCGCGACGCCTTCCCTAAAGCCATGGGCGGCTTCGACCGTGTCCTCCTCGACGCCCCCTGCACCGGTACCGGCGTTATCGCAAAGGACCCCAGCGTCAAGACCTCTAAGAATGAGCGCGACTTCCTTGCCATCCCGCACATGCAGCGCCAACTGCTCCTCGCCGCGGTGGACTCTGTCGATCACGCCTCCAAGACAGGCGGCTACATCGTCTACTCCACCTGCTCGGTCACCGTCGAGGAAAATGAGGCCGTTGTGCAGTACATCCTTCGCAAACGGCCCAACGTCAAGCTCGTCGACACTGGACTGGGTGGTTTCGGTACCCCTGGTTTCACGAAATACATGGGCAAGCAGTTCGACCCCAAGATGACCATGACTCGTCGCTACTTCCCGCACCGCGAGAACGTTGACGGCTTCTTTGTCTGCAAGCTTAAAAAGACTGCTGCCAGTCCTGACGCCAAGAAGACTGCTGCCGCTAATGGCGATGCTGCTGATGCTCCTGTCACCAAGGCTCCTTCGACTGCTTCTACTACTAGCGATGATGTCGAAATGGTTGATAAGACTCCCATTATCGACGAAGAGGGCAAGAGCATTCCTCTCGAAGGTGGTGCATTCGGTCCGTTCGAGAACGACGATGAGGACCAAGAGCGCATTGCCCGCGCGGAGCGAAGTCGCTTGAGGAGAAAGGGTCTTAACCCCAAGGCTGTCCTGAACAAGCCCAAGAAGGTCAAGGGCGAGAAGTCAGAGGCGGAGAAGCCAGAAAAATCCGAGACCAAGGATGACAAGACCAAGCCTCAAGATACCACTGCCTCGACAGAAACCCCCAAGAAGGAGAAGAAACAAAAGCAGGACAAGAAGGAGGTTCAGGAATCCAAACCCACCGAGTCCAAAGAGAAGAATGAAGTAAAGGAGAAGAAGGAGAAGGCCGAGCCCAAGGCCGAGAAACCCAAGAAGAAGCAGGCTAAGAAGGCCGCTAAATAATCTTATCTGTACATTCTTGTTGAATTTATGCCATTTTTTTATTTGTTAGAAAAGCATCAGTGTTTGGTTTTGGGCGGCGCATGCAGTTCTTTTGTTGCTTTGGTAGATAGGATTGATCAATTGATAATACTTTGCATACGTGTCTACTCTGTACAAGCCGTATTATGATCTATTGAAAAGTAGAATAAGATTGCCATAACTCCGGGTATGCAATCCATCTATTATGAACCAAACCAAACCAAACCCTGAACAATCCCTCCGGCTACGCCTCTGAAATTGATCAAGTCCTATAAATCCTAACAACCTTCTTGACCACCCTCCTACAAATCGGACACAAATTCACCAACTCAGCACACCCCACGCAAGCACAAACATGTCCACAATCAATAAACACAGCATCCTTCTCCCCCTCGTAACAAATCGAACACAAATCCGCCTCCTCATCCGCAACCTCCCAATAGCTCACCCCCTTCCCGCTTCTTTTACCATCTTTATACCCGCCGACATACTTGTTTCCCGTCTTGGCTTCAATATATGTGCCCTGACCGTGGGGCACGTCGTGCGCCCATGATCCTTCGTAGGTGTCGCCGGAGGGGTATGTCATGGTGCCGTGGCCGTGGCGGAGGGAGAATATGAATGTGCCGGTGTAGGCGGAGCCGAGGGGGGTGATGTGGGTGCCGGAGCCGTGGTAGTGGCCCTTTAGAAGGGTGCCGGTGTAGGAGTCGTTGCTGAAGGAGGCGGGGAGGGTGATTGTTCCTGTGAAGGATTGCGTTGGGTGGGAGCGGGATAGGGCCCAGAGGTAGGTTATCAGGGAACCCGGATTTGAGAAGTTGCCGGATGTGTGGAGTTGTGTGCGCTTTTCTGCGGACAAGTGCTCGCTGACGATGAAGGTGGTGCCGTCGGGGGTGGAGGTGGGACTGAATGCTTCGCTGGCCGATAGGGAAGTCAGGACTGTTGTTTCGCTGCGCTGATAAATGATGATGTTTTTGGGTGGGTTGGGGAGGTGGCTACGAAGGGCAGATTTGATGTTTTCGTTTGCGCAGGAGAAGAATGTGCCCATTGTGCGGAGGGCTTGGGTGTCGGGGTCAAAGAGCTGGAGGAAGTAGTAGACGTGGGGTACTGGTAGCTGGACTGCAGAAGCGGGTTCGGATGCTTCTTCAATAGCAGGGCGGGTCTGGATTGTCAATTCAGTAGCTGGCTCAGCAGGAGTTAAAGGTTCCCGCTGCTGCTGTGCAGCCTCAGACGCCGCAGCCACATCCATTTGCCGGATTTCACTAGCAACCATCCGAGCAAAATCAGCGTCACTGTCAGGATTCTCTTCCACCGATGACGGAGGCGTAGGAGCAGATAGTTGTCCATTGTCGCTAGCACCCTCAGACCGCCGCTCAGGCAAAGCCGGATCAGCGGAGTCGTCCACTTCATGAATAGACTCCGAAGACCTTTGCTCGACAACTCCCGCAGGCTGAGGCTTCTGCGTTGAAATAACAGTCTGTGGCGGATCCGGCATGGCGAAGTATTTGGCCTCTTCATCTGACACAATCTGCATCCAGAAACGCGCTACCTTTGCTGGTAGATCCAATGTGCCATTGAGGTTCGAAACACGGGTGAATGCAAGTGTTGGTCCATGACGTTCAAGTGTGTGGCCGATTTGCCAGAGACGAATGTGCTCTGATGGGACGGCATCTCCACCTGAAGACTTCCATAGAGTCACCTTCTTGCGGAGGTCGACGAACGTCGACGATCGGGGTACGCTCAGGTACATGGCGTTGTTGCTGGACTTGGCCCGAGACATCAGATCATATGTATCGAACAGACTACCCATTTCGTTATAGTTAGGCAGCGAGTATACTTCGACTTGGATGTCAGATTCAGCAGGTTTGCCGTCCACAGTTTTGTTAAACGGGTATTTGCCCGTCTCGTAGTACTCCTTCAGAGCCTCCGATGCATCCCACGGTTTCTGCGGTCCAGGCAAGAATTCGCCCACGACATCGCTGCGGATATACATGACCACAACAGCAACATCGTGGCCAGTCTTCTGGTCTGGCTTTTTGGAAGCATCCAGGCCCAAATGCGGACCCAATGCCGTCTTCTGCGTCAAACACTCGACGCGTTTATCGCTGCCGTCGTCAAATGCAAACCAACGCGTTCCCGGACCGCCAGGACGGAGAATGCTGAAGAACTTGCCTGAGGTGCGGCGACCGCGGTGGACTATGTAACCATATAAGACGTAGCGGCCGCATTGGCCGTCTGCAACTTGTCGTGTCAGGTCCAGTTCTTCGACCAGGTCGACGCGGTTGTAGAGGAGGCTCCACTGCTTTGTGGCTTTGTCAAGTTTGTGGCGGTTAAGCTCGATGTTGAGGACAGGGGGCAGGGCCCAGCGGCCTGGCTTTGTGCTGAAATACCGCGTCAGAGCTTCACCTGTTGTCTTAACTTCATCGGCCGGGACACAAATGCGCGAGTTGTAATCCGGGGGAAGCGTGTTGATGGGTTCTAGAGCCTCTCGGAACTGTGCAACAGTGGGGCTGTCGAACAGCTTGGCAAAGTCTTCGCCCGCTTTAGTCCCCGCTAGTTCCAGCTCGAGACCGCGACGTAAGCGTTCCCAGAATTCAGATACGTCGCTGGAGTACTCGTTCAGATTCCGCAGCGTGGCTGTGACCACGTCGGTATCGACATACTGCGACTCACTGCGGGAGCGCAGCTTCCATAGGATCCTTTGCAGTACATCACACAAAGGCTTGGGCTTGAATTCGCAATTTGTCAGATGCTTCAATACATCGACACTTTGAATGATCTTGGAAAACGGGGCAATGTGCAACCAAGAAGCCAGCCCCGCTACTTCTGCACTGTGGTTGATACCAGAGTCACCCAGTGGCCGGTAGCCCGTTAAACCCAGACTATCCCAGGTAGTCTCCGTGGTACTGCGATGCCACCAAAGCGAATGGGTTGGATCGTCAATAATGCGGATATAAGCGTCAAAGGCCAGGGTGTCGTTGCGAAGGAGTGGCTGATGCTGACCACGTTGACGCATGTGGATTTTGTCCCACGGGCCGTGGAAGTCGGTCCAGCCCCAGTCCAAATTATGGGTGTTGAACTGGTGACACGAGGATTGCATCCAGCCGGTGCGGGGCTCGTCGGGGTTGTAGACGATGACTGCGACTTGAGCAGCGACTCGCCAAGCTTGGGAGCGCTCTTGCGTGGCTGCTGCTGCTTTTGTGTACTTGGACTTGTACATGTCCAGCAAGGCGGTTGAGTCATCTGTTTTCTCGGTCTTGAGCTCCAGATCCGGAGTGCAGTCGTTCAAGGTGGCATCAGGAACTCCCCGGAGTACCTTGAACTCACTTTTGGGCAATGTCTTGTCCGGGGTGGGTATGGTACTCGAGCATTCGAGATATATGCTCAATGAATCCGTCTTGTTCCCGCGAGGAAAGAACTTGATCGTCCACCAGTAACCGCCGACATACGCAGCAGGAGAGCGCATGACAGTAGCCCAGTTCGGACATTCCCTCGTTCCTCGAACGCCTTTCAACTTCCAAGATAGGCGCGCCTTTTCGACAGGCTTGTACTCGGGGTCACCGAGGTCGGGGAAGAAGGTCTTTTCCCAGTGGCCATCTATAACCGTCAGTCTCCCTGCCTGTTCTTATATTCTGAGTTGGATAACATACACTTGGTCGCAGAGGTACCACTATCTTCCTTTGACTCAATCTCCTCTATCTCTGCTTCGTCCGGCACCGACAGATCCTCCTCAATTTCAGCCCAATAGGCATGTTCGGGCGGCGGACTGGCGTCTGTCGGCCGGTCCATGACGGCGGAGTTGGTCACCGGGGTCTGCTGTTCTGGTGGCGATTGAGCATTGTCGCTTTGCTGGGGGGACTGGGAGGGATTGCTAGAATCCATTTGGTCAAAGAGAATAACACGACAGACACGAGAGAAAAAAATTAAAGAAGTGTTCTGAAAAAGGTCCAAAAATAGTCGGCAGAAAGTCTAGAACGGCTTATCGCTTATCAGTATATCCGGGGTAGTGAACAGATCAACACCAGCCCCGGGAATAAGGATATAAAGATAAGAAAGAACAGCGTGGAATACAAGGGAGCGAAGAATGAATGAAATGCACAGAAAAGGGAAGAAGAAGCAAGGAATTACCATTACAGAATGGAAGAAAATAAAAGGGAAAAATGCAGGAAAGGAAGAGATGCAGCGACAGATCAACGGCCACACCGCCGGTTAATCAGGGGGTTGTGGCGATTGGAGGCATATAAGAGGACAATGGCATTCGGGATTGGATGTTCCGTTCAATTAAGAGGTCTACTGGTAGTCTTGCAGCAATAGAGACGCCTGGGAGATACTCCGGAGGATTCGTATGCTCAGGTTGTCTATATCATACCCAACACGTGATTTAGTGCTAATGGTAACCAATGACAAACCCTAACAGTTCACTCAAACACACCAAGTCATCAGGCTGGGTGTGCTTTATTGCCCTGGCCGGCATGCATTCGCCACCACCGACTCCGATTCATCCGTCGAAAGAAAAGATTTCGGCTTCTCGAATGCGGTCTGATCCGTGGTTGGACAAATTGCTCCCTTTCAGCCGTCCACTTTTTCTTTTCCTTTCTCCGCCCTCTCCTGAATTCGCCATCCGCAGCCAATCACTCTAATCCCGCTCTTGTGACTTGCTGAGTCGGACCAATCACGCCGTTGTCGACACCTCTATTAGGCAAGGTTCGTTAGAAAAGTCTGAGTTCGGTATGGTTGTCGTTGGACCACAGTATTCCGGGCCGGGACGTCCGAACATTTTCCTCGTGGAGCGATACAGACTACACTCCGAAGATACACTTGAGGGGAGAGCATCCCAATGTTTCGCGCCGAACATTTCTCAACTGTAGAAATTTGGATGGGAATTGTCAATTTTGATTCCAAGGATGAAGTGCATAAACGGTTTCGCATCATTGAGATTCAGCCGACGCGGCTCGCGCAAATGATGCGGCCACGATGAGAGGGAAGACAACGGTTGCTTCGGCATGTACCTGCTAGAGTTAATATTCTGTAGCAAGTAGAAGTCTGTAGTAGAACTTACCTTGATCGAGTTGGCATCTGCCTTGATCTTTCCCCAGCTGACGGCTTCATCTGGACGAGCACCGGCGTCACTACCGTCGAATTCCTGCGCTGTGTTGATATAGACAGCATGTTCTGCGCCATTACGCATCAAGCAGGCGTTGGCAATATGGTGCTTGATCACGCCACCTCCGAGAATAATCATGCCTGCGTGGGCAGCCCGGACGGCCATGGTGTTGATGCGGCGTACGTCGTCGATAATGTCAATCCGGAGTCGCTTGGGAGAAGACTTGAAGGTGTGGAAGTAGAGCATATCACCTAGGGAGCCATCCGTAAGAGCGGGACAGAAGACGGGAATGTTGTTGCGCGCGGCCCAGTACAAGACTGAATCCTCGTGGTTGATCTCCCGGCCCAATCGTTCGATGACCTTGCTCGGGGTCCAGTGTAACTCGTCCTCCTCATCGCCAGTCTCGAGAGCCTTTTGTTTGGCGGCCTCCTGTTCCTCCAACATCTTGTCCAGAATCGGGACCACCCAATCTTCAAAGGAACAGTAGTTACTGTTGGGGACGAGGAGGTTTCCAATGCGGTTCAGTCCTTTGGCGCGCAGGTCTGCTCCGGGTGCGGTGAAAGAACCGAGATATGTCGGGGCCAGGCACTTGATCAGATCCTCCTCCACCCCTCCAGCGGTAGTGACGATGGCAGAAACATGACCGTTGCGCACGAGGTAACGGATGGTGTCTCGTAGTCCGGAGGAAATCAGGTTTGAGGTGTAGCCCAGGAAGATGGTGGTCTTTTCGCCGGTCTCGGGATGCTGGTATGCGCGCTATACAGAGTCAGTTGCGTACAATGGACAATGGGGAATTTTCACATACCATATCGTTAATAATGCGGGCAGCCTCAGCGACACCACTACCCTGAAAGCCCGTATGGATCATGTTCTCGACCAGCTCAGCAGCGGTAATATCACGGCCCTTGAAGCGATCAAAGTCGACCCCGCGGACCTGATGGGTGCCCTCAGGAATGGGCTCTGATGCGACAAGCACAGCATTTGTGGCCGAGGACGGTGCCACGTCAGAATTGGAAGCCATTATGGTACGTCTAACAAAATCAGAATGTAGTGGTAGACACGAGAGTAACAAGTAGGATGTCTTTTTAGGCGCGGGGAATTTTTTTCGTGGCGGGGATGCAATGTCTGTAAAGGGGAAAGTGTTAATGCCTCAGGTATGTATACCTAATCGAGGTGATATTCCGAATAGACACTAGCGTCGACACCTGATGCTATAACTACACCTTAGGCACCTACAAATACCAGCCAATCAACGGCCGTGGTTTCAGCTTCGACCCGTCTCTTCGACCTCTTCCATTCCTCCATTCCTCCTCCATCCACTTTCAGTCATTCCTTTTCCCTCTCTTTTCGTTCATTCTCCTTCCTCTTTTGCTGATTTTGCCATCAATTTGACATCTGTGGTTGGTGGACCACATCTTGACAATCCTCCCTGACTCAACCCAGACCAGCGACAGACTGCGTTACAGATTCCTGCCTGTGAACGACTCGACCTCATCTTTTCCCGAATCTTTTCATTACTAATACTGTCGACATCTCCTCACGACATTTGCCATTATTTCCACCAGGTATTACTGGTTGTGTCTGTTGGAACCCGGGCACTTCGCATTTCCTGATCGTATTTGATTCTTCACGTTGCCGCCGCGGTCGTTACGGCTACTTACAGCTTGTTGCGCCTGCGGTGACGCTTCGTCTTAGCGGCTGTTCCGGATCTCTGCAGGTCTAGCCTCGAGTGTATGTCTCATTCTACCACTTTTACCTCCTCCCCCCCCATACTATCATATGCTGCCTGTTGTCTCTCCTGTTATTCCCTCGAACTTCCCCTTTCCTCTTTCGGCTTAGTGAATGACATAAGCCTCAATGTGGGTCCTTGCATTTGATCCCGGATTCAGATCACGTGTTCTCCACATATTCTCTGTTGTTCCTTCATTCCACTCTCGCGCTTTAGAGTCATTCACAGTGAGTTACTGAGTAAAGCTGACCAGCTGTAGGAGGAGGTGATATCCTTCGCTGGCTACTCAGACTAGCATGCGCTGGTGATGTCTTCGCGATATCCCCCATTATCTGGGTTCAATTCCCGGGACCGTTCCCCCCAGCGCTTCGGTGACCGTCGACCTCCTTCGGGTCCTCGTGGCTCTGATGATGCGATTCCGCCGCCTTTGGGTCGCGAGCCGCCTCGCGGTCCCAAGGCTTTGATTGACCACCCTCCCCGAGGCCATTATGTTGGTCGAGGTCGAGGTTACGGCCGCGGTGGTGACTTCCGTGATCGAGATCGGGACCCGCGAGACCGTGATCGTGATCGGGATCGCGACTTTCGGGATCTTCGAGATGGCCCCCCTCCCTTCCGTCGTGATCTTGACCGAGATTGGGGTGGCCGGCGGGATCGCGATTTTGACCATAGGGATTCACGGGGTGGTTTCGGTCGTGGTCGTTCCCGCTCCCCGCCGCCGCCGCCGCGCGATTTCCGTGACATGAGAGAGCCCTTGGTCCGCGACCCAGACCTTGTCCGAATGCGCCGTGGCTCCCGTGACAGCATACTATCTACATCGTCTATAGGGCCGCCCGATGGCCCTCCGACAATTGGACATCATCCTCGCAGCGGGCCCATCCGAGGTCGAGGTAGGGGTGATTGGGATGGCGGCCGCGGCCGCGGTGGCCGGCCCCCATTTCTTGACGACCGTGATTCTTTTCGTCGACGGAGTCGCTCGCGTGATGGATGGTGGGATCGCGACCGTGAACGAGACCGTGAGAGGGACCGAGACCGTGATCGCGAACGCGAACGCATGTTGGAAATTCGAGACCGCGAACGAGACAGAGAACGCGATAGAGAGCGGGACAGAGATATCAGGGATCGTGAGAGGGATCGAGAAATACTTGACCGTCGAGCAGAACGATTCGAACGTCGAGAGGAGCCAGAGCGACGCCTCGAACGTGACGACCGTGATCGTGACCGCGAAAGGGATCGAGATCTCCTGGACCGTCGTGACCGTGAGAGAGACCGTGAAATACTAGAGCGTCGAGCGGAACGATTTGAACGTCGAGACGAGCCAGATCGACGCATTGAACGAGACGATCGTGACCGAGATCGACCCGCGTCTGACCTGTGGAAACGTGACCGACCTCCCAGTCGCGCCGATACCCGAGTTCCCCTTCCTAGCACGTCAACCCCGACCTCCGCCTCTCATCCATCCTTACCCCCACCGCCACCCGTCGCAGCCATTGTGCCTCCTGACCCAGAGCGCCCTGTAGACCATCTGCCACCTGATCTTCCCCGCAAACCGTCGGTGCCAGAACCTCGCCGTGACATCGACCGGCCGGAGCTACTGCCACCTCGCCCGGAACCAGTCAAAGATCTCCCTGTCCCAGGGAAGCGCTCGCCTCCCCCATCAGCCCCTCAGGTACCCGCGTTTGGCTCAGTGGCTGTCCCCATTCCTGGTCCGACAGAAAAGCCCCTTGCCGACACAGCACCCGCTGGCCCACTGCCACCGGCCAGAGCAGAAGAACGAAATGAGCCTCCGTCATCGCGCCCACTAGTGCAGCCTCCCACCGGACCAAAGGCGGAGCGGGCAGGACCACAGCCGCCGTCGCCATTGGAACAGCGCATTCGTCGCGATGATGGTCCCGAACTCACGGGGCGGATGGATCCTGTTTCCCGCACTTCTAAACCACCCTCTGGCGCTCCAGGTGCTGGGCCCAGGCCAGCACCCGATTTGTCGCCTCCGACTGCTCCAGCATCTATGGCCAAACCTCCAGTTCACCAGGAACCGCAATTAGTAACAAGACCCGGTCCAGCACCAGCGTCACCCGTTTTTGACAGGCGGCAACCGCCTCCTATTGCTCGAGCGGTTTCTCCCACGTCTCCTCGCATGCAGTACAGTATTCCAACAGGTCCACGTGCCTTCCAACAACGACCACCACCCTCACCAGCACGTGGACCACCCAAAGGTAGTAAACAATGGGTTCGTCCGGGATACAGTAATCCACCCTTTGGGCCGAATTCAATTGCACTACCCAAGCGAGGCTCCTTTAATGGAAAAGAGCGAATTTTGTCTGTCAGTGATGAGCCGAAACGGGAGCCGCCGCCGCCGCCGTCTCCTACTCAATATGACAGCGATCAGGAACTTGAAGCTGGTGAGATTGCGCCAACGAAGGAGCCAGAACAACCACAGGTGCCCATAGAGCGCCCTGAGCGCCTCGATCGCCCCGAACGTCCCAAGCCCGTTCGTGAGCCTACTCCACCACCTCCACCAGCACCCAAGCCTCCCGTGAAGCAACCGGCAGTTGAGGAAACAAAGAAGTCCGATGAGCCATCTCCGGAGGACACCGTGATCCCAGACTTTGGTGCCGAAAGCGACGAGGACGAAGATGAAAATGTCTTTACGCAGGATTATCTCGAGGAGCGAAAACGGATCTTTGAGAAAGATATGCAGGTGTTACGGACAGAGATTCCCCGGCCTCCATTAGAGGACCCAACAATTGTGTCGTTACTTATGCGCATTCAGCTTCTAGGTATGATAGCTCATGATGTACCCGAGCCTGTCCGCGAATCGGAGCCCGCACCTGAACCAGCACAAAAACCTACGCCCGAACTCGAAGCAGAGCCACAGCCCGAGTCACAGCCAGAGCCAGCAAATGAACCAGAAATGGAATTAAAAAAGGTACCTGAACCGGAGCCAGCAACGGAGCCAGCGAAGGAACCAGAAATGGAACAAGAAAAGTTGCCTGAACCGGTGCCAGATTCAGCTCAACGGATGGAGATAGACGAACCCCATGAGACAGACCAGGCATTGGATGAGGTGGTAGAAGAAGAGATTCCGAAAGAAGAGCCTATTGTTCCAGCGAAGGTCAAACCAGATGGCGAACTACCGGCCAAGGCTGTTCTTGAATCGCTTCCTGATGCCAAGGCGATCACGCTTGAAAGTCTGCCGTTCTTGAACACTGGCCCTCCCACGCCCCTCTCCGAGCTCGATGTGTATCAAGAAAATGTAGTCTATTTCGAAACTATACGAGAAACTCTGCGAGAGGAATTGAAAAAGCAACGCAAGGAAATTGCGCGCAAAAATGCTGTGCTTCGGGAAGAATATTTGTCTATCTACAAGCCCTGGAGGATGGAGATCTGGGAGATGGATAACGAGAAGGGGAAGAACAGACTGACACCCAGTCAAACGCCACCGCCTCCTCCACCAGCCCTGCCATTACCGACTACCACAGCGGAGGGAAGGAGGTATAAAGGAAATAGCGAGCTTGATTTCCAAAACGCCCTTCGTGCGTCAGAAATCTCAGCCCAAGAGGAATTAGAGCGACGCCGTGGCAGCAAAGCTACTGCTCGACCGGACCCCAATAGGGAGGCGGTTATTCCGAACATGATGGAGCCACCTGAGGCAAAGGCGGCGGTCTACAAAGATACCAACAACGTCGTACCCGTTGCGAATGCTATGGAAGTGTTTGGATTCTTTCCACCATCGAACGACTTTACTCCGCTGGAACACGAGCAGTTCACTAATGCCTTCATGGCCCATCCTAAGAAATGGGGCAAGATCGCTGCAGAACTGCCTGGGCGGGATTACCAGCAGTGTATCATTCATTATTATTTGACAAAGGAAGAAATTAAATACAAGGCCAAGCTGAACAAGCGCTGGAGTCGTCGTGGCCGTGCTAAGCGATCTGCACGGCCCAAGTCCAATGCGCTCATGGTTGATCTCGGCGTGGTCAAGCCCGATTACGAAGGCGAGGAAGAGCCCCCTCCTGTCACGGATACCGGTCGTCCACGTCGTGCAGCTGCGCCCACGTTTGGAGACACCTCTGTTGAAGCTGAGCATGTGACGAATGGCCGACGAGGTGCTACCAAGGATATCGGAGAGCAGCCAGAGAAACCTGCTCGACGAGGTCGCACTGGTCCTGGATCCCGGGGTGGGCGACGAGGCAAAGCTGCTCAACAACATCAACACCAACATCAACCGTCTCAACCCCCGACGCCGCAGGAGCAGCCAACCGGAAACATTTCTATACCAGTTCCGAGCGCAATTCCCCGGATTCCCAAGCGTGAAACGGCAGAACCTATATTGGATAATGCAATAGAACCGGTAATATCGCGACCAAAAGAGACACGCGAGAAAGAACCACAAGACGTCCCTGCTCCGCCACGCGGGAAAGCTGGGCGCATACGTCAAAAAGACGGCGTGTATGTCTTCGAGTCGAACGAACCGGAGCCTCCAGCCCAATTTAAGGCACCCGATGTGGGAGGTTATGGCTCAATGCAGCCAACCAGCTACTGGTCTGTGCCTGAACAGCGCGATTTCCCATTGTTGCTGGCGCATTTTGGCAAGGATTGGGAGGGCATCTCGAGCTTCATGAAGACGAAAACGACTGTCATGGTAGGTCTTTCGCCTTGATGTTGATTTCACAAGACAGCTGACTCCTTTACAGGTCAAGAACTACTTTCAACGCCGGGTTGACGGGGGCCACAAGGAATTTGAGGACATTGCTGGCGAAGCGGAGCATAAGAAGGCGCGTGGTGAGCCCACAGGACCGTTGCCTACCCCCAGTGGTCCTACCAAACGACGCTACGAAGCGACTCCATCGTCGATCGTACCTCGACCTCTAGCTCCACACACCGATCCTCTCGAGTCTGACAAAAAGCCTGTTGGATTGTCTTCTCAAGCTGTTCCGCTGCATACGCGAGCGCCCTCTGAAAAGGAGCGGAATATGCCAAGGTTCGCGCCCCTTGCCCAAGCTAGCGCTGCTCCGATGACGACCACCGCCCTTCTCAACGAAGACCCACGAACGGCTCGTGCTCCTAGCGGCATGCCACGCTTGCCAGGCCCCAAGATGGGTCTGTTTACTGAAGAAAGGCGAGAACCGCCAGCGACTGCGTTGCCTCAGACCGTGCCTCGGTTCCAGGATGCACATATCTCGGCACGCCAGACACCCTTGTCAATGCCCGAGATGGCGCGAATGGAACCCTTGCATCCATCGGGCTATCGTGACGTCCATGGCTCGCCGTTGCTTGCTCCCCAGGGTACCGCTCCACCACCGCCTCAGCCGTCGTTCATGCAGTCACAGCCCCCACTCGTGTCTCACTCTCGCCATCCCAGTCTTGGAAAGGCGCCTGGATCTCCAGTACCGCCACAACTTCAGAGACTGGATCATGACATTTCTCCAATCCGGCGCGATTCAGTCAGCCAAAGACCGTTGTATCCTTTGCCTAGCCAACCAGCCAGTATGTCTCAACCTGCGCCAGTGCTGTCGCCGCCAAAGGAGCTTTCTCGTCCTAGTTCGACACTTCCCGAACCGTCAGAAGGCCCTCCCAAGCAGGTCCCAGCGAAGCGGTCGAATATTATGAGCATCTTGAACGACGAACCGGAAGAGCCTCCGCCACGGAAACGGCAGGCTTCTGCGGCTCCTTCAAGAGCTGTGTCTCCTTCACGCCCAGTATATGCAGCCATGCCGCCGTTGTCGCAGCCAGGACCTCAGTCGCGTCAAGAAGAGCAGAAGACACCGACCTTTGCCCAGCAAACCCCGAGTCTGTCATCGTCGCGCTCGTATTTTGACTACCATCAGCCTTATCAGTCTGTTTCAGCGGGCTCTGCTACACCATCCAACAACGATTGGATGGCACGGTTTGACCCTCGAGGGCAGCAGCAACAAGCGCCTCCGCCACAGTCAATGAGCAGTCGACCAGCGTCCATGGCTCCCCAGCCACCATATTCGCCATACGCATCAGGGCAATCTCAGGCAGCCCCATCTCTAACGAACCTGACTGCACCTTCGCCGGTTCCTTCGCCAGCTCCAGGTCAACGTCCTACGTACCAGACGTCTGTTTATGCGCAGTCGCCGTCGATTTCTTCCTCGCGAGAGTTGCCGTCTCAACCTGTCTATCGCCAGTCCATGGGGTCACCACCGCCGCGCAATAGTGGCATGACATACAGCTCCCGACAAGGACCGCCAACACCGATCCAGTCGTCCACTAGTCTACTTAACATGCGGCAACCATCAGCAACACCTTACGGATCTACAGTAACGACTCCAACATTATCTCAACCAGGTGGTCACCAGACGTACCAGCAGCATGTGCAGACCATGGTCAATGGTGCACACCAGCAACAAGCCCATCGATCTGCTCTTGGCCTGGCAGGCAGCCAATACGGCCACAGCACCCCACCACCACAGGCTACGACATCTCGTTCGGCTGCTGGGCAGCCTCCGTCGTTGTCTATGGGGCGTTCGTACACGCCCCCAGCGGTTCTACAGCCCAACCCAAGTGGTGGCATGAGCTATGCGCCGAGTGGGCCCTCCCCGGCTGTCGGACCGGTGCACCCACTTCATGCGCGCCATCCCGGAGTGAGCGAGGCCACGCCAGGTCCATCTGGAGGTAGTCGCCATCATCGGGTGTATAGTCAGGGATCGAACGCGGGGCCGCTTGGGCCGCTGACGCCACAACATCAACACCCTCGGTAGTTTTCTTTTCTTTTGAATCTCGACATGTACATATCTGCAATTCAGATTCGGATACACGCCTTGCTGTACTTTATTTTCTTCTACATTTATCGCGCTTTTTGGTTGTATGATTCCCGCTTCTTCATTCTGGAACACGGACATCTCGATATGATTCATGTACAGTAGTTGATTTATGGGATGGATAGTTGAACCTTTTCTGAGACGTAGACAGTAATCGGGTTTGGGTGACTTGAAACATCCTGAAACAGTCTCCCCAAGTTTCAACCATGGTCGGGTTGCTTCTAGACTTCCCGCCGAATATATATATATCCCGCGCCCAAGATAAACCTACAAAAGCAGAATCAAACAAAAATGTCAACAACACGCGCAGAACAAACTACCTCATACGAACAAGCTAAACTCATCCAACGGCGTCACGAGTATGCCATCCTACAGGATGCCCTTCGTCGAGGAATACCCCATCACCAAATCCCAATCATCCTAGCCACAGCGCGGGAACAAATGAGACCCTGTATGTGATGATCCTTTTCCACCGTATCCTGAAACACGAACTGATATATTCTAGTTTATACAGGTCTGCACCAGCAGCTCAAACACGGACAGACAACAAGACCCCTAGACGATAGTTTTCTCCGTCGAACGTATAAACGACGGGCTTGTGCTTGGGTGGCTCCGGTGTTTCATTCTGGGGTTGGGGCTGTGGTTGGGAATGGGTATAGACAAGAGCAAGAGCAGCAGAAACAGATTTACTTCCATCATTGGGTTCCTGGAGAGAGTTATCGTCGGAGGAAGAGGAGGGGAAAATGAAGATAGTTTTGTACATCTATTTTCTATATGTTATTATGTGCACCATCTTTATATCTCGAGATTCGCCCTTCAAAACAAGTCTATGCAGTAACCTGAACCCTCTCCTCCACCTCCTTCTCAGTTCTCATCCGTTCCGGGCCCCCAGCATTTCGTTTCTGCACCATGAGCACCAAGTTCTTCAACGACGACGGCGCATCTTCAACATTCATAACAACCTCAACCATATTGAACCCCTTCCCCGCCCGAAGCTGCCTATCCTCCAGAACCTCCACAAGCTCACCCCACGTCGTCACGCGTCTAGTAAAAACTGGATAATCCGGGTCATCCCTCGGAGCCCCGAAATACCACGGCGACTCGAGGTACCGCCACGGCTGAACCCAGTTATGCTTTGCTTTCATACCGTGGATGTACCGCTCGATAGTGTACCCATCATTGTTGATGAGGAAGATGACAACGTTGACGCGATTGCGGATCATATCGCTCACCGACTGTGCGGACATTTGGAAGCTGCCGTCCCCCTCGAAGAGGATTGTACGGCTGGACGAGGGGCGAGTGCCGGAGGCAATCTGCTCTGCTTGTGCTATTGCTGCCCCTGTGCACGCGCCAAGCATGTAGCCGATGGAGAGCCAGATAGCGGAGTTGATCATGGTAGTTTGCGGGGGGAGGACGAACTCTCTGCCCCCCGATGACGAGGTTCCAGTCTCTGTCATGACGATGTCGCCGGAGCGAAAGAAATGCGACACGCGCAGCCAGAAGGTATCCTGGTTAATAGGTGCGTCTGATTGCGGCGCAGGCAGCTGGTCTCGGATCTGCAGCATGTTCCCCAGATCTGGGTATGGGTCCAGACATGGTAGTCTGGAAGTATCTAGACGGGACAGTAACTTCTGGAGAAAAACCTTGGTATTGAGATCGCGATATAGAGCACCACAAATTTCAATCGAGTTTTGTCCGATCTCGACAGTGACATTGCGGTTGGTTAGGGTTGTGTAGCCGTACGTGTTTGTGTCGGCATTAAGGGGAGCAATGCGGACGATTAAATCGCATGAGTTCACCCATGGCATGTAGACTTGTTTGCCTGCGGCGCCGGCGTATATGCCGTGGAAGTTGGGGTATGTTTCGTTCACGATTCCTTTTCCGAAGGGAGTCGTTGAAGTTGGGAATCCGGTTACGCGGACCAGACCATCTGCTTCCTCGCTGATGCCGTACCTAGGCGCGAACCCGTCGACGATGATCAGCGGCTGTTTGGCAGCGTATAAGCGCCGAAGGAGGTCCTCGATGGCGGCATTCTCAATCACCTCATCATTCTCAGCCACTGGAAGAGAAAGCCTGATATCCTGCTCCAGTCTTTCTGCAGAAACCTTCGCCTGCACGAAATCCGTCGGCAACTCAATATAAACTGGCCTACTCTGCAGCAGACATTGCCGTAGCCCCCAATCCACCATCTCAGCCGCGGTACTAGCGTCCGTGAGATTGACCTGTGCACAGCTAAACCCCTCATAAACCCTCCTATACCTCCCAAAGTCCCCATCCCCAAACGAATGATGCATAGTCAACCGTGCCTTCTGCGACGCCGTACTCGGCACACCAACAATATGCACGACAGCCGCCCGTTCCGCAAACGCGCCGCCAACAGCATTGAGGGCTGATAGCTCCCCTACGCCAAAAGCCGTGATCAGCGCTGAGACTCCCTTAACGCGCGCATATCCGTCTGCGGAGTAGCCGGCATTGAGCTCGTTAGCGTTGCCGACCCAAGTTAGGCCGGCGGGTTCGATGTAGTCGAGGGCGACGAGGTTGAAGTCGCCGGGGACACCGTGGATACTTCGGATACCGAGTTGGTGGATGCGCGTGAAGAGGTAGGCTGCTAGGTCTATCTGGGGCGGGTTGGTGGAATTCGGCATGTTGGTGGTTTTTTAAGTGAGGTTAGGGGTGGGTAATGCATGATATGACTTGAATTGACCATGACGAGCTATATATACTCGTTGAAAAGCCCTCAAGGCAAATTTTCATCGCGGCTTTCAATTCCGCGCTCCATGTAGCAACAGATTTCCGAAACTGGAAACTAACGGGAACCCGATGTTAGCCGATACAAACCGAGCCCAAGGACATGTTTCAAGCCGCCCTATAGTTTCCTGTATTGTTTAAATGTATATAGAGGGTTAGGATAAAGAGGTATTACCCCGAAGATAAGTGTGCCTTGGCCCCCCGAACTTTTGGAGCTGGAAGTGTAGCTAAAGTTAGGGCTTAAAGGTGAGTGAGCAAAGAAAAGATGGGTGGAGGGGTGTAATTATTTATAATTTTATGATTTCCTTGCCTCCAAACCATTGAGGATTGCTAGATTCCTTTGCGTTTTGATGCCACTCCCCTTTCTCTAGCGGTGCGGTCACTGGTGTCTCGTAAATTGATATCAATTCCTCGCTTGAAAAGAAAACGAACACACTCGAGGACACCAGAAGCCACTGCGTAGTGCAGCACCGTTTCCAAGCCCTGTGAACTTCGAATATCGAGTAGCTCCGCGTCATATTCGAATTCGCGCTGGTTGACAGGGAAGCCTTCTTCATTCAAGAGCCACTGCAGAACCCAAACTGATTGTCGTTTTTGACACTGGTCAGTAGTTCCTCCATGAGGGCTTGGAGGAATTCATCTGTGGATATGGTGTGCGGTTGTGCTTGTGAAGCAGGCAACTTGGGAGGGGAGGGGAGGATGTTTGTATGCAAGACGAAGTGGTCCAGGCCTAAGGATATGCAGTGGCGTGTGGGGATGGTCCTTTGCAACTGAATGCTGAATCCCGCCAACTTAACCAAGTCCACAATATTTATTCATTAAATCGAACAGCTACGCCTTATTCCAGTTATCGAGTAGAGTCACGGCATAATCGTGCTCTATTTCCATTGCTTTGTCTCGCGATGTGGCCGCGCATATATGGTAGGTTAATCCCAATGCCTCGCTCTAATAGAAACTGTATACAATGGAGAGCATTTACCCAAGATGCGCAATATAGCGCTGTTCCCAAAACACAACCAGCATTGGCACGAAACAGCCAGGTACCGTATTCTAGTTCCCGCTGATTGATGGGAATACTAGTCTCGTCAAGCAGCCATTGTAAAGCCTCGACCCGGTTACTTCTCTCTGCACCTGTGGACTATGGAGGGCATTACTGCGGCGGAAGTCGGGCAAAGCCACTCGCAAGTGTCGGTAGGTTTCTGTACCAGCTCTTGAATTCAGCATTGGGATCGGCACCATGTTCTAGACACCAGCGTAAATCTTCCTCAGAAAGACGATCTTGTCATAGCTGCCCGCGCGGCTTTGGTGGGCAGATGGCTGATGAGATAATAGATCGGTTAGACGGTGACTTTGTCGGTGTAAGGAATGTGCAATGCCATGTAGACCTCGAAATCCTCAGGGCCAAGGGGGTCGAGGAAGAGATGATTTCTCTGAGCAATTTGTTTCTGCAGCTCAGCAAGCTGCCAGTGCTCTCACTGACTGCGGCGTATGTTGATAACATAGCACTAACCGGAAATAAAACAGGATAATTTATATGCTCCCCAAGTATTCTAGACTCCATAGACATGCCGCAGCAGTGATACCTACCGGCAGTTCTTAACAACGAGCGACATATCGATATACATCGAAAGCGGGAATGGATTCTTCAGAGGGAGAATCCATTTTGTCCGAGGCATAATAAGGCATGAATTATGCCTCAGGCAACAAAAGCGCGCAGGTTACATCGGGGCTATTCGCGCAAATTAAATGCATACAATATGAACAGATATATTGCCATGCATTATCTCGATGGATACTTTCCCTTACAGGTGGCTTGCATCTGACTCAATCATCCCATCGGAGGCTCTGTACAGGTACCTCTACAGCTCAGCTGGCCATGAATAGAGATCTCGGGTTAACTACGGTCAAGAAATACACAAGGATAAGGCTTGGTGACGCTATGACTGCCCGACAGCTAACCGGGGATGCCCGGTATGCATTGGGCCTTACAAAATGTAATGTACCATTCAGCTAGCCACCAACTGCTGAAACAGCACCATTGTGCCTCTTTTCTTTTAGCGGTGGGTGAGATACTTCATAGGCTAAAGGAAAGACCACAATTGCTGTTGCTAATCAGAAATTTCTGAAGGATAGTACTAAGGCGTGCTATGGTACATAGTTGCATTATGCTTACCTTTGTATTTTGTACATCGTGCCCGGCTGGCTGCGATCATCACAGCTGAGCGGCTGAATGCCTCCACACTGAGGGGCAAGATCCAATCATGGCCAAAACCCGCGTGCTTTGCGATAAACTTTGGCCTGAATGATGAGGTGAACGTGGTGGCATGCAGGAGACCAGGCGAGTGGGAAATGCATTTATAGCCGGGTGGCTCTACTCTTTCGACGATGCAGACATATCTCACTTTTGTGTTTCTCCGTGGCTCCCAGTATAGCTAACAATATGACTCGTCACGTGGTTTGTATTGGCGCTGGATTTGTGGGTGAGTAGTGCCATGACTGCCTTATGAATGATGTTGACAATATAGGCGGCCCATTCGGCGCCATGATCGCATACCAATGTCCCGATACACTGGTTACGATCGTGGACAAGGACCAGCGACGAATCGATGCATGGAATTCCGACAATCTCCCAATGTACGAGCCCGGCTTGGAGGAGGTTTTATCCAGCATCCGGCAGCGACCGACACATATCGCACATCACGAGTCTGGAGAGGACTTGTCAAACCTGCGATTCTCGACGGAAATCGAACAAGCCATAAGCGACGCTGACATCATCGTATTGTGTATCGATACCCCAACCAAGTCGTATGGCATCGGAAAAGGACTGGCGCCAGATCTGGCAAACATCCAAGCAGCAGTGCGGACGATTGCGCGAGTGGCGACGAGCGATAAGATTGTGATCGAAAAATCGACCGTACCATGTGGGACAGCTGAGTTAATTCGCGACTTGGTACATTCTCATGTATCCAGCTAGGATCGAACAAAGCTAACGAAACCAGCTGGAATCCGGATCATCGCAACAAGTCCGATTCGAAGTCCTCTCCAACCCCGAGTTCCTATCCGAAGGCACAACCATCACAGACCTGTTACATCCCTCCCGCGTGCTCATCGGCTGTCAACGAACCCCATCTGGACAAAAAGCAGCTGCAGCGCTTTCCGCCATCTACGAGGCATGGGTACCCCGGAACCGAATTAAGACGATGGACTGCTGGTCATCGGAACTGTCTAAACTAGCAGCCAACGCAATGCTCGCCCAACGACTAAGCAGCATCAACTCTCTCAGCGCGATCTGCGAGGCTGTCGGTGGCGATATCGACTCCCTCTCCATGGCATGCGGGCTGGACCCGCGACTTGGTCCTAACATGATGAAGAGCGGTCTAGGTTGGGGAGGAGGCTGTTTTGAGAAAGACGTGCTGGACCTGGTTTACATCGCGCGCACCCTAGGGCTGGACACAATAGCAAATTATTGGGCGTCGGTGATTGAGATGAACGAAGAGCAGAAGACCCGGTTCCTGCGGCGGGTTCTCTCGTGTATGCATGGTAGTGTGAGGGGGAAGTCGATTGCGATACTCGGGTTCGCGTTTAAGAAGAATACTTCCGATACGAAACAGTCGCCGGCTATCCCTGTGGTGAGGGGCTTGCTGGCTGAAGGCGCGCGGATATCCATCTACGACCCTATGGTACCCTCGACGACCATCCTTGCCGACCTGGCACCGTTGTCGGACAGGGAACTAGCACAGGTTCACATCTGCGAGACAGCATATGATGCATGCGACAACGCCGATGCGGTAGCAATAGTAACCGAATGGGATGAATTCCGAATGGCCGAACCACGGAAGCGAAGCTCCACACAATCAACTCTAACGGACGATGAACAGGAATGGGCAGCACAACCACCCCCAACATCACGATGCCTAACGCCAGACAGCGAGGAAAACCTGTTCACGGTATCACCGGCGACCAGAGAGCCGCTGGATTGGGAGCATATCGTGAACGGGATGCAACATCCGAAGTTTGTGTTTGACGGGCGAAATATCTTGCCAGGAGAACGGATGCAGATGCTGGGATGTCGATATGTGCGAGTTGGGCGAATGTCGGAGTGGGATGCGGTGCGGATGAACCGATACCCATTTAGCGGTTGATTTTAGCTTTCATTTTTGTCTGTTATGCATATGCAGCCGTGCTGTGTGCAAGGTTATCGGCTGGAAATATTACACTTGGGCTAGAGCGGTGGTGCGTACATATTGCGTGAGATAGAGCACTGTCATAGACCATGCGAGAGGATCCCCGGTAATCTGAATGTAGCGTTGCGTGATTATCTGGAGTACCTTCGCATTCTACTCCAGACCCTGGTAGAGAACACTCAGTACGTGCAAGCAAATCATTATTGTAGAATATTCCTGCGGAAACCCCGAGTCCGACTTCTCGCCGCTTTTGGCTCCGTGAGTAGCCCGGAGCGTATCCCATGGCAAGCCATAGCAGCCAAATTGCATAACGAAAATCGAAGGTTGAGACATCTCACTGCTCACAGTTCCGCCCACTAGTGTAGTGTACTTTGGACACCAACAGAATGTGGTGGCATAGCACTTCAAATAGACCATAGCTTTGTGAATCCTTGCTTATTTTGCTTTAATTTAGGTATTGAATATAGAACAGCATGCTCTTTATATTGAAAGAGATTACGACCATAAAAATGCCTCCAAAGGGGAGAAATGAGATATAATATTGAACGCGGCCAAGCCCTAAGAGAGATGACGGGTCAATACCAGCGGGTCAATATAGCGAAGATAGACGAAAAGGGAATAAACAGAAAGAATCAATGAATGACAAACGAATACGTGCCAACTGGATACTGGCTGGATGCTGGCTGCATATCAGCCACTGGAACATAGTGGAGGGTGCCCCGATACATAACGCAAGCATGTTGCATTCTGTCTGGGTTGCACTGTCCTCGTACAAGTTGCTGTCTTCTGTGGTCTTGGTGATTGGATAGAATTAACTCTGTCAAGGGTGGAAATTGATTGATGGCAAACAAAGTCTTTTGAACGGGGTATGAACACCAATTTTCCCCCCAATACATAGGATAGCGCGGAATTTGATCGAAATCCGAGAACGAAATCGATAAATAAAACCAGGCAGCTGATATACACACGCCTTCTCCGAATAAGAGATTTTCTATGCTATAGACAGTCCTAGATTACCTGACTCGGCTGAGTAGTTCGTTCACACGGTGGCCAGGTTTCGGGCTAATCATTTTGATTTCTTGTGAATCTTTCTACCCATTTATGGCTTATATACAGAGAGAATCAATGTCCACTTCGCTCTTATACTAGGCAAGGCTTAGCTCGAACGTAAAGTCAAACGGCTCCGTCTTGCACTGGTACTTCTCAAACGGCCTGGGTCCCACACTCGCCGATCCTAGCCCGTGGTTGTCATAGTCCAGATTGAGCACTGTCATATCCAGCGGCTGAAGCTCGTGTGGGTGCTTGGCATCATCCAGGTCGAACGGCATATAACGTCCTGCCGTGAAACTGAATGGCGCGCTCTCGCCCACGCGACGCACATCGAGCGTTAGGGCACCGTTGGAGACTTGCAACCACCGTAGGTCCTCGCGGTTCCCGTTCTCCTGCGGATAATCGTAGTGTGTATACAGTTCGCGGACTGCAGCCACGTATTGACCAATGCGGCACGCCTGCTTTGAGTCCTTGTAGTTCTCCCCTGGTCCACGCCCAAACCACCTCACCTCGTCGAACTCTTCTGGCATGATGGTTAAAAATCCGATACGAGGCACGACAGATGGTTTATTCTTGCCAACGAACTCTCCGCTAGCTCGAACGCGCAACAATGGCTCTTCTGCGGCAATGGTGTATATCAGGTCTGCCTCCACCCCCCACTCAAGCACATTGGGCGCAACGCGAACCTTGAAATGGACAACAATCTCGTTATCCGACGTCTTCCAGGCCACATCCCGAACCTGTGTGTGCATCATACCAACCTTGGTCTCCCCCCACTCCGCCATGTTGCCCTCACTCGACTCGTCGTTTTGGGTCATGGCCCGGTAGAAATACAGCTCGGGGCCCCGCTGGAACAGGTTCACGCCATCGACTTCCCAGGTGACATTTCCCTGCAACAGGTCGAAGCCCAAGGTCGATTTGCCGTTCTTGACCCTCAGCTTGGTTCGATCCTGTTGCACTTCCAGCCCTGCGACATCGCGAGCCACGGCAGGGATGGAGCGCTTTGCAGCTGCACCTATCAGGTGCAGCTGGTCCCAGGCAACAACATGGCCCTTCTCTGCCCACGCCGTATCTTCCTTCAGCCGGAACTCCACAGTGAGCCATGCCTCCTGTGAGAGGGCTCCCTTATCCAATGGCAAGTCCACTGTGCGGTTCTCCCCGGCGGGAACGCGGGGGAGCTCCAATCTCTGGGCCTCTGTGGTGTCGCCGTCGCGAACAATATGCCACGAGGCATTCAGTCCACCAAGGTCGACGAAATCATAATGGTTGGTTACAATCATCTGCTTCGTGTCCTCAGTCAAAGCCACGGAGACAGGCTGAATAATCTTCGCGTACTCCAGGAGGCTGGGCATAGGGGTATGGTCCGAGAGTGTCAGGCCATCCATGACGAAGTCCGTGTCATTGGGCTCGTCACCAAAATCACCACCATACGCATAGTATTCGAGGTCGCCCTCCTTCTTTAACAGGCCATGGTTGCTCCACTCCCACACGAGTCCTCCTTGGGAGAGTGGCTCTGATCGAAACAGCTCAATATATTCTTCTAATCCTCCAGGCCCGTTACCCATGGCGCTTGAGTGCTGTCAACAGGTTGCTCGTCAAAGAGAGTAATGGAATACTTACTGTGCAAACTCGCACAAGATGAGAGGCTTATCTTTGTGGCTCTCCATGTGCTCCCGCATCTCATCGGGCGAAGAATACATCTGGCTGTAAATGTCGGCCGACTCTGCCTCCCGGTCCTGTTCGTAGTGGATGATTCGCGTCGGATCTCTCCGTTTTATCCATCGGTACATGGCCGCCTGGTTCTGGCCGTAGAAGCACTCATTTCCGAGCGACCAGATGATAATTGAGGCGTGGTTCTTGTAACGCTCCACAAGTTGCTTGGCCCGGTCCAGGTACGCATGAGTCCACTCGGGATTATCAGACGTCCATGAAGCGGCTTGCTCTTCAGTGTCTTCGAGATTACCAAAGCCATGACACTCCAGGTCCGCTTCAGCAATGACGTAGAAGCCCAGCTCATCAGCGACGTCGAAGAATGCCGGATGAGGGGGCTGATGGGCGGTCCGAATCGTGTTGATGTTGGAGCGCTTCATGCGAACCAAGTCCGCGCGCATTGCCTCGTATGGAACTGTCCGACCGGAAAGATGGTTGTGCTCATGGCGGTTCACGCCATAGATAATGACCGGCTTTCCATTGACATGAAAGTTTGAGTCGCTCATCTCGATCCGGCGGAACCCAACTTTTTGACTAATAGTGCGGCCATTAAACTCGATCAAGATGGTATACAGGCTCGGTGTCTCGGCGGACCAGAGTTGGAAGTCATCACCCTCGACTCTCTTTGAGTAGCGATCAGACGAAGACCCGGACCACCTGTCAAGAACCTCACCGCTAGGCGACAGAACCTTGATGCTCATGTCTCCATCTTCGCCCTGGATAGTGACATTTGCTCGTAGCGTGCCACTTTTATAGCCGTCATCAACCTCGGGCACCACGTGAAAATCTGAAATCGAGGCTCGAGGAAATGGGATCAGGTAAACATCCCGGAAGATCCCCGACAGCCACCATTGATCCTGGTCCTCTATGTAGGAGCCATCGGACCACTGGTAGACACGGGTCGCGAGTGTGTTGGTCTTTTCCGATGAGAGATAATCCGTAATGTCAAATTCGCTAGGGTTGCGGCTGCCTTGGCTGTAGCCGACCTCCTCGCCGTTCACCCAGACATGGAACGCGCTATCCACGCCCTCATACCGCAGACGAATCTGCTGGCCGTCCCAGTCGGCGGGCACCTCAAACTCACGCCAATACGAGCCCGTGGGGTTCATGTACGAGACGTTTGGCGGGGTGACGGGAAAGGGGTAGTCAATGTTGGTATATTGCGGGCGCCCGTAGCCCTGCATCTGCCAGACGCCCGGCACTTCAATATTATCCCAGCCAGTGACATTGGCCCTCTCCCAGATTGGCGCTTCAAAGGGCGTTGCATCGTAGTGGAACTTCCAGGTCCCGTTAAGGCTGTGAAAAAAGCTCTTCTCGCGATTGAACGTGAGGGCGGCATCCTCATCCGCGAACGAGTAGAAGTGTGCGCGGGGGGGCAAAGTGTTGCGGTGGAGAACGTGGAGGTTGGACCAGTCGGGGAGAATGCCCGGCCAGGACATGGCTGCCAGTGATGCCATGGTTGCACTCACGGAGTCTCTCATCTTACATCCTGCAGTGCCACCACGGTCTTTTATACCACTGGTGAGCGGAGATACTCCGGCGGCTCCCCGCGCCAAGAGGACGCTGTTATTGCTACCAGTCGCGCCAAGCACTTCCTCCCTGCGTTCATCCTATCGTACAGACAAGATTGAGTGAAGTGGAGATCTCGGAGTTCCGGCTCCCACTATATTTGGACGGAGCGTCTTGTCGCGTTTTGCCAAGATGTCCGATGTCGAGCTGGGGGGAGATGATAGGGCTTTCCCCGTAACGTGGAAATCCTCTTTACCCCGTGCGCTATGCCGGTTGTCGGGCGTTTTGGCACCGACATTTAACCGATTGGACGCAACCTTCTACTATCTCGAATAATGCTCCTGTTGAGGTTGTTTGTAGTGATTTGTAGCTCCCTGTGCTAGGGGACCTATTGCTAGATGAATTAACCAAAAGCCCCATTCACACCCAACAACGAGAAATGTGAGCAAGTTGAAGATATTGTATATAGAGCCCGACCACTGTCTCAGACATGCACTGATTATGGCCTTTAGTAAGAGACAATGTTCAAAATATTTTATGCATCTTTACCAAATTACATCCAGGAAAAGATGTGTAGTTACCCAAATGCTTTTCCGGGCAGTCCAGAAGTGTCGAAGGAGCCGATTACATTATCTCATGCGAAAAGACCCCATTGTGGTGTCAGTTTGTGGACTCGGTCAAATTTGACAGAGTTGTATAATTATAGACCTGTGAAAGTTGATATAAACCCGACAGGGCGCAGGATATCTGCACTGAAATCGCACAATCCAGCGGAATCAAAACCGGCGCAGAATGAGGGGGAGCGAAAAATGGAGAACAGCAGTATTTATCACATCCACGGTGGCATCAGCCTTGGTCAGTTAGAAAACTGCTAGTGGAGCTAGTGGGGATTCTCATGGATTCTCATGGATTCTCATGGATTCTCATGAATTTGAGAATGTAGTCGGAGTTGTGACTAGACAAGGTGAGGTGAAGATAAAAAAGCAGTAAAAGTGACCTGGTCAAAGGACCATGATCATACCGTTCTCCAGACTAACTACGGCGTAACACGGAGTTAGAGTATCAGACAAGCATAACCATAGCCAAATTGAACTCTACTCATTGATTATAGCGGTGCTCTTCTTGCAGGCCTAAACCGTTGACAGGTATTATGATACATAGGGTCGTACTTTCGCATGGGGCTACAGAATAGCTATGCTTGTACTGACTGGAAATCTGCCTTGTCAAACTAACCTGACATAGGCACTAAGTATATATATATAAAGCCATCACTTACGCTTCACACATCCTTTACCCTACGGTGTACAATCAACCCCTTGGTTACTATCTTCTCTTATACCTCATATACTTCTGCTATTATGCAAGCAAAAAACGAGCATTTGTTCCAATCTGCCTCTGCTGGCAATCTCTCCGCGATTTCCAGTATTCTAGCAGAATACACCCCTCCCTCAGAGACACTCCAGCAGACAATTGTGAAAGCAAGCTACCCCAATGCCAACCTGTCTATAGTCACAGAACTACTACACCAACAATTTCCCCATCTCCCCCTCTCAGAAGATATGATCCGCTGGTCTTGTTATACCGGCTTAACCCCCATTGCCGAAGCAATCCTTGCCAAAGACCCCCAGGCTTATACTGGCAGCTTCGATGATGAGAGCGGAACTCCTATGGTCCTTGCAGTTCAAAGCCAAAAGTCATATGAGTTTCTCTCCTATCTGCTCTCCCACGGTGCAGACCCATTTCTGCACCATGGTCGATATGCGCCACTATTTCCTGCTACTGTGCTTCGCTACCGTGGCGCGCTGGATGCTGTGGCAGCTATGATGGACCATGGGGTCAATCTTCAACATCAGAATATTCTTCTGACAGCTGTTGGCCATGGATACCTGGAGTTGACTCGGTATCTATTAGCCCATGGGGTCACACCAGAAAATGATCAGTCAGCGGACAACCAGAGCAAAGTACCAGTATTACACATAGCGGTTTCTGATGGCGACATTAGGATGGTCCAGCTTCTTTTAGAATATGGAGCAAGGGTAGATATAAAGGATGATCAAGGATTAACGACAGTGCAAGTTGCTGAGAAAATGCAGCACTCGAAAATTATTGAATTATTGAAAGGTAGTCTATGTTGATTTTATGTACGTTAGCATTTCTCTTAACTATCTATCAAGCAATCCATCCATTTGAGTGTCCACCGCATCCAAATTCCTACACACTACAAGCATAGCATGAATTGGTTATTCTAATGATTCAATAATGATATTGAATAAATTCATATCATTAACCTATGTGTCACGAGCTCGGACTAGTAGATACTAACGAAGTGATATTTTTACCTAAACTAGTATAGCCATTAGTTAGATTCGATATTCTCATTTGAAGAAAGAAACGAAAAGACAACCTATCTAGAGGATGAAGGGGTTTTTATAAATACTGTATGACAGGGGTTCTACTCATTTTGGTGTCTTCTATCATTATTAGTCTTATACGTACCGTCAAGCTGTACACATGACGTCAAGATGTAAAGCCGTCACAATGCCCTCCTTGACAACCAGGAAGTAGCACGGCAGGTGCAGAGCTGTCCCAGGGGCTCCAGTCAGAGCACTATCCTGGTCTTTCAAGAAGCTGCAAGTGCCTGGCCCAATCGGTCCCCCTGATGTACGGCAATCCCACCTGGGCAGGTGCAAATCTTCTGGATCCCTGGGCATGCAGTCAATGCAGGGAGCGAGAATGCCAATGAATACGGGAAAAGAGGAGCTAAATCTACCCCAAAGACCAACCCCCATCTTCAGCATGGGAAAAATGCCGAAAAAATTCTGGCTCAAATAGACGAGGTATCAACGTCCCTCCGAGGTCTTGTCCAAAAGTTCAACCTACCGATTGCAGAAGGAGCTTTTTAAAACTCTTACAACCCATATATGAATTCGCTTGAAGTTCTATGTCTTCCAGGACCAGGACTGAACTCACCTGCCAGATTTCAAATTGGGCTGAATTGTCTGATAGTAAATGCATATTCTGGTTAAATGGCATGACTGGGACAGGAAAGTTACCATTGCCCGAACAGTTGCACAGACTTTAAAAGAGAATGGGCAACTGGGAACTAATTTCTTCTTCAAAAAGGGTGAAGCGGACAGTGGTAATCCAAGGAGATTCATATCAACTACCACAAAGTAATTAATGGCCCATGATCAGCAGTTGGCATCTGGCATTCTAAAAGCAATTGAGACGGATCCGGATATTTCAACAAAATTTCTCCGAGGCCAGTTTGGCATGCTCATTCTCCAGCCTCTCCAAGAACTGGAACTGGACCAGACTAGGCTGCGGCAGCATCCAACGGATCATATGATATCCAACTATCACATCCGCAGATTGCGGACTTGGATGCCAATTTGACATCCAACCATCCGCAGCGATGAGACTTGGATGTCCAACTCGATCTGTTGGATATCTTTTGGATATCCAACAGTATATCAAACACTACAAATATGCCAAGGCTCATGACCTAGAGGAGACTGCATAGATTATGCATTCTTCGCGGTATTTTTGACGTATTCAGTGTGTAACTGATTTCCTCGAAATCATTCTGGGAACTATTTCTTTATTTAATGCATTTTGGTCGAGATGGTGGTCAAGCAGTTCTTTATTTAATGATTTCCGAGGAAATAAGCTGGAAAGGAATTCTTTGGTAAGATTGATTTCAGATGAAATGCAGTTTCTTTGGTCTTTTCTGCGGAGAAAAATTCTTGCTACTATTACAGTCTATCAATCTCAAATCCATCCGGCAGCTTTGGCTTCTTCCAAATCCTGCCTGACCGCGCCTGCGTGCTCCTTTCAGTTGCCATTTCAGGAAGTGGGAAGCCATTATCTCCATCATCTTGAAGCTCAGAGGTCTTATACCAAGGCCGCTTGCGTCGTTCTTGCTTCCTCTGAGTTGTAATTTGTGTGAGAGTCAATTCTTCCTCTGAATTATCATCATCTGAACTATTCAAATCATCAGATAGATTGTTGCCCTTGCAGCCCTCTTCTTCATCATCACTGATCGGCTCAACTTCATTGAGAGATGGCACAGGCTTCCATATCTGATCAAGCATAGCAGCCTCTCCACTAGACAAATGCTCCTTGATCATCTCTAGCTCGCTTTGTTCAAGCTCAAACTTTGATGAGAATAAATGGAGCATCAAGCCTTTGATTGTGTCTGGTTTTAGTTGCCCCCGACGATAGTGGCAGACATCACGAGCACAATTGAAGAGCCTTTCAACACCAGCACCACTGGCAGGTGTTGAGAGGATATCCCGTGCTATCCTTGCAAGCACAGGATACTCATGTTCATGCTCTTTCCAAAAGAGACGAGGGTGCCCCTTGGTAAGTCCTAAGGAATGGGTTAGTATTAGAATAGCATAATGGATAGATGTGCTAACCTTTAGCGAGATATCACGTGATCTCATCCTCTGGTTGATCCACTTCGGCTTGGAGAGAGGTCTGAGAATCCATCATAAGCTCAAGCTCATTTTCGATAGGATCTTGAGATGCCTGGATATTCACTGGCGCTGCTTGAGGCACTACTTGCTGTTGATATCAGTTAAACTCCTTCTGTAGCACATCCTGATAGGTTTTCATAAAATCAACACAGTTCCCATCCTCATCTTCTCCTCGCCAGTCCTTGCTGTCAAAGTAGCGAAGCTTCTTTGAGGGACAAAGAATTGTTGCAATTGCATATACTATACCATATGACTCCTTATCTGTTGCATAGTAATACTTTGAGAGTTTTTCCTTTGCAGCTTGAAGTGCCCGAAGCATTTTCTTCTTCCAGGGAACAGCTTTGCATTTCAGTTTCTTCTCGGCAGCATCAAGGTGGCTAAAGAGCTTGTTGTAAATGCTGAAAACATGGTGAACTGTAACATCCCGAGTCTTTGATAGGACATTAGTCAAATCAAAGAAAGGCTTTGTGATTAAAAGCAGATAATCCACTTGGCGCCATTCTTCTTGGTTAAGCTTGAATTGAACATATTGATGTATTGTGCAGTACTGGTCAAAGACCTGTTGGAGCTTCCTAGCACAGTCAAGCATCAAGAAAGTAGAATTCCAGCGCGTGCGAACATCTTGAACTGGAAGAAGCTTTGGCACTGCAGTCTGTAGAGCCAGAAAAGCTTCCCGGCGCTGTGGACTAGCATTGATGAACACAGCTAGCCCACGAATCTAGATATAGTAGTAGTTAGCACTATCAAGGAAGTGTAAGATACTAAGCTAGACTTACCTTCTTTAAAGTAGCCATGATATCTTTTGAAGGCTGTCTTGAATTTGTTTGTAGTGACTCAGTGCATGCATCAGACCACTCAGACTCTGCCTCTTTATTAACTGGGTTTGCTCTGATCTTTCCGAGCAGGT